TCTTGTGCTTTTTGTTTACGTTTTTCCGTGTGCTTTTGTTGTTACTGTGGTTTGGTTTCCTCCCTGGTCCTGCCCCCTTGTAATTGTCTTCATCTGTCTGTAGCTCCGCCCTCTCGTTCTTCCCAGGTGTTGCTTGTTTTTCCCTCTGTATATTTTTCCTTTGTGTTTGGTTTAGTCTGTCTTGCATTTTCTCTGTTTGTTTCCTGGTTTCTCTGTCATGTTTCCTGGTTTAGTTTCTTTATGGATTTGTTTCTTTTGGACTTTCATTATTCTCTTGTATTGGACTTTTTTTGATTTGTAATAAAAGCAACTTGCACATGCGTTCAGAATGACAGAATGCAAGACCTAAATAAGGACGCAGTGAGTTTGCTAGGAAAGATTGAAGGAATTGAGTTCCTCCTGCTGCCGAGGATATCAATACAGGTCATCTTGTTGCCTAGGATGTTGCAGCAGGCCCGCCTGTCTCTGTGGGCATCACCGCAGGCCCGCCTGTCTCTGTGGGCGTTGCCGCAGGCCCGTCTGTCTCTGTGGGCGTTGCTGCAGGTTTACTTGTCTCCTCCTCTGCTCTCATTGCCGCATCTTCTGACTGGTTGGTTTTCTTGTCCCTTGACCTGCCGGTTTTTAACTCTCCTGATCAACTGGTCTCCGAGTGACTCTAGAATTCCTTAACAATATTTTCTGATTTGTATGTAGTTTGTGTTTGCAGGTCCATGTTAGTTTTCTGTCTGGTTTCTTGCCAGTCCCTTTTAGTTTTATATCCAGTTTGTAGCCTCTTCTCTCAGTTCTCTTTTGATGTTTCTTTTTTGTTTGTTTTTTCCGTGTGCTTTTGTTGTTATTGTGGTTTGGTCACCTCCCTGGTCATCTGTCTGTAGCTCTGCCCTCTTGTTCTTCCCAGGTGTTGCTTGTTTTCCCTCTGTGTATTTATACCCCCATGTTTGGTTTAGTGTTTGTCTTGCATTTTCTCTGTTTGTTTCCTGGTTTCGCGGTCGTGTTTCCTAGTTTCTGGCTTTGTTACTGTATGGATTTGTTTCTTTTGTGGACCTTTATTATTCTCAACTTGCACATGCGTACAGTCTCTATGCCTCCAGCGTGATAGGTAGATGGAACCTTTTAATACTAAGATGGTTGTAATCGATAAATGATTTGGTGTTTTATAGGAAATATGCAGCTGGTCATAAATTCAATCCACATGATCATGAGGAGAAATTAATATGCATTATTTAGTAGCCATTTGACTGAAACCTTGTCATATGATCTGGAACATTAATGCTGCAGGCCTACAATATGTCAGCTTTCTTTCATTTACGAGCAGGCAGTTCATCACTGCTCATTCAAAGTGCAAGAGTGAGATGTTTGAAATTTGTACATCTGAAACAGGTCAGTGACTGCATGCACTTTCTGTAAGTAAACAGTCCAGGAGGGAGATTTCCCGTAAAGAGTGAGAGTTAAAGGTTGAATTTGACAAAATGTAATGTATCATAATAGTGACCTACATTCATTTTAGCCCACAGAGGTAGCATGGTCATTCGGTACATGTTAATCCTGTATTTTTCAAACAGCATCTGCTTAAAGATTGTATATTTAAGCAGATGTTTATGTAATCATATGTTAGGTCTAAGTTCTGCAAGACATGGCAGTCCAGGAGTAGATTTTCTTATTAATTAAATACAATACTGTGAAGTATATACAAACCCAAGTACATAAAAGTTGGGACAGTAGGTAAAATGTAAATAAAAACAAAAAACAGTAATTTTTCAACTTGATTATTTTTTGTAAATAATCAGTCAGCCTGAAATTGATGTCTATAACTTGTTTGAAAAAGTTAAGAGAGGTGCATTTTAAGAGTAGAAACATTGTAAAATGTTCAAAAAAACATCTTAAATAGGTGAAGCAATTGTGCTTGGATATGAAAGAGGCATCCAGGAAAGGCTGATTCTGTTAAGGTAAAGGGGTGGGCTCATTTGAAAAATAATGTTGCTCAGTGAGTGACTGTAATGATTTTAGGTAATTCACTCTCTACAGTGCATAATATCAAAAGATTCAGAGAATCTGGAGAAATCTCTGTGTAAAGGACAAGGCTGAAAACAACAATGAATGTGACCTTCAACCCCTCAGACGGTACTGCATTAAAACCAGCATGCTTCTGTGATGGATATCACTACATGGAGTCTGGAAAATTTTAACAAACTGTTGTTAATAAACATTGTCAATCTCTGTATCCACAAATGCAGGTTAAAACTATACTATTAACAGTGGAGGTCACATTTTGACAACATCCAGAAACGCTCCTGACTTCTCTGAGCTTAAGCTCATCAAAAGTAGACTGACGCACAGTGGAAACGTACTGTGGTCAAGTCAACCTTTCAGATTGTTTACAGAAATAATGGACATCGTCTTCTCTGGGCCAAAGAAGAAAAGGACCATCCGGATTGTTAACAGCATAAAGTGCACGTCAGGGTAACGGGGTATTAGTGGATAACCTGCACATATGTGAAAGCACCATTAACACTGAACACATTTTGAAGAAATATATGCTGCCTTTTAGACGCTGTCTTTTTCAGGGGGCACCCATGCTTATCTCAATATTACAGCATCAGTCTACATTCTGCACATTACTACAGCATGGCTGTGTAATCAGGGAGTGTGGGTGCTAGACTGGCCTTCCTGAAGTCCAGAACTATCTCTCATTGAAAAACATGAGTCTTATAATGGTCAAAATGCAATAAGAATGGCCCGGTACGGTTACACAGCTGAAGACTTGTACGACCGAAGTATGGCAAAAATTATGCTTTCAAAACTAGATCAGCTTGTGTCTTCAGTCTCCAAATGATTATTAAGTGCTGGTAAAGTAATGCAACACAGGGGTAAACATGCTCCAGTCCCAACTTTTGTTGGAATGTGTTGCAGGCATCAATTTTGGAATGATGGTATATTTACAAACAAACAATGAAGTTTATATGGAAAAACATTAAATATCATGTATTTGTACAGTTTCTAACCTAAAATTGCCTGTTTTTTTGTTTCGTTTTTTTTTAATCACCTCCTAATTTTAATTTAAGGACTAGAATGCTTAGGACTCTCCCCATCACATGATGTCTTTGGGCTGAGGGAGGGATAGGGCTTCCCTCTCTGACTCCTGAACATGGAGAGCTGTGGCTTCATTGGGTTTTGAACTCATGATGTCATGATGATTGGGTAGTTAGATGGATGCATCACTCTACTCTGGATGTTTATGTGCTCTGTCAAAACCTGAGGAACTATGACATTGCGCACATTTACCATTTTATTCTTTTTAGACACCGAAATTTAAATGCTCTGGAGTGGCACAGTAGTCTAACTAGCTGATCAGAGGGTCTTGAGTTTGAATGATAGTGCTGCCACCACCCTCCATAATCAGGAGTCAGAGAGTAAGAAGTGTAAGATGTGGTGGAAGAACTTTTGATTAAATCAAGCTGAGGAAACTCAACAAAGCTGCAAAATCAATTAAGTTGACGTGATTAGACGTATCCAATTCCCCCCACTAGGTAGGACTCCCTCAGTCACATAATACCATTAGCGCTAGGAGGGCAATAGCTAGCACATTCTTCCTCCGAGACCTGTGAAGCGCCACTGCATCTTTTTGAACTGTCATTGGACAGTTGAACGTGCTCTGAGGAAAGCGACAACTGCCAGTTCTGTCATGTCAGCTAACAGTTGCCTGCACTAACTAGCACTGCGCTGGGTAAATGGGGGAGATGGGGGCCATCCTACACACCCAGAGAGCGAGGCCCATTGTGCTCTGTTGGGTTTCCAGCGACAGACAGCTGTAGCATTACCAGGGATTGTGATCTGATGATAGGGCCAATGCTTAGACGGTTGCGCCACTCATGAGCCCCAGTTCTTTATATATTAATGATTTAATTCTGTTGTGTTTAAACATTATTTAACTCACTCAGTCGTGAGCCATAGTTTAAGATTCTGTTCATGCTTAACTGACTATGAACAGTATTGAATGCTTAAACTTGTGTTTGATTTTCAGTAACATTAATCAATTTGTGTATTATTAAGAGGGAGAGAAGGTTATATCAGTAACATTATAAATGAGGTGACTGGTCACTGGTTGAAAAATTTAATATGAAAGTCTGCAACATTCAACATGGAGTCTGTTTATGGGTAAAGCCTCACCCTCACAAAACTGAAAAGATTTGGGTTTATAGGTCTCTCCCCATTCAAAGTGATATGAGCCTGAGTTGCCAAGAGTCATTGAGTGGACAGACTTTCCTATAAAGACTTTGAGTACACTTTGTTTTTACTCCAAAAGTCCACTTTGTATAACAGGGACAAACATTACCTGAACAAAATAGGCAGGGAAGGGGAATAACAAGAATGACATTTAAGTAATGGTTTATAATAAAATCTGACAGATTAGAAATGCAAGCAGTGGTCTACCTGGATAATAGATAGGTGGAGGACTACATCGGTCTCTGCACAGGGTGCATAAAACCATGAGCTGTTGTGCGCAAAAACACAAACAAAACTCTGAAAATAAATTTAACTTAAGATATAATTTGTGCAGTAACATTATGCATTTTCAGCTCTCTCGTTATTTACTACCATCCTGCTGCCTTTCAGTCACAAATACAGTAACTTGATGGTCAGTCTTCTTGTTGGTCAGAAGAGTTTGAAGCTGAAGATACTGGTTGACTCAAAGATAAAAATGAGTGAGTAAAAGGAATGATGAGCTAAAGTGAGCTCTTTCTTGTGTTTTTCCTCTTCAGTGCTATGCTTGACTATTTCTTTCTGGTTTGTGTGAGTGTTGTAGCACGACAGTCTGGTTTCCTAGTCACGCTCTCCACCCCATCTCTATGTTGGCCTCTGATTTGGCCTCAGTTTTTGCTTACATCAGTTTTCAGTGTAGCCAAAATGTGTTGCCCAAAATTGTTAATCATTGATGAGATTTAAATATTTACAGAAACCTCCTGTGGGCTGAATGGCCTTTTAAAAAGGCAGTCAACCTCAACCTTAACCTGGTGTTGGTGATTAGACATCATGGCTGTAAGTGAGTTTCTCAGACAGGAAGGGCTACTGTTAGCCTGCTTCCTCTTTCTCTCTGTGTATGGACGAGCTTCAGGACCGTGAGTAATCCAAAAAGAATAGCCTATTTTGTGACGTACTGTAACACGTGTTGTGATTGTATAGTTATGCTTTATGTGGTAGTGACGTAGAAGACGATAAAGTTGACTTGATTTTAGCGTTGAATTAGACATTTGATTCAGTAAAATCGACAGCTGCAACAAATGTAAACTGGCCCTCCTTCAATGTAACTACTTGAAATGTTATTGGGTCACTATGCCAATTCTGTTCTTGTTACCTAAAGTGTAGTTATTAAAGTCAGTTTCAGAAGTGCTCTCTGGTGGTTGGTATAGTGTAGTAGGCAACACTTCTGTCCTCCATGCTGCAGATCGGAGTTCTATTCCCTGCCTGGGCTTGTAACCTATGCTATACTAAAAAGGAGTCCTTGGGCAAGATTCCTAAAACTACTATCCTCACCTACCTCTGTAAATTGTAATCTTGGCTCTGCCTACATGTCCCATCTCCAAGTCCCAGCGTTTCCTTACCTAGGTTGAGTACAGCCTTGAGGAAATCAAGGATGCATGCATCCCAATCCTGTGTTGGAGCAATGCACTCAGCTCCCTCTCACATTGACTCAGCTGCTGGTGATGGACTTGATTACAGGATGGTGATGGACTTGAGTTCAGGAATGGTCGAGGTGGTGCCTCTTCCTGCAGGGCCAGCACACCAGTTGTTTCACCGCCACTCATTCATTGTTTTGGCAGCAGATCCATGAGTACCTGTAGTGCTTTCCTCTCCAGTGGCAGACACTGGTGCATCGTGGTTGTTGCCATTCAGCCATGATGCCAGGTACAGCGCCCAGGTACCTTCACTGTTAAAGGTGGTAAGCAGTTGAGTGCCATCTCCTTCTTGCTGGGCTCTGGGGAAGAGATAACGTGGGATATGTACCTCATGGTCAAATCAAGTTTATTTATATAGAGCTTTTTACAACAGGCGTTGTGCAGCAATAGCTATGATTTAATAGGTCGAGTTGTGCATGCAGGTGAGGTTTGCACAGTGTTGTACAGCAGGAAGCTCCATGGTGGTCAAACTGGTTCAGAAAGTGGGTGAACAGTAGACACCCGATCAAGGCAGATGAAACAACAGTATCAGACTGCACAGGATGGGCAGCTGTTCAGCTCAGAAACACATACAGTTCTGTTAAGAGTGAATGATTACAGTATACAGTGTAAGAGTGCAGCAGAGACTCTGGCAGGTGTAGTTATTACAGCCTTACTAAAAGAGGGAGCCAGAAGGTAACAAAGACATGACTTCCTGAGATGTTGGTGTCCCTCCGCTTCACTGTCAACAAACTTAAGTGAACGCGTGAGAGCAGCAGGATGACAGCACCAACACTCCCAGTTTACCATAACACTCTGTCCATGAACCCCCAGATCTGCACCATATATCCAATGGCAAAAACTAATAACCAAAAGCTTGACTAAACAAGTAGGTTTTTAGCCTAGACTGAGGCTGCGTCTGAGTCCCAAACACTGACTGGAGGATTATTCCAAAGCTGGGGGGCTTGGTATGAAAAGGCTCTAACCCCTAATGTAACTTTATTAATTCTAGGTACTAATAGTAAGCCAGCACCTTGTGATCTAAGTAGGTGTGATGGTTCATAATAATCAATACAAAGAACAATCTATGTTTTGAGTTAAATAGGAGCAAGTTACTTAACATCCAGTCCAGAACGATACATTTCCTTGGCCAGAGAATAATAAGAGATTGTTTACAAGTCACTAGTGTACTATGATGAGGCCTAAATCCAGACTGAAATTTTTAATGTATGTGATTCCTATGCAAATAGGAACTTAGTTGTTGTGCCACAGATTTTTCCAAAATCTTTGATATAAAGGGAAGATTTGAGATTTGAGCTCTATAATTTGGTAGCTCACAGGGATCAAAATTAGGATTCTTAGTCAGAGGTCTGGTTACTGCTAGTTTAGAAGTTTTTGGTATGTAGCTAAGACTAAGATATAGTTTATTATTGACAGAATAGACTTGGTTGTTTCTGGCAAAATTTCTTTGAGTAAATGGTAGGAATTGGATTGAATATGAAAGTAGGAAATTTTCAGGAGGAAATAATTTTAACTAGCTCAGTTTGTTCAAGTAAGGTAAACAATTCCAGCCTCTCTGCAGTACTTACAACATACTCCAGATCTGGATTAGCTTTGTAGGGCAGTAGGTTTGTAGAGGTTAACTGTGCATATTTATTCTTTTTTGCCTGTTTGTTATTGAATTATTATATAAATATTTTATTATTGAAACATTTCATAAAGTCATTGCTGCTGTAGACTGATGGCATCTGGGGTTCAGTAGCTGTTTAGTTCTTAGTCAATTTAGAAATTATGCTAAATAATAATCTAGGATTATTCTTACTATTTTCAATCAGAGAAGAGAGATAGGTTAAGCGTGCTGCAGCAAGTGCCCCTCTATAGTCTAAAAGGCCATCCTTCCAGGCAGACTGGAATACTTCTACTTTAGTTAGACACTATTTTTGCTTGAATTGTCTGACAGTCTGTTTTAAAGCTTGAGTATGATCATACCATGATTATACCATGTGGCAAGCTTTTTTGCTTTATTCTTTTACTTTTAAATGGAGCCACATTATCTAGAGTAGATCGAAAAGTATCCTCTAAGCGCTCAGTCATAATAACTAATTCAGTAGTTTCAGACAGATAGCTGATAGAAGCTGATGGATCTGGGAGGTTTCTGATAAAGCTACTGGCGATGATGGATGTTCTAGTCTGCTTAACATGATAGTGTTGCGATGAACATGTGTTATGACTAAAGTGGATTTCATATGAGATTAGGTAATGATCTGAGACCGCTGTGCTTTGGGGGAAAAAATGGGAATTGATCTATTTGTACAAAAAAAGGTCAAAATTAAGTTGAGTGTGGTTGCAATAATGAGTGGGTCTCTTTATATTTTGAGTGAAACCAAGAAAGCGTAAGATAAAAATTACTGTGTATTCTGGGGTTTGTCAAAGTGGATATTAAAGTCTCTGACAATTATTAGTTTATTACTTTATTTAAGAGTGTTGCTAAACTTGATAGAAAGTCAGCAAATTCCTGCTATATACATAATTGTATGTGGGGGTGGCTTCATTTAGAGCAAAGTATTCATCAGGTCTAATCCACGTTTCTGTGAGGTACAGAGCATCAAATTTTTTGTGAGTAAAAAGTTCATTTACAACTATGGCCTTACACGTAAGAGATCTTATGTTAAGCAGTCCTAGTTTTAGACCAAAGGTGCTGTCATTGCAAATTGGTTTTACTGGTCTGATATCGATTAGATTAATAGATATTTATTATTACTAGATTAATAATATTTGTCTGCTGCCTGCCTTGACTGTCCTATCTGAGAGACTATGTTACAGGAAACGAGAGCAGCACCCTCCCGCGAGGGTTGAATACCATCCTGACTCAAAAGAACAGGCTTACCCTCTAAAGTATCTACAAAGCCTACATTGTTTTCTGAGCACCACTTTGACAACCGGCAGTTCAGCAACCACAACCTGGAGTAGATTTCAGTGCCACATCAAACTGGGATCTGGCCAGAGCATATTATGGTCTTTAGATCATACTGAATGCCACAAATGAATCAGTAGTACATACATGAATGACTATCCTCAAATACCTATGGCCTATACCTGTTAGCAGCTTCATGTTCCCTCTCATGTCCGGCGCCCTGGCTCACGATATACAGCCAACTGCTACTGGTGCCCCAAAGAGCAAGCTATATTCACTAGCTAGAATCACCTATAACCAGAGCTCTCAGAGGGTGTCTTACTGAGTAGGGCAAAACTATTGGACACGTGAACGGGAGAGGAGTGGTGCTTGCATTGGGGAAGCTTAAGCATTAGCTTTAGCTTTGCGACTATGCTGTCGAGACACCCATTCATCCCGCTGTAAGGACTCTGCTGCTGGAGTCGAGTGCTGTCACTGAGGCATCCGGAACTTCTAACAGCGAGTATTAGCCCTGCTGACAAGCCCTGCTCTTTTCCAGTTTCCTGATGCACATGTCTAACTATATAATTCTCTCCGTCAAGCAAGAAACTAACTTTAAGTTCTCACAAATGAAGCTAGTAAGCTGCTGTCACTGTTGATGGAGAAAGAGGCATAGCTAAACATGCTGCACTAAGAGAAAAGGAACAGCTGAACAGTCTGCCGTCCTGATACTTATGCTGCTTTGTTGAATGAGTCCTGTTCAGGTGTCTTGCGATGGTGGTTGCAATTTATTGGTAGTTTTTTTTTGTGTGTTTTTGTTTGTGTTTCAACACACTGCACCTTTACTTACAGAATGACGACTTTGTGCCATCATACCAACTTTTAAAGTTTTGGTGTGAAATATTTTCAGATATAGCTTTGATGTGGCCATTTTGCTTGATGTGAGATGCACCTATCAGCTGGCTGCATACTAAGTAAAAACATCACATAAAAATACATTGTTTTTCATTAATTTTCTTTACTACTACACATGCCTTATTGAATTAATAGATTACATTAACAGGTACTAAGATGAGTTGGTCCAGTTCATGTGGACGGGTCACTCCAAAGTATAATCTTGCCTAGCACCTACTATAATCTGTAACAGACATGTCAAACTGGGGATGTTCTCTGCCAAAGTGTTGTGGAGATTAGCATTTCCTGCATAACCTCGCTTCACTGATGAGCTGAATCAGGTGTGTTAAATGAGGCAGTGTGCTGAAGTCTGTAGTCTTTTGGCCCATGAGGACTGGAGCTTGACATAAGTGGTCAAGAGTCAGCCTTTATCACATAGGTATTGAAACCTGCATGTTTTAAAGCCCTCAGTCTGCAGTTTTGCAGTAGGTGAATGATTGCTTCATTTAGTTGATCACTAAGTTTTGCTCTGATTTTTGTACAGTGGTTTCTTTTATATAACTCACTGTTTCAGTATTGCTTAATTTTACATCTTTTAATTGTCAGTTACTGCTTTTTGCCTTTAGGTATTTCATGGTGGCGTTTCCTGCAGTGATAGAGTCTGGATCTGAGGCTACACTGTGTGCGAGACTTCTGAAGCCTAATGAGACTCTGCAAATGACGATTTATCTGGTTCACCGCAACCAGAACAGAACACTTCTACAGGAGAGAGTGGAGGAAGAATTTCACCGCTGCTCTCAGTTTAAGGTCAGAAACCACCAGGATGACTTTTATACGAATCATTAGTGTTTGATATGTTTGAACATTGAAAAAAAGCTCAACATATAATGGGATCTCTTCAGGCTCCACAGGTTGGAGGTGAATCAGTGCAGCAGATCAGAGTAGAGGTCAAAGGTGAAAGTTTTCAGATGACAGAGAAACGAAAAGTTATGTTTAAATCCTACAACCCACTGACATTCATTCAGACTGATAAACCAATCTACAACCCCGGCCAAACAGGTAATTCATCATTTCTGATTTCTACAGTGTGTCACCACTTCAGTACACTATTAAAGGAATATTCCAGCATCTTTCAGCCTAATCTCTGTCTGCTATAGCTGTGTCATAAGGTAACGATTAATATGCTCATCATTGTGATTTTTCCAATACAGTCGTAGGTAAAAGTTTGGGTGCCACAATTTCATCCCTCTGAAAAACTAGACATTTGTTTGACTGAAGAATTCATGAAAGAGTAAACTTTTACTGATAAAACTCAGCAACTGCCCAAAGGCTTCTACAACCCCATTTCCAAAAAAGGTGGGATGCTGTGCAAAGTGTAAATAACAGTAGAATGTAATTATTTGCAAATCATGTAAACCCTGTATTTCATCAAAAAATAGTACAAAAGACAACATATCAAATGGTGAAACTGAGAATCTTTTTTTTTTTTTAAATATATACACATTTTGAATTTAATGCCAACAACACATTCCAAAAAAGTTGGGACAGAAGCATGTTGACCACTATGTCGCAACACCCCTTCTTTTAACAACACTCTAAGCATGTGGAAACTGAGGAGATGAATTGTTGTAGTTTTGAGAGAAATGTTCTCCCATTCTTACTTGATATAGTATTTTAGTATTAGCTGCTCAACATTTCGAGGTCTGCTTTATCGGATTTTTCGTTCCTAATACACCAGATGTTTTCAATGGGTGGCAGGTCTGGACTGCAGGCAGGCCAGTTTAGCACCCGGATTCTTTTAATACGGAGCAATGCTGCTGTAATACATGCAGAATGTGTTCAGCCTTCCCTGAAAAAGACATTGTCTGGATGGTAGCATATGTTGCAAAAACCTGTATATATTGTTCAGCATTAATGGTGCCTTCACAGATGTGCCAGTCACCCATACCATGTGCACTAATGCACCCCATACCATCATGAATACTGGCTTTTGAACTGTGTGCTAATAAGAAGCTGAGTGGTCTTTAGCCTAGAAGACACAGCGTCCATGATTGTCTAAGAACATTTCTTAGTTTTATCATCTGATTTGTCTTTGTACCATTTTCAATGAAATATAGGATTTACCTGATTTGCACATCATTGCATTTTGTTTTTATTTACATTTTGTACAGCGTCCCAAATTTTTTGGAAATGGGGTTGTATTATAAGTGTATTTAATGTCAGCAGGCTCTCTACAGGCAGACACAATGAAATTATTGTCCGTGGTAACTGACTGCATGTAACAGTTGCAACAGAAGGACCAGGTGAGAAGCACTGAGGGCTGAAACTGAGTTTCCCAGCCCTGATACAGTGACTTGGTAGAAAAGGGCTGGAGTATTCTTTTAATAGTAAAGTATGTGTTACTCAGTGTGCAGTTTAAAGTCTGATATTTATTTACCATTTACAGTGAATTTCAGAGTTGTCACTGTGGATACTAATTTTGTCCCACTTAAACAAGAGGTGAGGAAAGTATTGTTTTAAGTTTTATGACTTAAATTATATATGAAAAAAGGCTGCTTACTGGTTTATAGTTCAATAAATCCTGTCTTTAATATTTCCTTTTAATTGCTCATAAGTGTTGTACAATGTTATTTTCATAAGCATTTATTTATTTATTTTTTGTTTTTTTTAAAAACAAAAAAACAAATTTATATATTTAGTTAGTTGTCCTGCACACACTTATCTGTATTGAAGGCATTCTGTTAATTTTTAGTGTTTAATGATTTTGGGGGGTCTTTGGAGTTTCTTATTCAAAATAACGAAAAACGTACTCTTCTTTACAGTACAGCATGCTGACGCTTGAGGTAAGACGGCTCCAGACACATTTCCTGAATCTTACTGATTTTTAGTTCAGTGCTTCCTTAATACTATTATTACAATTAATCAAATTTAAGTGTCTTTTATGGAACCAAACAGGATAATAAAGGTAACAGGATTGGTCAGTGGACGAATGTGTCCTCAACAGGCCTGATAGTGCAGCTTTCACACAAGCTGAATCCTGAGGCTCCTGAGGGCCAGTATAAAGTGAAGGCTAACATTGGGGATAGGTCAATCACACATAATTTTAAAGTGAAGAAGTATGGTAAGTGACAGCATTACATTAGTTTTTCTACGGATAAAGAGGTAAGCTATGCAGTTCACTGCAATAATAAGGCAATTTGGACTTTTAGCTTTACCCAGGTTTGAGATTACAGTGAAAACGCCTGAAAAACAGAGTGTTGGGGAGGAGGAACTGAAGATCGAGGTTTGTGCAAAGTGAGTGATGGTTTTAAGACTGAATCTCAAACATAAAACAGAAAATAAGAAACTGTTTGTGTTTTATTCAGTCTTTTCAGACTGGAGATTGGTAAAAGATATAAACATTTTCTGAAAATTAAAGTAAAGGCACCAATTAAATCTACCTTTAAAATCTACTACGGAAAACATTTGGTAAAGTTTCAGTAGTGTTATGATTGTTAGTGACAAAATGGAATGTTCAGTCATTTGTTTTAATAAAATAAACATTATTAAGATATACAACCCCATTTCTAAAAAAGTTGGGATGCTGTGTAGAATGTAAATAAAAATAGAATGCAATTATATGCAAATCAGGTAAACCACATTTTTGAAAAATTTATGCTCATTTTGAATTTGATGCCAACGACATGTTCCAAAAATTTGGGATAGGGGCATGTTTACCTCTGCGCTGCATCACCTCTTCTTTTAACAACATTCTGTAAGCGTTTGGGAACTGAGAAGACCAGTTGCTGTAGTTTTGAAAGTGAAATGTTTTCCCATTCTTGTTTGATATAGGATTTCAGCTGCTCAACAGTTCAGGGTCTCATTTGCAGTATTTTTCATTTCATAGTGCACCAAATGATATCAGTGGGTGACAGATCGTTGTGCACCCGGACTCTTTTAATATGGAGCAATGCTGTTGTAATATATGCAGAACGTGGTTTGACATTGTCTTGCTGAAAAAGACGTTGTCCGGATGGCAGCATATGTTGCCAAAACATGTATCCATTGTTCAGCATTAATGGTGCCTTTACAGATGTGTAGGTCACCCATGCCATACACACTAATGCACTCCTATACCATCATGAATACTGACTTTCGAACTGTGCACTGATAACAAGCTGAGTGGTCTTTAGCCTGAAGGACACAGTGTCCATGTTTCATTCCAATTTCAAATTTTGATTTGTCAGACCACAGGACACTTCTCCACTTCCCCTCAGTCCATATTAAATGTGCTTGGGCCCAGAGAAGGTGGCAGCATTTCTGGATCCTGTTTATATGTGGTTTCTTCTTTGCATTTGAGTTTTAACTTGCATATGTGGATGCAGTGATGAAATGTGTTCACAGACAATGGTTTTCAGAAATGTTTCTGAGCCCATGCAGTGATTTCCTCTACAGAATCATGTCTGTTTTTATTGCAGTGCTGTCTGAGGGCCCAAAGATCACAGTCAGCAAATACTGTTTTTTGGCCATGTCCCTTACATACAGAGATTTCTCCAGATTCTCTGAATATTTTAATGATATTATGTATCGTAGATGATGAAATCCACAAGTTCTTTGCTATTTTACGTTGAGAATTGTTGCACTATTTGATTGTGCAGTCTTTCACAGAGTGGTGAACTCCTCTCCATCTTAACTTCTGAAAGCCTCTCTGAGATGCTCTTTTTATACCCAATCATCTTACTGACCTGGTGCCAATTAACCACCAGGTGTTTTTTTAGCATTACACAACTTTACCAGCCTTTTTTTGCCCCATCCCAACTTTTTTGGAACGTGTTGTTGGCATCAAATTCAAAAAGGGGCATATATTTCTTTTGAAAAAAACAATTAAATTTCTCAGTTTCAACATTTGGTATGTTGTCTTTGTACTATTTTCAAAGAAATATAGGGTTTAAATGATTTGCACATCATTGCATTTTGTTTTATTTACATTTGCACAGCGTCTCAACTTTTTTGGAAATGGGATTGTAATAGGGTCAGTCAAAGCAATAGGGTTTTAGTCTAAAGTTTAGGTCAGTTAAAAATCTAAAATGTATTTTCAACTCTGAATTTGAACCAGTTCGGTAGAATGATTCATATATGGCATATTTGAATAAAAATGGCAATAAAAAAACAGAAACTGTACTGTGTGTTTATACTCTCTGCCTAGTTTTTAAAAAAAGTGTATTTTTGAAGGTACACTTATGGACAGCCAGTACCTGGTAAAGCACTGGTGCAAGTGTGCCGGGCAAGCTTTTTTCGTCGGTATAATACATCGTGTCTGGTTGAAACTGTGGAGGTGTGTATGTATCTAGTACTATATTAGAAGGGAACAGTTTTTTTTTTTACTAATGAGACGGTTCTCACAACGTTTTTGCTCTTTGTTTTTCTCCTGTAGATGAAAGAGAACGGATGTGCCTCTCCTGTATTTAACATGTCGCATTTCACTGGTTCTGAATTTGAACAGGTGTTAAAAGATTGTCTTGATGCTACTGTTACAGTGACAGAGGAAGGAACAGGTGAGTCTTTTCTTAACACATACTATACACTGTTAGAAATAAAGGTAATGTGCGGGTGCATTTTCGTTCATCAAGGTACAAACAATGTAAATGTTACCTCAAAGTGGCTTTAAGGTCTACTTGTGTACCTTAAGTAGGTTTTCCTGTGTGAAAATTACATATTTGTACCTTTTCATAACCTAATGTTTTTAAACAGACCAATAAAATAAAAAGCCTGTAGATCAGATGGGGTGTGGAGTCAGTACAGCTTAGAAAGTATAGCTTCAATGGCTTATGTTGTGCATTTCATTAGTATGTATTTAGTAACATGCTTATTTTTGTTGTAGACATTTCTATGGAAAAATCTGAATCCATACAGATTACTTATGAAATTGGTAAAACTGAGTTTCTTGATTTACCTGAAAGCTTTGAACGGGACACAATTATAGAGGGAAAGGTGCGTCTTTTTTACATGCAGTCTTTCTTTAGTACTTTCGTTTGTTTTGCTTGTGTTGCTCTAATTTTTTTTTGGAATTGACAACAAATGTTTTTTCCCTGATCAACAGATCAAAGTCACAAAGTTCAGTGGAAAACCAATTCCTAACAAGAACGTGTATCTTTTTGAGGGTCGTATTTGGTCTCCAAAGCGAATTCAAAATCTCACTACAGATGTTAATGGATTGGCCAGCTTTTCAGTTAATACGTCTGATCACTCTAAAACAGAGATTTCACTGATGGTATGGCATGATGTCCAAATATTTTCTGAGAGTTTGTGTTCACTGTCTTTCACTAAAGCAAATTCCTGTTTCACTGTTGTCTAGGCAAGTGTCAGTCCAAAAGTCAAATTTGTGGAATTCAATGTACCTTTCATTGAAATAAGTTTTGCAAGTATAGAACGACTCCAACCTGCTACACCTTACAGTCCAGTCTACAGTGAATTATTAATAGAGAGCTTGAAGGAACCGATTCCATGTGGTTCTGAAATTTCTATAGACATTAAGTACTACATTGTTGGAGAAACCACTGAGAATTACACCACTGATATTATATACATGGTGAGTACATTGTGTTTTAAAGTAAGCACTTGTATTTCATTTCTTCTATTTAGACAGCTTTAAATGAAACACAGTTGGTTGTTTTTTGCCAGGATCATGTATTTTGGTTCTTTGGTGCAGGCTTTATCTAAAGGAGCCATAGTCCGTCATGGATATGAGAAAGTTGAAGTGAAAGAATCCAAAAAGCTCATAGAGGGAAAAGTCTCATTCAGACTGTCTGCTGATGCTGATCTGGCTCCTGTAGTGCAGGTTCTGGTGTACTGTGTGCTGCCCAGTGAGAACGTCATCGCTGCTAGCAAGAATTTTAATGTTGAAAAATGCTTCAGAAACAAAGTAATGCTAACACATTTGGTTCTTTATATCTTTGTTTTGATATTTTAAGATAATTGTTAGCTTGTAATCAGCCACGGTTAATGGGAAAAACTGTCTAAACTTGTTTCCATCATGATCTTCAGGTCTCACTGCAGTTCTCTCCCACTGAGGCAGTTCCTGGTGAGGAAAACACTCTCCAGCTCTCAGCTCTGCCTGGTTCACTGTGTGGACTCAGTGCTGTGGATCAGAGTGTGTTCATCATGGAACCAAGAAAGCGCCTGAATGCTGACAAGGTGATGTTCAGAGTTACTGGATATTGATTCTGGTCCTTGAGGCCCCCAGCTCTGCATTTCAACAGTTTACTTTGTCCCAAAACACCTGACCAAAATAACAAATTATCAACCCCTTACTGTGTTCATGTGTATGTATTAAAGCATAAAAAGTACTAAAATGTACAGGGGATTAGTACAGGGCTGTGGGCATCCAGGGAAATGGCCAGCAAACGCTCTGTTAGGGATTGCATATACCATTTGACCATTTGGTGAGGTTGCATCTTTGTTTTTTTGACAAAGGGATCATCCAACCTTCCATGTTATTTGAACTTTAAATATTAACATGATTAGATGTTTTGACAGATTGATTGTCTTATGTTTTAAATGTGCAGAGCGGCCCTGAATATTCTGTAATAACTCTCACTAGGACACTTTTGTACTCTTTCCACTCTACCAGACACTCCTACCTTGTCAGTTCACCTTGTAGATGTAAAGTCAGAGACGATAGCTCATCTGTTTCACAGTTTGTGTTAGTCCTCCTCTAGCCCTTCATCAGTGGTCACAGGGCACTACCCACAGGATATTTTTTGGCTTTTGATTGGTGGACTATTCTCAGTCCAGCAGTGACACGGAGGTGTTTCAAAGCACCAGCAGCACTGCTGTGTCTGATCCACTCGTACCAGCGCAACACACACTAACACACCACCACCATGTCAGTGTCCTTGCAGTGCTGAGAATGATTTACGACTCATAAGTGTGTGTGTGTGTGTGTGTGTGTGTGTGTGTGTGTGTGTGTGTGCGTGTGCGTGTGCACATCGTTGCTGTCATGACAAAACCTTATGTCTCCAAAATGTTTACTTTAGAGGAGAAGAAAAATCTTTTTTAACTATGGAAGTTATAATGGAAATCAATGGAGCAAGAATTTTAATTTTTGAGCATTTCTATTGTTCCTATCATACTGAAATTTTAACACTTATATATGTCAGCTGGATTTTTCAAACAAATAAAAGTAAAAAAGTGATAGAAATGGACAAAGTTTTGTTTCAACAGGAGCATTATATATGTTCAATAGATCTTCTGCTTGTTTATTCTGGGTTTCTGTAGCTTTATTCTCTGGGTTTGTTCTATAAGGACTCTTATGGTAAAGGATGGGGTGAGCCGCTTTGATCTGTGTTCATTCCTGTACAACAAGAAGAACTGTGTTAGTGAGAGCATTTACATGCACTAAATAATCCGATCCTAATCGGATTTCTGCAGTTCTCTGATTATTCAAATGGTCATGTAAACACCTTACTCTGATCTAGAAATCCCATTAAGAAATCCGATAAAGAGAGCAGGATTTTAGCTCAGTAATCTGATTTCCCAGTGCATGTATAGTTATACTCTGATTTCTTTTGGATTTCTCAGTCATCGCATGTGCCAGAATAGACAACAGCAGGGTTGCTGTGCGTTCTTCTGTGAGTTTATTGGCTGGTTGCAAAGCAGAAATCCAATTACTGTCTGAGTCTTGTAGACCTGGAGTTTCCCATTATCTGATTACTGAAGTGCATGTAAATATGTTGATCGGATTACTGACAATCTGATTTTCTGCAGTTATTGGATTATTAAGTGCATGTAAACGCACTTAAATGAGAGCTCAGATGCAAGTGATTGCAGACCTGAGCTAATGCTAGAGCTAGCTGTTAGCTTAAAGCCTTGCTCTCTGCACGGCATGGCTGGGGCTGACTACAGCCTTTAATGAGCACATCATCTTGTGCAAAACGTATGTTTTCTTTCTAGAGTAGTGTAAATGTGAACTTTGGGCGAATTATTCCTTTAAATAGCTGTGACGCTTCCCTCTGGCTCAGTCGACTCAGAGGCTGATCTCCCAGAAAACTCCACTTCCCAGGATGCATCAACAGATCACATGACTTACACGTCAAAACTATCAGCCAGTCATGATCCGTTCCAGATATCCAGCTCTCCTGAATACTGACAAGTGCCAGCAAAGTAACAGTGATCTCATTCCAGTGTTTTTGCTCTTAGCCTCATGTTCACACATTACCGGGTTTTGGTATTGACCCTGACCTGACTCAATAGTGTAAATTTGGATTGTCCTGTTTCTATAAAAAGCCCTTCTCTTTGCACCTGTGTGTGTCCATCCCAGCCTGACTCGTCACAGTAGCACATTATTGCACTAATACAGCAGCAATAGAGTAGAATCTTTCATATTCTTATTCAATACACATACATTTGGAGCAACAGAGAAAGTGGGAAATCCTTTTTTTATTAAGTTAATACACAAAGTGTTTGTATGTGTTATTTTGTGAGAGACAATAACAATAATAATAAAAATAAGTTCATTTATGTCTGTCTTAGGTCTTTAACTTGTTGCCAGTGACATCAGTATCGGGTTATACCTATGAAGTTTTTGATGGGCAGAAGTGTCTGCACATTAGACAACGTCAGAAAGCACAGCAAGACCATGTTGACAATATTCTAAAGGTAACTGACTGTTTGTCAAATGTAGTGTAAATGCTTGTGTAAATAACTTAGTACAAATATTTTTACACTATATAATCAAATCTAAAGTGAATGAAAATTTGCATTTATTATTTTAAAGTGACTTAATCTAATTTTCATCTTCATACAGCGTGTGGGGATCAAGGTGGCAACCAATTTGGCTGTGAAAAATCCTGAATGTTTCAGCTACAGAGATATTCCGGATCGACGATATGGTAAAAGTATGTTGGACGTTCTGTTTGTACATCCATTTCTTCTGCTTGCTATTTCCAACAATCTTTAACAGGTTGTACAGTAATATATATTGTATACTGAATATACAGTATAAGGTATGCTAATTGTTCATGTGTTTTGTGGATTTTAAGGTGGGTTCATTTCAAAGCCTACTGGTTCAAGACATGCAGAGTCTGGACCTGTTGAGACAGTTCGCAAAGTCTTCCCAGAAACTTGGATATGGCAACTTGCTGAAGTGGGGTTAGTGAATCCGCAAATTACTTCTTAAACTTATTTTTTGTGTGTTTTATTGTGTTTGATGTTTAAATAATTAAAATGACATAAAATAATGATTGTTTATGCACCTGTTTTTTAACCTCTCATCTCTGGGAGATATTGTTTTCATAGTCGTTACCAAACAATATATAACAGCTACTGAATAAGAAGCATAATATTAGCTGAATAATAAGATAGAGTTAATTGGATTATGTGGGTATTACGGCTGAATGAATAGGGCAGGACATCTCCTAAGGACGTACCATGTTGGGGGGGGGGTATTTGGGAGCACATAGATTGCAGAAATTTTTGGAGAAAAGCATTTTTCAAATTCCAGTGTAAATATATTCAAAATAATTTCAATTACAAACCAATATTCTTTACTTAGTTACAAGAATAACTGAAACAAAACAAAAAAAAAACACTTGAAAAAATAAAGCAATGCATTTCAAAAGAAAAGAAAATCAACATTCAAAGAAAATGAATTATACAACCAAAAATAAACCAACACAAATACAATAAACATAAACAATACATTAAGAAAAGCAGGTGAAAGCAAACCGTTTGAAACTCCAACAAATTCACTGTTGCATGGAAGCGCGCTTTCCTAAAAAATGATAAACAGTGAGCTCTAAACAGAAGCTCTGATTTTACCACTGCTATTTTAAAACCTATGTGTAATACAAATGTAAACCATTCAGCACTTAAAAAAAAAACACAGATGTTATAAACAGCAGTATAATAATTAGATGAGCTCCTTTTCGCCTTGATACTAATCCAACACCCCTTCACGTTCCATTAAAGAAAACAAAGCATGAACTAGGCACATGCACTCACCTCAGTTACTTTGCTGTGCGTGCTGTAAGCAGGATTAATCAAAGGTCTTTGTGTGTCTTTGTTAATTAAAGCAGTTTGTGTGTTTGCTTTTAAATGGCTGACTGTTACAGCCACGCGCAGCAGTGATAACATAATTCAAATCAGATCAATATCTTATTGCAATTTTTCAGACCAGTATTGTGACTGTGAATTCGTTTGATATTTTATTTCTATAAATTATAGTTCAGGCCTGCTTTTTTGGCCAAGAAGACCAACATGGCTTGAGGCTTGAATGCTGAAGCTAGTGTGCCAGCCTGCCAGTTCATTGCGGTAGTGTTGTAATGTACACAGCCTGAGTGTTTGTTTGCTTCTGATTGGTCCAAAGCTAGCTTTACATGGAGAAACTTTCATGTTATGTTGTTAGTTGCCTGCAACATATTCATTTCATTTTCATGCGACTTGACAGTTACACAAATATATTTAAAAAATTGCAAACAACAAAACCAGTTTCACTAGTGCACTAATTAACCAAATTAGCTGTTTGTATTTTTGAGACACTGTAAACACATTGATGTGTAGTTTACATATGTGCAGCATTTATATCGTCTTTGTATATTTTTTCCAGTGGTCACTGCTGTTTTTTTTTATCTAGGGTTACTTAGTTGCATGAAAGTAAAGCCAGGCTAACTCATATGCAGGCAGTTCACAAGCTCTGTGTTAAGTTAAATTTCTCCGTTTTGTGAGTTCAGACCTTCAACATATGGTGGCAGTATGAGGGAAGACTGAGGGAGAAGAGTAGGAATAGGAATTGCAGCTATTGCAAGTCACACTCTTTCAAAGTGCAGTTTTGACAAAAACATTTTGGTAATAGTCATTTTTTTTTCTTAATTTTCTTTGTCTTGCTTTTATAGGACCCAGAAGGATAAGTGGTTTAGAGGATGTGTGTGTGTGTGCTTTTATAGTGACACGCTTTGTATACTTAAAATAAAGCAAATGTCATGAACTGAAAAAAATAAAATTATAAAGATTTCTCTTGATTCTTGAAATGCCAGTGCTACTTTTCCACAGAGACTCTGGATCAGCACAGGTTCCTGTCACTGTTGCAGACACTATCACCACTTGGGAGACGGAGGCTTTCTGTCTGTCCTCTAGAGGTCTGGGTCTAGCTCCTCCTGCTCAGCTTCGTGTCTTCCAGCCCTTCTTACTGGAGCTCTCGCTGCCTTACTCCATCATCCGGGGAGAGGAGTTTGAGCTGAAGGCCACTGTCTTCAACTATCTCTCCAAGTGCATTATGGTACTGTAAGATCAACATTTTCTGTCTAAACCAGTCTCTCATCACTTCACATCCACAGTAAGCTGATCTCCTGTGCTTCATGGACAGGTTAAAGTGACTCCAGCTCCTTCCTCACACTACACTCTGAAACCCTCCTCTGATGGAGAGTATTCATCCTGTCTGTGTGCAAATGGTAGAAAGACCTTCAAATGGACTCTTGTTCCCTCTGTGCTTGGTGAGTTCTAAACCTTTCAAGTTCAGACATAATCTCACATTTCTGTTGAATTGTTTTTGTGCTAATAAACTCCTCTCTGCATCTTTTGATGTGTTTTAGGGGTCTTGAGTGTGACAGTCAGTGCTGAGGCAGAACAGTCACAGGCTGTGTGTGACAATGAGATTGTGAGTGTGCCTGAGAGAGGCCGCATTGACACAGTCACACGGAGCCTGCTTGTACAGGTAGAAAATAAACTGTCAAGTTTAAGGATTATTATGAATTTATATAATAATAATAATAATAATAACTATAATAATAATATTGAACAACTCAAATCAAATCACAATTATTGTCACATCACATTAACACAGGTACAAAGGTGAGTAAAAATCTAAGGTGTGAAGCCCCCTTGTTGTACTTGAATACAAAAATATACAAAACATATATTTAAAACAATACATATACACATTAAACTCTAAATATATATATTAATATACACTAGTATTGCACCAAATAATATTGAATAACATTATTATTTCTCCTCTTATTATTATTATTATTAGTATTATCACCTACTCATTCTATTTTCCCCACGTAGGCTGAAGGAACAGAAAAGATCAAGAGCCAGAGTTGGTTGCTGTGTCCACAGGGTTAGGCCTACACATTTTACCATTTCAACTTATATCTGATTTATATCTCATTTACATTTTTACTCTTCACACTAATGGTGAACAACACACTGTAGTGCACAGTAACGATTAAACTGCCTGTTTCATTCACAGGAAACAGTGTTTCAGAGGAGATGGAGCTGATTCTTCCTGAAGATGTGATCGAGGGATCAGCACGAGCTTCTGTTTCAGTGCTTGGTAAGAAAGTAAACATTTAGTATGAAGAATTTTGTAAGTGAACAGTGGATTCCTGTTGTGCTATGAGTGTATTATGTAGAATCTTATACTACACTTGGTGTATTTTAGATAAAAAAGACTTGCATTTAAATTTTTCAGAAATATATATTTTTTAAGGCTAGGTTCATTTTTAGGTGGCCCTTTTATTTCAGCCGTCATTTCTGAACACAAAATAACCCCATCATCATCATTAACCGCTTAGTCCAGATAGGGTCGTGGTAGCAGTTGGGAGAGCAGAGAATCCCAAACGGCCCTGTCCCCCGCAACTTCCTCCAGCTCATTCCTGGGGACCCTATCAAGTAGAGTGTAGCCTTAATGCTGAGTATACGATGGCACACTATACACCTGGAGGACCTCCCACAAGATATCTCAGGGAACACGGTTGTAAGCCTTCTCCAAGTCCACAAAACACATGTAGACTGGGTTGGCAACCTCCCATGCCCCCTCAAGAATCCATGAGAGGGTGAAAATCTGGTCCATGTTCCACGACCTGGATGGAATCCAGTCGGCCAGGAGGGTCTGCCAGTCCGAGGGTACTGTTCCCGAGGTCCATGCCTTATTGCAGAGGCGTGTCAGCCATGACAGCCCTACAACATCCACAGCCTTAAGCATTTTTGGACAAATCTTATCCACCCCTGGTGCCTTGCCACTGAAGAGCTTGCCAACTACCTCAGTGACCTCCACCAGGGATTCCCATGAGGGAGGCATGTCTCTCGGATTAAGGGGTGCCTCAAAGTGCTCCTTCCGCCGACCAACAATATCCTCATTTGAAGTCAGAGTTTCTCCATCCCTGCTGAATATAGCTTGGGCGAAGCCACCCCGTCTGCTCCGGAGTCGCCGGACAGTTGTCCAGAACCTCCTTGAGGCCGACTGAAAGTCTTTTTCCATGGCCTCACTGAACTCCTCCCTCGCCCTGGATTTTGCTTCTGCCACCGTTTCCACTACCACTTTTTTTGCTTTTTGGTACCAATCTGCTGAGTCATGGGGTCCTCCGGGCCATTCAATCCCTAAAGGCCTCTTTTTTCAGCTTGACGGACTCCCTCACCACTGGTGTCCACCAGGGGGTTCTTGGGTTACCACCCTGACAGGCACAAACAAGCTTTTGGCCACAGCTAGGCCTGGCAGCTTCCACCATGGAGATTTTGAACAGGGTCTATTCAGACTCCATGTCCCCTACCTCCTAAGGAACATGAGAGAAGCTCTCCCGGAGGTGGGAGTTAAAATCATTCCGAACAGGGGCCTCTGACATTCGTTCCCAGCACACCCTCACTATTCGCTTGGGCCTACCGGGTCTGACCATCAGTCTTCCCTGCCATCTGATCCAACTCACCACCAGATGGTGATTGGTTGACAGCTCAGCACCTCTCTTCACCCGAGTGTCCAGAACATATGGTCTCAAGTCAGATGAAACGACAACAAAGTCGATCATTGACCTTTGACCCAAGGAGCTCTGGTACCATGTACACTTATGAACATCCTTGTGTTCGAACTTGGTGTTCATTATGGACAATTCATGCTTAGCACAGAAGTCCAATAACAATTCAATGTTTGAGTTTAGATCGGGCAGGCTGTTCTTCCCAGTCACACCTCTCCAGGTCTCCCAGTCATTGCCAACATGACCGTTCAAGTCTCCCAGCAAGACTATGGAGTCTGTAGGGGGAGCCTTTTCCAGAACCCCGCCCACTCACTTCAAGAAGGCCGAATACTCCGCATAAGCACACACAACAGTCAGAGTTTTCCTCTCTGCGATTTTAATTCGCATTGAGGCGACCCTCTCATCCACTGGGACAAACTCCAACTGCATGGCAGCCAGCTGGGGACTCATGAGTATCCCCACACCCGCCCTGCGCCTCTCACCCTGTGCAACCCCTGAGTAGGAGAGGGACCAACCCCTTTCAAGGAGTTTGGTTCCAGTGCAGACACTGTGGGTGGAGGTGAGGCCAACTATATCTAGTTGGTTCCTCTCAACCTCCCGTGCAAGCTCCGGCTCCTTCCTGCAGTGAGGTTATATTCCACGTACCAAGAGCCAGTTTCTGCCACAGGGATCTATGCTGCCAAGGGCCTCCCTGCCATCTCCCACTGCCTATACGGCATTGCACCGGTCCCCAGTGCTGGACCTTGTGGGTGGTGGGCCCACATGGTCCCCCCATGTTGCCTTTTCGGGCTGAGCCTGGCCGGATTATATGGGCTACCCGGCCACCAGGCGCTTGCCGAGGAACACTACCCCCAGGCCTGGATCCAGCAGTAGGTCCCGGTAACCCTCTCCCAGGCAGGGTACACGGTTTTCTGTGTCCCTTTGTCATGGAGGATTTTTGGATCGATTTAATCTATGTCTTCACTCCAGACCTGTTTGCCTTGGGAGACCCTACCAGGAGCATATTGCTCCAGACGACTTAGCTCTGAAGATCCCTAAACCACACAAGCCCTTCTGCCATGGCAAGGCCCCAATCCAGGAAGGGATAACCCAAAATTGGTATTTAAATTAGTGTCATTCTCAAAGCGTGGTGTTAGACATACACACAAGAATGTAGAATCTGAACATTTTATTCCAAATCACTGAAAATCTTATGAGGCTGCCAAAAAATACCCTAGGGCTGTGCTGGAGGGTAACCACATATAAACACTGTATCTTTTTAGATTAAGAATTTTTAAAAGTTTAGTTTATTAGCTTATTTTTAGGATTTACTCACACAAAGAAAAAAATTAAGCTGACGTATCTTTTCACAGATCACGGCTGCAGATTGTCCCATTTTGTTTAAACATTTATTGGGTCCTCACATCCTCCCCCTCCACCTCCCAGTTTTATTCACCAAATGTGAAACAAGCCAAAGAGACCATAACTATACCTCTTGCTGTACACTTATATTATGCATTCAAAAGAAACCACAAAAAAAACACTAATAGGCATAGCCTTCTGAACACCATAACATGTTCAATACAATTTGAGACTAAACGTATCTAGAAGAACAGAAACACGAAACACCATGATTCTAAATTGGCTGTACTCTGGCATGGTGATCGTGCAGTCTTGAATGTTCATTAACAACGTATATATTTTTCTGGGTCCAAAAGGATCATTTGTTGGAATACCTAACATTATTTATTGTTGTGTAGGAGACATACTGGGCCGTGCACTAAAGAATATTGATGGATTGCTGAGGATGCCATATGGCTGTGGAGAACAAAACATTGCTCTCCTCGCCCCCAACATCTACATTCTTCAGTACCTGGAGAACACTGGACAGCTCACTGCAGCCATCCGTGAGAGAGCTACTGGTTTCCTTAAGAGCGGTGAGAGAACTTATCTTCATGAAGAATCTTAGCAATCTTAGACTGTGAACTGCTGAACTGACCAGGATAAAAATAACTTGCTTTTACACAGGATATCAGAGGCAACTGAACTACAAGCATGTCGATGGTGCCTACAGCACATTTGGCAGAGGAGAGGGAAATACATGGTGAGAAAATAATCATACGTGCAGCTGGAAGATGTAGCAAAACAAAATTTAAGTGCCACAAATTATTATATATAGAGAGATATGCTGAATATTAATGTAAGTATCGTTACCACCAGGTTAACTGCTTTTGTCCTGAGAACTTTTGGCAAAGCACAGCGTTACATCTTTATTGATCCACAAAACATTGACGGTGTAAAAAAATGGCTGATAAGTAATCAGAGACCAGACGGCTGTTTTATAAGACAAGGACAACTGTTCAACAACAGACTGAAGGTGAGTTTTTGGAAACTCATTTTTTCAGTAAATGAAATGAACTGGTATCTGTTTTGAGTAATGTTATAATGTCTGCTAGGATGGCATAAATGATGTGACCATCACTGCTTACATCACTGCATCATTACTTGAGCTGGGAGATGAAGTGAAGGTAAGGACACTGATCAGCCTGTGTGAATTATGACCTTACATGCACAGGATTAATTTCTGTTTGGAGGACAGACTAAAAGCATCATAATTATCAGGCAGTGTGTTCAATGTGATGCTTGCTCTACAATCATATGACCCTTACACCTTCTTCTAACAGCAAGCAACATGAACGAGTGACAACAACAAAACCTTTTATAATCAATGAAGCTGTCTACAACTGCTGCAAGTGGCAGAGCACAATGTGGTGGAATGCTACGTGCTGTTTTTAAAGGCCACAGCATTTCTATTTTTGACGTGTTGCTCTGCTATTCCACCTCAAAATGGAAGGGGAGAAACTCTTCCATGATGTAGAGAAAAAGAAGGATCGCTGGGACTTTTCCAGCAAACAGTTTAAAGAGAAATTGACTCAAAGTGCTCAAAGTTTGTTTCGCGTCATTGATTGATAAAGACTTAGCAGATAGAACTGAGCTGCCCAACACCAGAGCGCACATGGATCAATAAATCACTACATCCTTCGTAAATGTTCCATGTGAATTACAAAGTTGGGAGGTGATTTTTCACTCTATTATTGTACTATGTGTCTTAACATCTGAGCCAAGGAACGACTTTAAAACTATTGTGTTTTCTTCTACACTCTAATTTACATTTTGTTGTAGGATCCTGTTGTGAGTAAAGGATTATCATGTCTAAAGTCCTCAATTGGCAACCTGACAAACACCTACGCCACTGCACTGCTGGCCTACACTTTCAGTCTGGCTGGAGAGCATGATGTTCGAGAGCAGCTGCTGAAGAAGTTGGATAGTGTTGCTGTTTCAGGAGGTATGGAATGATGAGAAGAATTAGACATTGTGTGCATTTACATGCACTTATTTGTCCGATAAGTACAAAAAGTCTGATTTTGTCAGTAATTCACTCAATGCACCTGGGTGATCAGCGAATGGGAGAACTCTGAGTCTACAGGAGTCAGACTCTAATCAGATTTCTGCAGTACAGCCCGCTAATAAACTCATGGAGGAAGAAGGAAGATATGATGCAAAATTCTAACTATATCCTATGGCTTTTTTAAAACATGGATTCACTTTACCAACAAATATGAATATAATTCATCTAGAACATGAAGAATTTTAAAATTATTCATTTTGTCAAGCGTGTATTTGGTTTCAGGATCAATCCAAAAGTGTTTTGTTACCATCTCAAGGTGCTGTTAAATGCTGCTTTTTGTTTCCGGGACAACTTTGAACTCAGGTTGACTTTCAGAGTAAGGGTATAAATGCACTGAAAACCTGATTACTCTTTTTTGCCTTAGTCCGATCTATTGAAATCAGAGTATGCTGTTTACACAACCACTTGAATAATCAAATAAGTGCCAAAATCCGATAATGATTGCATTATTGGTGTGCATGTAAACGCACTTGCTATCACTATAATCATCAGGTCTTGGGCTCACAGGGTTATAGTTCATCTGTTATTATCTCTAGATTAAGCTTATTTGAGTTATACCTCATGTTGTTATACATAGATGGTCGCCTTCACTGGTCTGCATCAGATGACTCTGACTCCTTGGCAGTGGAGATCAGCTCTTATGTTCTGCTAGCTGTTCTCACTACAGCTGAAGTCACTGCTGCTGATTTGGGCTATGCTAACAGGATTGTCAGCTGGCTGGTGAGGCAGCAGAATCCTTATGGAGGCTTCTCTTCCACCCAGGTACTCAAATTTGAGCCCTTTTCCCAACTCTTTCTTTTTTGATCAATTAATACATCCACATAGAAATCAGAGCAATACAAAAATGTATAATTCCTTTTTGTTTTTGTGTTTGGATCAGGACACAGTGGTGGCCCTCCAGGCTCTGGCTCTGTACTCCACCAAAATGTTCAGCTCTGATGGCTCCAGCACAGTAACTGTGAAGTCAGATAAAGAGAGTCACCACTTTGATGTGAACCAGGACAATAAGTTACTGTACCAGGAGAGGCCACTGCAGGATGTTCCTGGCAAATACAGCATTTCAGTGAAAGGCTCCACCTGCGTGTCTCTGCAGGTCAGTGTGTCTGGTATGCAGTGGTGAAGATGGGGGATCAGGATGGGACTGGCTACCCCTGAAATCTAATTGGCCACTTGGGTTTCATGTAACTGGCTGATTAGAATACTTTTTTTTATTTTTTAGCTGTGTATGCTTTGTGTGTGTGTGTGTCTATGTGTAGCCATTAGTAGCCTATTTGAGCACACTCTGTTAAGTGAGGCCACAGACCACATTGAGGGCCTGATTCATCAAACTTGGCAGAAAAAGTATGTGGCATGGGAAATAAGATCTATTTATACTGTCATAATGATGGTCATTAGTGCACTGGTGTCTTTTTAACACTGCTGTATTTTCACTTCAACATATATTTCAATCAAATACAGATATTTCACCTAAAAAAGGTTTATCAGAAAATGTTGTTATAACATCTTAGAATTCAGTTTTTAATGTTAGAAATTATATTTTAGCATGCAAAATTTCTCTTATCGTTGGTCAGAATTCAGACCTTTTTTTGCATTTTCCAGTACATTACAATTACAGTAACTATTTTTACTAAAATATTTTCAAGTTTACCAAGTGGTCATCTCTTTTATCCTCAAATGCAGGTGGCTCTTTTCTATAATATCCCCACAAGTAGTGAACCCAGAACACTGAGCATCGAGGCTAAAACTGATGGAAATTGCACAAAATCATTTGGATACACTCTGTCCATCAACTTCACAGTCACGTAAGAGTGCATTTTTTATTAAAAGACAAAGATGATTCATAATTAACATGAGGAAACTGGAGATGATAATTTTATATGATACAAAGACAAATGTTTTTAGTCAAAGACAAAAAAAAACAAACAAATAATTACAGTTCAGTTGAGCACTGCAAATTTCTACAAGGCAGCTCCGATCTGCAGAACTGCCTGTAGCAGCCCGGCATCTGAGCTAAATTTGATATCTGCAGAATTATTTGATCAATAACTAAATATGCTCTTATGACATTTTATACTCTAATAACAGTAATTACAATATCTGTTACCTAGTGTCTAACTTATCATTTTCATTTATTTACAGTTATAATGGGGAATTAAGCAGCACCAACATGGTCATAGTGGATATAAAAATCTTGTCAGGATTCACAGCAGATCCCAGTGATGTAAGTAGTGTTGAAAGATTAATAAACACATATACAGTAATTGTCAACTAATATCTCCTATTCAAGTGTTTAATAAATCATTGCTGAGAAGTAATTATCTTGTTTCATCAGCTAAGAAACAGCCCACTTGTGGAACGGGTCGATTCCAAAGATGACCATGTTTTCATGTTTATAAGAAAGGTGAGAAATAAACAGTGAAATACTCCTCAGTTATTGTGGACATTCATACACAGTAATCAGCAATCAATAAATGCATTCATTCAGTACTTAATATTGTATTCGTCTGGCCCTGTAATACAGAAATGTAGGTTTTGTCCTGAGTTAAGATCTGACAGGTCAAGATAAGTATTACAGAAGCACATCTTAATTTAGTAATTATATCTCATCTTAAAGCATCTTATATGAAGTTAAGAAATTCTAAACTACTCAGTCAAGGTTGATAATCAGTTGTTATATTTGTTACCAAGCAGCCAACAATACATGCACATAAACTGAAACACAAACACGTAATTCAAATAATAATAAATGCACAAAATACACAAAAGAGCTAAGATAAGACTTTCGATTTAAGGTGTTTGTGGAATTCGGGCCCTGAGGCCAAATTACAGAAACACCTTAACTCTGACATCTTTTTAGTCACCATGACAAGTCAGTCATGGTCAGTTAGGACTGACTTTAGGACAGTAGCTATTATAGAACAACAGTTCCTAAGTTCATAACCGTATCCTAACTCCAGATATGAAAACAGTATTACAGAAACATCCTAACTAGACATGATTTTCTAAAAATGTTCCTGATTTTAGGATAAACAGCAGTGTTCTGTTTCTATGAAGGCAGTATAACAAGTTCCCTACACCTAGTATAATGATGTTACGTTCATTTATGTTGAAACATGTTAGTTTCACTTATGAGTCTCTTTTTTCGTGCTCTCCACAGTTTCCTCTCGTTTCCTCTCCTCTCTTGTTCATGTTCATGAAACCTCATCACATAAAATATTACAGTGATGAGGGTGAATAATGAGGAGACAGAGCTGAACACGTGGCTGTTTTTTTAGGAGGAATAATGTTATGTATGGCGGCTAAAGCCTTGGAATGAAAATGGAAACTGAAACTGACACCCAGTTAAACAGAACAGGGGCTTTGTCACAGTACTCTGAGCTTCAAGTTTGTCACACTTTAGTTTTGTTTTGACACTTTTTACATCGTTAACGGCAGCTGTGGAACTAACTTACATTTAATATTATTTTGAATATATATTTTTGTTTCAGCTGGGCGTGTACTGTCGGGTGACTGAAAACAGATATAACAGTTGATTATTGACCTTATTTGAATAGTTTAGGATTTCCTAACTTCAGATAAAATACAGTAAGTTAAGATATAGTTCCTAAATTAAGGTAAGATTTACTTCTGTTATACAAATTTGTGAAAAAATCTTATCTTGACCTTGATCTAAATCTAGGAGTAAGGATAAGAAATTTCTGTAATACGACCCCTTCTAGACTTCGTAAGACATTTTTAAAACAATGCAAGACATACAAACATTAAGGACGACAGATTAAAAACCTTCTTGCATATCCATAGTGACCCAAAAACACATAAAGGCTAATTTCACAACAAACTGTTCCAGAAACTGCCCAAACAACAAGTGATATGATGGAGCATTTTTACGGGGGGTCTGGTTTGTGCTCAACAGGTTCCAAGGAATTCTCCTATGAATTATCAGCTACATCTTAAACAGGTCCTTCCAGTCAAGAACCTCAAACCAGCTGTGATCAAAGTTTATGATTACTACCAAACAAGTAAGATTTTACTAGACTACATGATTCCTACACTAGTACTGTGATTTTATTGCTTCTGTTTACTGAATTTTAGTACCTCTTTCATTCAGGTGACCAGTCTGAGACAGAGTACTCCTCCCCCTGTGTGTGAGCTCTCAGATCTGCAGCCTCACAGTACGAGACACAGAGAAGACTTGGTCCCTCGTTTTATCCTGATTTTATCTTAACTTTAATCAGATGTTTGTTTTCTTTTACTCTGAAATAAATATGATTTTCAAGCAACATGTGCTGCTTTTATAGACAGTTCTAAAGGGTAATCTTTGTGCTGAAATGTGTAACATGCCCTAAAAAGATGAGTGACGGTCAGCTCAAGGCTTTTTAACACAATAGAGATTCAATTTTCAAGAGTGGAACTGTGCAGTGATTTCACAGTATGGTAGAGCAAATCAAGGGCCTGGAACCAGAGAAGAAGAAGTAACAATGAAAACATTTGCGCTCACTAAATGCTTAGTGTTTGTTTTAATAATGATAATAATAATAATATAAAAAAGATAATTTTCTCATTATCTGAAGGTGTTTTTTCTTAGCAGTTACAATGTCCGTGATATGAGTGATATAAGACACACACACACACACACACACACACACACACATGGGTAAACCATTCACAACGTTTAATAATGAAGCAGTTGTTAAAAAGTGAAATGCAGGCTGCACACAGCTCAGCCATAACATTACAACTACCTCCTTGTTTTTACACTCATTGTCCATTTTATCAGCTCCACTTACTGTATAGGTGTACAGTTACAGACTGCAGTCCATCTGTTTCTCTGTATACTTTATTAGCCCTCTTTCACCCTGTTCTTCAATGGTCAGGACCCCCACAGAGCAGGTATCATTTGGGTGGTGAATCATTCTCAGCACTGCAGTAACACTGATGTGGTGGTGGTGTGTTAGTGTGTGTTGTGCCAGTATGAGTGGATCAGACAGCAGTGCTGCTGGAGTTTTTTTTAACACTATGTCTACTCACTGTCCACTCTATTAGATGCTCCTACCTTGTTGGTCCACCTTGTAGATGTAAAGTCAGAGGCAGTAGCTCATCTGTTGATGCACAGTTTGTACTGGTCTTCCTCTAATCCTTCATCAGTGGTCACAGGATGCTGCCCACAGGACACTGTTGACTGGATATTTTTGGTTGGTGGACTCTTCTCAGTCCAGCAGTGACACTGAGATGTTTAAAAACCCAAGAAAGCACTGCTGTGTCTGATCCACTCATACCAGCGCAACACACGCTAACTCACCACCACCACATCAGTGTCACTGTAGTGCTGAGAATGATCCACCACCCAAATAGTACCTGCTCTGTGGTGGTCCTGTGAAGGTTCTGACCTTTGGAGAACAGGGTAAACTCAAAAATAAGGCCATGAATTTCATAAAATAATGACGTGTTTTTAAAAAGGTTTTAAAAAGTGTGTGATTAGGAATAGTTATGCTTGCAATATTATTGCTATCCATCTACATTTCTGATTTCATGGGATCACAGACTCTACAATGTGTTTTGTTTTAAAAAAAGTTAATTCTATGTTACTACTATATTAATACTATGAAATAAGAAATACAAATATTTTTGATGAGGTGTTTGGCATGGAAAAGGATACTAAAATGACATAGTCAAGCCTCTAAGCCCTCAAAGCAACTAAGCTTGATGTCATGGGTAAAAGAGAATTTTAACTTTTCCCGAAATTCATTAGCTTCACAGACTGGACCGCGGATATAACAATTTGGTGTTTTCTAGGGTTAATGCAGCCAGTGATAAACTCGATCCACAAGATCATGAGTAGAATCTGAAATACATTATTTAGTGGGTATTTAACTGAAATGCTCATATGAATTGAAGCATTAATGCTGCAGGCCTACAATATACCTGTTCTTTTATTTAGGAGCCAGTTGATCTCTGCTCGCTCCAAAGTGCCAGAGAGAGATGTTTGTTTGAACAGCTGAAACAGGTCAGTGACCTTATGTAAGTAATCAGTCTAAGAGGGACAGTTCCTGTAAAGGGTGAGAGTAAAAGGGCAAATTTGACCTTCTTGAACAAAAACTCAAATAATGACCTGCGTTCATTTCAGCCCACACAGTTAGAACGTTCACTCAGTACATATTAATCCTGGATTTCAGATTAAACAGTGAAGTTAGATCTTAAGCTTGCAGAATATAGCATTCCAGGAAGAGATTGTGTCAATTAAATATAATGTGAAGTATATACAAACTTAACTACATAAAAGTTGGGACAGTCTGTAAAATGCAAATAAAACAGAAAGCAGTGATTTATACATAACCAAATGTTCATATTACCCCAGAAAACAGGACACTTCCTCTCCCTTGGAACATAAAATGCTGTTCTGAGAATACATTAGTTGGGGTAGAATGTCTAGAAAAATACCAGGCCCTAATAACGGTGGGACCTGAACTTCCTCCCGCTCCTATTGCAGACGTTCATTGTTAGCCTGCAGCTGCACTACCACATCTCTCAAATCATGTAGTTCATTCTCCATAACTGAAAAAATTATACAGAGGGACCAGAAAATAAAATCAATAGTAAGCAACACTCACTATTAACCAGAGTCAATAAATGGCACTTAAACTGCTTTAGGGCTCCTCTGGAATCCGTGGCAGAAGAACATCCTGGTTTGCCTTTAAAATATGAAAAACTAATTTAATTACTAAAATAAACCTTTTAAGAAAAAATACTTGAAGTAATACAATAACTACACTCTTAAAACGATGGTTCTGCAGGAGTTCTTTAGTAAAGAAAATGATTCTATAAAGGACCCTGAACACTTAAAGAATCCTTTGCATGATTAAAGGGTTTTTAACATCTTAAAAGGGTCCTTCAGATTGATGGAGAATGTGCTGTAGATGGTTCTATATAGAATCTTTTTGAAAAGGGTTCTATATAGCACCAAAAGGCTTCTTCTGTTGTGACAATATCAAGCTTGTAACAACAAAAGAACCTGAAGAAAAAAAAAAAAAGTTGAAGATACTGGTGGAGTGAAAGTGAGTGAGTGAAAGGAGTGATGAGCTAAAATGAGCTCTTTATTGTTTTCTTTTCTCTGCAGAGCTGCTGATTCCTGCTTATTAATTTCTTGCCATTTTGCGTGAGTTTCCTCATTATGCAGTCACGCCCCCCTCCCCCCCACCACCCCCATGCTGGCCCCTGATTTGGACAGTTTTTGGTCACGCTATCAGTTTTCAATGCAGCCAAAGTGTATTGCTCAAAAGTGTTAATCATTGACAAGATCACGAGTCCAAATGTTTGCAGAGAAGCTCCTGTGGGCTGAACATCCTTTTAAAGAGGCAGTCAAACTTCTGAACCTGGTGCTGGTGACCAGACTTCATCATGGTGGCCTGTGGGTTTCTTGTATGTGAACGTCTACTGTTAGCCTGCTTCCTCTTTCTCTCTGTGTGTGGACAAACCTCAGGACTGTGAGTAATCCAAACAGATGTCTGCTGGTAAAAAATGTAATAGCCTGTTCTGTGGCATATTGTAATATGTGTTGTATGTTGTGATTATTTAGTTATGCTTTTCGTCAGGGGTGCAGAACTCCAGTCCTGGAGGGCAAGTGTCCAGCACAGTTTGATGATTTTCCTGCTCAGACACTCCTGATTCAGCTCATCTGTTAACTGCCAGGTTTAGTGGGTGTGTTTGAGTAGAGGAAATACCCAACTTCAGGACTGGCGTTGTGCACCCTTGCTTTATGTGATGGTGTCTGGATGTGTAGGGTACGCACTTACGCATACAGACCCCATATTTTGGGGGGGCTTTCGAATCTCCTCTGCTTCTTGTGTTATCAATTGTATAACTGACCAATTCTAAACCCTCATGTTCTTAGCTCTGTTCTCCATCCACTACTACAACCAACCACTAAATGAGGTTTGCCAGTGAGTTTTACCACTTGTGCGTTGTGAGGCGTGGCCATGCATTTACTTCATTTACATGTGGCGGTAGCAGTAGAGAACCGTGACTCTTAAACCTCGGCCCTCTGACTGCCCCCACCCACCACCGCCCCTTTGCACGTCGGAAAAAAAAACTAGTTTACTGTGTTCTCTCCTAAGGATTCTGCAAAAGTTACAAAACAAAAATTAAGACGATAGTTCTGCCTTAGTAATGCAAAGAGCAAGTAGCGCAAAGAGGGTTATCACTTCAACAAAATGGCTAATTTCTTGGGTAAAATGCAAATCCTCCTTACAAATAATCGCATCATCATACAAGCTCTATGTGCTCTTCAGAAAACGCATGACAGTCATGTCTTCCTACCACACACAACCAACATTTCATATAAGCCTTCACATCACAGCCAAGCAGCCACGAGTGTCAGACACATTAGCATCAGAAAAATGACCGGTAATTCCGCATAATGGCCATTTCCCAAATAAACCTTCACATCACACAAACAGTGTCAGCGGCAGCCAGAATAAAATCAGCGGGCACGGCGGCCTGTTAGATTTTAAATGAATTCCCCTTTGATCAGAGCATTACTTGAGAACAAAGTCATAACATAGCGAAGTCCATCCTCCTGTCCTTTTGGATGAAGTGGTCGATGGTGGGGTCATGCAAATGATCCTTTGCTTTTAAATTTATCATCAATTGCTTCTCAAGCATTCTGATGGCGATGAGCTGACTTCCTAAATCACAATAAACTTCCTAAATCACAAAATCCATCTTTGGCCCAAGACCCACTCTCGCCCAACAGCAAGCAGTCCCAGCAGTAGAGCTTCTGCTCCTTGGTTGATCCTGTCATCCAGGGGTTGCGTGGTGTAATTGTTGCAGTTGAAATGCCTCTCAAAAGCATTTTTTGCACCAAATTAAGCTCTGGTGTTGGCCGTCCTTTGCCGATTTACTCCAACTTATCATTAAAAGTTAATCTAGAAAATGGTATGGATAATAAACTTGCAGCGATGGTAACGCTACTCTTGGCTTCCGTCACAAACCAACAAGCTAGCTAGCTTTTTTACATAGCGGCTTTCTTTTCTGTAACTCACTGTTTCTGTAATGTTTCACTTTCAATCTCTTAATTTTTAATTACTGCTTTTTGTCTTTAGGTATTTCATGGTGACGTTTCCTGCAGTGATAGAGTCTGGATCTGAGGCTACACTGTGTACGAGTTTTCTGAAGCCTAATGAGACTCTGCAAATGACCATTTATCTGGATCATGACAACCAGAGCAGAACACTTCTACAGGAGAGAGTGGAGGAAGAATTTCACCGCTGCTCTCAGTTTAAGGTCAGAAACAATCAGGATTATTTTTCATGTGTTATTACTGTTTCATGTGATGAACATGGAAAATAGCTGATCTTATAATGTGATCTCTACAGGCTCCACAGGTTGGAGGTCAATCAGTGCAGGAGATCAGAGTAGAGGTCAAAGGTGAAAGTTTTCAGATGACAGAGAAAAGAAAAGTTATGTTTAAATCCTACAACCCACTGACATTCATTCAGACTGATAAACCAATCTACAACCCCGGCCAAACAGGTAATTCATCATTTCTGATTTCTACAGTGTCTCACCATTTCAGTACACTATTAAATGAATAATGCAGCATTTTCAGCTTTATTTCTATCTGCTGCAGCTGCGTTATAAGGTAACCTATTGTGTGCGCAGCATTGTGATGAGTTTTCCTATATAGTCATATGTGAAAGATTGAACGCACCTGGTCAAATGACGTGTTCTGTTCATTTTCTAAGTGAAAATATTTAACATACTGGGGAGACTTTTGAACCCTGGATTAACACATTAAATATTTAATTAAATTTACCTTCATTAATATTTTTGGTATTGATGCTAAATCATGCAGGAGCCTGTGAAAATTCCTCCCACATCAACACACTAATACTGTATTGACATAACTTCTTCCCTCTGCAAAACTAGTCTCATTTTTCAAAAAGCAAATTATACATATTTACAGATTACTTTTACTTTTGACTGAAGAATTCATGAAAGAGTAAACATTTACTAATAAAACTCAGCAAATGCCCAAAGGCTTCTATTATAAGTGTATTTACTGTCAGCAGCCTTTCTACAGGCAGACACAACAACATTATTGTCTGCATGTAACGCAACAGATGGAGCAGATGCAGAGAACTGAGGGCTGAAACTGAACTGAGTTGTCCACTTCTGATATAGACCCTATGTTGAAAAAGGCTGGAGTTTTCTTTTCATAATAAAGTATTTCTTACTCAAAGTGCAGTTTAAAATCTGATATTTACCATTTACAGTGAATTTCAGAGTCGTCACTCTGGATACTAATTTTGTCCCACTTACACAAGAGGTAAGGGAAGAAATTTTTTGACTTTTCATTAAATCAAGCAAATTCAGAAAGAGTGATTATATGATTTTAGTCCTTTCTAATGTACTTCCATCATACAGTGTACTTAGTAAAGCTAAACCCACTCATTTTTATTGAAGGCATTCTGTTCATTTTTACTGTGTTTAATGCTTTTGTTTTTTTTTAAAACTGACTGTCCTTTACAGTACAGCATACTGACTCTTGAGGTAAGATGTATCTACATACTGTATTTCCTGAATCTTACTGATTTTTAGTTCAGTGCTTCCTTCATACTGTCATTGCAATTAATCAAATTTAAGTGTCTTTTATGGAACCAAACAGGATAACAATGGTAACAGGATCGGTCAGTGGACGAATGTGTCCTCAACAGGCCTGATAGTGCAGCTTTCACACAAGCTGAATCCTGAGGCTCCTGAGGGCGAGTATAAACTGGAGACTAACATTGGGGATAGGTCAATCACACATAATTTTAAAGTGAAGAAGTATGGTAAGTCACAGCATTACATTATTTTTTCTACTGATAATGAGGTAAGCTGTGCAATTCACTGCAATAACAAGGCAATTTGGACTTTTAGTTTTACCCAGGTTTGAGATTACAATGAAAACACCAGAAGAACAGAGTGTTGGGGAGGAGGAACTGAAGAGCGAGGTTTGTGCAAAGTGAGTGATGGTTTCAAGAGTGAATCACAAACTTTAAAAGAGAAAACTTCTTCTTAGTCTTGTCAGATTGCTGATTTGTTTGTTTCACTGAATTCTTTTGCTTTAAAGCAGCGGTTCCCAAACTTTATACAGTCCAGTTCCTTTGACATTAACCCTTCAGCCTCCATTAATATATCATGTGTTTTTGATGTGATGACACACCAGAGGTACTGAATAATACTGAATAAATAAATAACGTTTGGGATGCAGATAAGGTTCGATAGGTGTGGTTTACATGGAGGAGCTGGTCAGACCACATGAATAAGGTGGAGGAAATAACTTTTATTTGTGGTCCCAAAGGCAGCAGCACCAGCAGTGGTCAGTATGATTTATTTGAAATAAACTTTAGGCTTACAGTGGAAATAACTGCAGAAATATGCATCACGTTTTGCTGTGACATTTAAGTAGGAACATGCCACAACTCAAAAGAGTACATTCATTGGAACCCCATTCCTGGCAGGTAGAGGAGAAAATTATAGCCTGGTTTCCCCCTTTCCTGTTTCTATTAGCAGGTTGACTTTAAACTAAAGTTTGACCTTTTATCTCAAGACAACGACTTTCTAGATAGCATAGTGACATTGACCCGTTATTGATTTTCAGAATAATTTTGTTTGTAACTTGCTGCAGGATGAAAGTTGCCAGCTTGTAACGTTGACACTGAATACATATATTGATTTATAGTTGGCTGTGAGATCATGCATACCCTCTCTTGCACCCAGCTAGCACTGAATATAATTACTTTTAAAGTATTACCTCATTAACCATTGTTAGCTTGAAATTATGACTGATTATAACTGTTGAAATATTGTCTGCAACAGGACAATTCCACAGTGTTAAAACAGTTAATGTAGGACAAGTCTTCATCATTACATTCCTCTTTCATTGAACACTTACACAGATAAGTGTAGCCCTTTAACATCTATAACACTAGGTGGAAGGACAGATAGGAGTAAAAACAGAGCTTTGTGTTAAAACTGTGTTCTTGTCAGTTAAATGGGAAAAATGCAGTATTGAGTTCATGTTCTATGATGAGTAAAATGAATAAATAAATAGGGGGTGATCAAATGTTTTGTAATTTTGCATTATGTGCAGTCGTATTTGAACATGTATTTGATGGTATCTTTTTGAAAAGATATTGAGCTTAATATAAGTTGTTGCTTAAAGAGCTAAAAAGTTCGCGGGAGAGAGACTGTTTTTTTGGGGGGAGGGAGAAGAGAGAAGGTGTGCAGAGAGGAGAACTAAACTTGGGAGATGAGAAGCCCATGAAAGAGAGCCTTTGTGTGATAATCTTCAACCAGAAGAGAAGAAAAGGGGCGATGCAGTGTATGTCTGTGATGACTGGATCTGAACTGAATTGTGCTCCCTGCTAACCAGCGAAAAAGCACAGTAATGAGTGCAGTTAGCCATAGCAACTCGGCCGGAGGACAGAGAGACTGCTGGGACTGACGGACGCTGGACCAGTGCTGTTAAAGTGGACATGCTGATACCATCCTGGTTGGAACTAAGTGGTTTTGTGGCTTTTTCTTTGGTTTATCTCCCATTGGAAAGCGCCATTTTGATGCTCATTCTGCCGGCTGACCTGTGAGTAACCTCTGACCATGTTTTTTTTTCTCTCTGAGCTCCAATGCGCGCCAACAGAGGGTAGCTCCCTCCTAAACTTTGAGACTTGGGGTTTTATAATGTCTTTTTCCTTTCTGAAAACAAACTAAGTGCCCTGTAAAACCATTGTTTAAACCTGTGGGGAAGGCTGTTGGTTAAATTTAAGCCAAAGTCCTCTAACTATCAAAATTGATTTCTAGTTTAAGTGAAAGACTAATTAATAATTCAAATACCAAATCAAAAGGAAATTAAAATTGTCTTTCACACATATATAAATTGTAGTTTTATTGTCCCAGCAAATTTTCATGTATTTTTGCACTTCATGGAAGGTTATAAGTGCATATCCAACACATGTATTAGGAGGTAATGCTTGTGTAGAGTGTTAAACAGAATTGCTTTAATCACTAGAATGAGTTTCACAGCGTGCAGTGTATTCTTGTATCCCATTTTTGGAAACTTTGAGTTTGATTGGGTGCTATGAGAGAAAGTAGAATAATAGTAAAGTATCTGTGCATGGGAGATTTGAGTAGTTTTAAGTAGCTACACTTCTGAACCTCCAGGGAGATATCACCCTAGCAAATAAGCCAGTTGCATTTCTATATTTGTAGGACCCACCCCATACCTCCCATGCTACTAGTTCAGGATTAAATGTTAAACACCTTTAGGCCCTTGTTGTTCAGTTAAGTACCTGGTGGGGGAGCTACATAAGAAAGATTCTACCTTTTTTTTCCCCTGAAACTGCAAGGCAACCTTGAGTTGTGAAAGGCACTGTATAAGTCTAACTTATTATTGTTGTTGTTGTTGTTATTATTATTATTATTATTATTATACCTGTCAATTTTTTGATAATTACAACATCAGATGACACCCTCATTTCAACCTGCAAGACATACTTTATTAGATGAACAGATTTTCAAAAAATATACAGACAAAAATCATAAAACAAAACTAGAGCATTTCACATCAAGCCACTCTGAATGACTTTTACATCTTAACCATTTAATTATGCAGGAATTTTGAAAAATCTGTGGAATTTCCCTTTAAAAACAGTTAATAAAAGATACACACTTTTTTCACGCATGCAACAGCAGAGTACAAAATATCTACTTCTCCAACGCAGCCTATTACACAAATAATAATGAATATAGAGTAAAATACCTAAATATTAGAGCTTGAGTTTGTCATGTGCTGTAAATTACAAATGATGCACTCACTCATCACTCAGGCGTATATGTCATGTGTAAAGGTATTGTCATAAATATAGATACAGCCATCACTGTATGGTTAGATGTACTGTTGCAAAGTACATTAGCATTTTAACAGTGTGATTTGCCAGGATACAGTACTCTTTATTTTGTGATTTGTACATATTCAATGGCTATCTGCTCATCTAATGTTTATATCTGTAGTGGATTGCCCCAAGTATTTGAGCCCCTTCAAACCTTGTGGTCAGTAATCCATCCCTGGAAGTACCTATGTAACTGCTTGGCTGGATAACGGATGAAAGTAAATCAGGATTAATATCAGAACCTGTCTGTGTGCCACAGTTTGGGAACCATTGCTTTAAAATAATGTTGAATGATGTTTGAACAACAAATTATATCATTTAACTGAATATCTACACTGTATATATGTGAGATGAAAAATACCATACTCTATATATTCCCTCTGCCTAGTTTAAAACAGTATATTTTTGAAGGTACACTTACGGACAGCCAGTACCTGGTAAAGCTCTGGTGCAAGTGTGCCGGAAATTTAAACGCAATTTTCTTCAGGATATTGCCATGATTTCACCGTGCCTGGTTGAAACTGTAGAGGTGTGTATGTTTCTAATACTATATTAGATGACAATAGTTTTTCTTACTAATGAAACAGATCTAATTTTTTGCTTTGTTTTCTCCTGTAGATGAAAGAGAATGGATGCGCCTCTCTTGTATTCAACATGTCGCATTTCATCAGTTCTGAATTTGAACAACATTTGAAAGATTCTCTTGACGCTACTGTTACAGTGACAGAGGAGGGAACAGGTGAGTCTTCACACATACTGTAGGGAAAGTATACTTGAGGGAGAAACACACTTATAGCAGATCACTATAAAGAAACAATGTGCATTTCATTGTTATATATTTAGTAACATGCTTATTTTTGTTCTAGACATTTCCATGGAAAAATCTGAATCTATAAAGATCACTTATGAAATTGGTAAAGCTGAGTTTCTCGATTTACCCAAAAACTTTGAACGGGACACAATTATAGAGGGAAAGGTGAGTGTTTTACATGTAGTCCTTCTTTAGTACTTTCATTTGTTGTGTTTGTGTGGTTCTCACTTTTTTGGACAGTTTGACAACAAATGTTCTTTCACTGATCAACAGATCAAAATGTCAACCTTCAGTGGAAAACCAGTTCCTAACAAGAACGTCTATCTTTTGGAAGGTCATAGGTGGTCTCCAACACTACTTCAAAATCTTACTACAGATATTAATGGATTGGCCAGCTTCTCAATTAACATGTCTAATCACCATAAACCACAGATTTCGCTGCTGGTATGGCACAATGACCAATATTTTCAGAGAGTTTACACTCTTAAGAGAGTGCACTGTTTTTCACTAAAGGAAATTCCTGTTTCATTGTTATTTAGGCAAGTGTCTATCCAGACAACATATACCGTGGATACAGAAAACCTTTCTTTACATTCAGTGAAGTACAAATACCACTCCTCCAACCTGCTACACCTCACAGTCCAGTCTACAGTGAATTATCAATAGAGAGCTTAGAGGAACCGATTCCATGTGGTTCTGAAATTTCTATAAACATTAAGTACTACATTGTTGGGGAAACCACAGAGAATTACAGCACTGATATTATATATACAGTAAGTATCTCCAGTTATATTTTAAAGTGAACATTTACGTTTTCTATGTTCAGACAGCTTTAAAAGCATAGTTCCATAAAATTGTCTGTTTTTTGTCAATTTAATTTATTTTGTCTGTTTTGTTTAGGTCTTGTCTAAAGGAGCCATAGTCCATCATGGATATGAGAAAGTTGAAGTGAAAGAATCCAAAAAGATAGAGGGAAAAGTCTCATTCAGACTGTCTGTTGATGCTGAACTGGCTCCTGTAGTGCAGGTTCTGGTGTACTGTGTGCTGCCCAGTGAGAACGTCATCGCTGCCAGCAAGGATTTTAATGTTGAAAAATGCTTCAGACACAAGGTAATGCTGACACATTTGGATCTTTATATCTTTGTTTTTGTATTTTAGGATAATTGGTGGCTTGCAATCTGTCATCATTACTGTGGAAAAAGCAATAAAAAATCTGTTACCGTCATGATCTTCAGGTCTCACTGCAGTTCTCTCCCACTGAGGCAGTTCCTGGTGAGGAAAACACTCTCCAGCTCTCAGCTCTGCCTGGTTCATTGTGTGGACTCAGTGCTGTGGATCAGAGCGTGTTCATCATGGAGCCAGGAAAACGCCTCAATGTTAGCGAGGTGAAGTACAGATTTACTGAATATTCAACATGTTGCTTTTAAAAGCTAAGTCAACCTTTGTCCTGGTCCAAGTAATCAGCTCATTACCAACCCCTTCCTCAATTGACATGGGTGTGTTAAAGCATGAAAAGCACTAAAATGTGCAGGACAGTGGGCCTCCATGGCCAGGGCTGTCAAATGTTGTATTAGGGGTTGCATATACCAGTTTTGCACAGGGGTCTTCCATTCTTTCATATCTGTGAATTTTAAACATTAGCGTGATTTAAATGTTTCAGCAGATTGCTTGTCTTGAGTTATTAATTTGTAATTTGTGAAAATAATATTGGGCCTCTTTCACCAAATGCTCTTAAGAGGAAATTTCTTCTTAAACCCACTGATATTGTTTTCATGAAGATTCTGACGTTTACCACTGTTTTCTTATTTGGGATTTGTTCTTAGTTAAGGTCCGAATCTATGAGCACTTAAGAGCACAAAGATGTGAACAATTGTGCAGTTTAAAAACACATCATGAATCTGATGTGGACTTTTTCTTGGGACCTTTCTCAAGAAGTATTATCAAGTTAATACACATGCAGAGGATTTTTATGTGTTTTGCGACTTTTTGCAAAAGGTACTTAATGATAATAAGTGAACTCATGTCTATTATAGGTCTTTAACTTGTTGCCAGTGAAATCAATGTCAGGTTATTCCTATGAAGTTGAAGATGGGCAGGAGTGTTTGCATGTTAGACCACGCCGGAATGCACGGATAGACCACGTTTATGATACTATAAAGGTAACTGACTGTCAAATGTAGTGTAAATGCTTGTTTAAATATCTGTGTAAAAATCTTAACACAAGATAAATTTATATAGTACATATATAATACATAATCAAATCTACAGTAAATGAAAATATTCATTTATTACTTTAAAGTGAATTATGTTATTTGAAACTAAATATTTTGGTTTATGACATTGATCTCTGGACAGGGTGTGGGGCTCAAGATGGCAACCAATTTGGCTGTGAGATTTCCTGAATGTTTGGTCTACAGAGATGTTCAGTTTCATCGACTCTATGGTCCTTACCTTTGTGGTTATTTGGATGTTATGTTTGTACAGTTTCTTCTGTTTGCTATTTCCAACAACCTTTAAAGGGGGTTGTACAGTAATATATATCATGTACTGCAATATATACTGTGTAAGTTATGCTTATTGTTCTTGTGTTCGTCGATTAAGGTGGGTTCGTTGAACAAATTAGCTTCGACTTTCCTGTATCAAGACAGATGCTGTACGATGCAGACAATGCAGTGTCTGGACCTATTGAGACAGTCCGCAAGTTCTTCCCAGAAACTTGGATATGGCAACTTGCAGAAGTGGGGTTAGTGAATCAGCAAATTACTTCATTGTCTTATTTGTTAGCACATTTCATAGTATTTAAATAGTTAACAGTTTAAAATATTGATGGACGTAATGACTGTTAACACAAACACAATTTCTAACCCTCTAAGCTCTAAAAGATCCTGTTAGTTTCACAGTAGTTACCAAACAATTTATAACAGCTACTGTATAATAAGTCTAGAGTTTATTGGATTTGGTGGGTATCATGGCTGAAAGATTTGTACCAAATAACTGTTAAGGAGGTACCATGTTAAGGGGTCTTTAGGGAGCACACAGATTGCAGAAATTTTGCAGAATGGTGTTTTGTAACGGGTCAGAATAATTCAGACGCTAAAGGTTAAAAACAAGTCCTGAGGCTTTAATGAAGGGACAATCCAAACTCTTTGGTCAAAACCACAAACAAGCAATTAAAAACCAGTAGGGACATCCAGACTGCAGTCAAAATACAAGTCAAGTAAAAAAACAAAACAAAAAAAAAACCAGTAAGCACAAAAACAGCAGACTAAGCAGGAAGGGCAAAGGCAAAAAACAGAGTTGGGAAAAACAAACCAGGTCAAAACATAAGAAACAGACAAGATAAGTTAGTGCTCAATATGCTCAGTAAACTGGGGCCAAAGATTCTGGGAAAACCAAACGTGTAAATAGAGCAAAGAACACGTGTGACAAATCAGTATTCAGGTGAGGCAGATCTGTGATAGGCTGATGCCTGACAGTTCTGAGTCACACAATCTCCCCTCGGTTTCTGGGAGTCGAAGTTTGAAAGGAGACAAGTGTCAGGAGAGTCGGAGGAGGATGTGTTTTTAGTTTTAATAGGTTCAGTTCCCAAGTCCAATATAAACATGCTCAAAATTATTTACATTGCAAACCAACATTCTTTACTTATTTACAAGAATGACTGAAACAAAAACTGATTTAGGTCAAAAGAAAGATGCAATACATTGCAATAGAAATATTATGAAGAATTCGACATTCAAAGAAAATGAAATAAAGAATATACAAATCAAAAAGAATCAATATAAATGTGAAAACTTCAAGAAAAGCAGGTAAAACCACATTTTTTTAAAACCCACTCAATAAAGTCAACATTGCACAAGAATTTGCTTTCCTATGAAATGATAAGATGAAATGAACTCGGATTTTAAAACACTATTTTAAACCTATTCGTAACAAATGTAAACCTTTCAGTACTGTTAACAATGCATATGTTAAATAAAACAGTATATTAACATATATTTACCTCATATATGAAACTGTATATCATATAATGGAAAAAGGAAAATAAAACTCAAAATAACAGTAACATTTAACAACTAACAGTTGATCTGCTAGCTGGTCAGTGCTTCTCTCTCTAGTCTGTCTGTATCTCTAACCTAGCTGGTCAGTGCATTTCTCTCTAGTTTGTCTGTATCTCTAACCTACCTGGGCAGTGCATTTCTCTCAAGTCTGTCTGTCTCTTTAGCTTGTCAGTGCATTTCTATCTAGTCTGTGAGAGTGAAATACTATTATTCATTGCATTTGATGACCAGCAATGGGCAATGGTGTTATTATTTAGCCAAGCCATAGTATAAATAGTCTTTCATATTTGAAAATGTATTGTGACATCTGGCAAAGAAAGAGATGTGGGAAACATAGTGCTTTCAGGAAAGGCTCTTTTATTGAACTAGGTGAATGGCTGAGAAACAGGGTAGCTCCCAACAAACAACTAGTTGCTTGAAAGTTTCCCTGTGTAAAGCCAGCCTAACTCATGCACAGGCTAGCTGTGTTATTAAGTCAAATTTCCCCACTTAAAACTTCTTCAGACAAAATTGTTAATAATACAGACTATAATAAAAATTGCAGCTCTTGTGTTTGAAAATTGCACTCTTTAAATTACAATTGCGAAATAAAAACAATTAATCAAATGCAAATTACGTTAGCTGGAAATTGTAACGGTAGCAAGCCTTCAACCAGCAAAACTAGCTTACAGGGCTCAAAGAACTATTTTTCTCATTTCAAGTCAACAATTTGCTACCATATATGATTAATTTGATAGTTATAAGATGGGAACAAACGTTATCAGCTTCTGTCTAACATACAGTTTCTGCACTTTTTAGTGTATCTCTCTCCCTCTGCGTGTGGGTGTGTGTTTGTCTAGTGAGTAGTGGACCCACGGGACTCTTTGCTCCATCACATTATTGTCATGTCTAGTCACTTAGTAGATGATATGAGCAGGCTGTGTAGTGCAATTAAACAAAGGTATTATTTTTAAATGTGTTTGATCGCTAAGATTGGCTTTTGATTTGTAACGAAATCTGTTAACAGATCTGAACAAACATACAAAAATATGCCTCATGACAGTTTTGGGAAGGTGATGAAAAAGTTCATTTTGAGCCCCTCGCTATAACTGCCATAAACATTTGCATGAATTTCCTTAGTCACCATCATCTTTTTGAAATGTTAACACCTTTCTCCCTTCCTAAAAGACAGCAAATGTAATCTAAAACCATTAGTGTCTAGTGTGAAATATATATTAGTTTTTTGATTACCTGTAGCAATATTTTACTCTTTGGAACTTAAAATAAGTACACTGCAGATGGAGTGCAGATGTACTCAAGCAAACAAAGAAAATGCAGACAATAACATGCTGCTTTTCCACAGAGACTCTGGATCAGCACAGGTTCCTGTCACTGTTCCTGACACTATCACCACTTGGGAGACGGAGGCTTTCTGTCTGTCCTCTAGAGGTCTGGGAGTGGCTCCTCCTGCTCAGCTTCGTGTCTTCCAGCCCTTCTTCCTGGAGCTCTCGCTGCCCTACTCCATCATCCGGGGAGAGGAGTTTGAGCTGAAGGCCACTGTCTTCAACTATCTCTCCAAGTGCATTATGGTACTGTAAGATCAACATTTTCTGTCTTCACCAGTGTCTCATCACTTAACATCCACAGTAAGCTGATCTCCTGTGCTTCACGGACAGGTTAAAGTGACTCCAGCTCCTTCCTCACACTACACTCTGAAAGCCTCCTCTGATGGAGAGTATTCATCCTGTCTGTGTGCAAATGGTAGAAAGACCTTCAAATGGACTCTTGTTCCCTCTGTGCTTGGTGAGTTCTAAACCTCTCAAGTTCAGACATAATCTCACATTTCTGTTGAATTGTTTTTAGTGCTAATAAACTCCTCTCTGCATCTTTTGATGTGTTTTAGGGGTCTTGAGTGTGACAGTCAGTGCTGAGGCAGAACAGTCACAGGCTGTGTGTGACAATGAGATTGTGAGTGTGCCTGAGAGAGGCCGCACTGACACAGTCACACGGAGCCTGATTGTACAGGTAGAAAATAAACTGTCAAGTTAATTTGTTGTTATCATTGTTAATAATGTTAATATTATTATTGTTCTTATTACCTAAATATTCAATGTTCCCATGTAGGCTGAAGGAACTGAAAAGACCAAGAGCCAGAGTTGGTTGCTGTGTCCACAGGGTCAGTCCTGCACATTTTAACATTTTCATTTATACCTGGTTTATATGCTTACTCTTCACATTAATGGTGAACAAAACACTGTACCACTCAGGAAAGACTGAGCTGCATGTTTGTTTCACAGGAAACAGTGTTTCAGAAGAGCTGGAGCTGGTTCTTCCTGCAGATGTAATCGATGGATCAGCACGGGCTTCTGTTTCAGTGCTCGGTAAGAAAGGAAACATCAAGGACGAAGAATCAAAGAATTCTGTGTAGAAGCGTAGAAAAGCAATCTGGCTTATATCAGATACATATATGTTTAAAACTATATATATATATATATATATATATATATATATATATATATATATATATGAAACCAGCTCAAATGTGATGATGGCAGTTTCTTTCATCTATCTGACCGATGTTCTGGTCTGCTTTCACCTTCTTCCAACTTCCTAGGTCCATTCACTAAATGTAAAACCAACCAAGAACACAAACATTATGACTTACTCCATAGGATTATGCTGTGCATTCCCCAGAAGAAACCACATATAGTTGTAGCCTTTTAAACATGCTTCACTCAAAACAATTTGAGACTAAGGCCCAATCCCATTTCACCCTTTGCCCCTACCACATAGCCCTTAGATCTCTGTTTTGCATGTTTACGTCTAGGGTTAGGGTGTCCTGATTTTGGTTGAGATAGAGGGGCGGGGCGAAATGTTAGGGCAACCTGGCCCTCCAAATGGAGATTTTGGAGGCTCACTCCAAACAGAGTGTTAGGAGAAAAAAAAAGAAAAACTGCCAAGATGGCTGCGCGAGCAACCAAAGAAACCCACAAATGTAAGTATTTTCTCCTTTAACAAATTATGATAACCATTGTATTATCTTAGTTCAATGTTGTTTCAATGTATTATGGTCGTTTCTTCATAACAAGCATAAAAAATCGCTAATAGCATCCTAATGTCTCAGTAGCTAGCTAGCTAACTTTCCCGTTCCACCTTCCATTCAGCAGTACTGACGCCTGAAGCGCCAGAATGTAACTGCTGCACCATTTAAGGTGGAACAGGAAAATTCAAACAAGAACCTGGCAAATAGCTGACTTCAGCTTCGTATCACCAAAGAATTAGTGGTGGGCGATAATAAATAATTGTCTTATAGCCCCTCTTGAAGGCATATGATGCCCTAAATGTAAACAAAGCCCAGCAGTGAGGTGGCTGAACTTTTCCCTTCCCTGCTATCACTGTAGATGGGTCGGGTCGCCTACAGAGCACTGCTAGTAGCCTGTTAATGAAGCAGTGTTTTTGTTTTTTTTTTCATTTGAGGGTTGTCCCATTTCGTAGGTTTCAACCACTACCCCTTGTAACTCAGTTCCAAGGGGTTAGTGTGACACTCGAAAACAAGGGGTAGGGGTAAAAAGAAGATATTGGATTGGGCCTAAATGTCCTAATTCCTGGTCGTCAGATGATTTCAAATCCCTGCTCTCCATCTATCTGCCTAAAGTTGGATGCAAAAGTTTGGGCTTTCTGGATGTAAACTGGGCAGTTCCAATGAGCAGTTTCTTCACTAATCACAAGGCTGATGTGGGTTGTCCCGCCCACACAGCTTTAACAAAACTCTGTTCAACTGTTCAAGTTGGAGAAATTTACTGAAAGATGAACAAAAGCAACCATAACTGACTTAGCAAGAACATCCTTTCGTCCATTTGTTCAGTCAATCAGCCACAGCATCATTCCCTGGATGCCCATCCAGCAGTAAAGTGAATGACATAGCCATATAAAAGCTGGATGTGAGTCATGGACACAATAAGGCCGACAACTGACACAATAAGTCGAGGTACTGAGGGAACTGCAGCATCTCCAGATTTCAGGATTGTTTTAATGCAACTGCTAAAAACAGTGAAGGAAAAAACTTAACTTTATTAAATATTTTATCATCTTGATGAAGAAAGAGAAGAGGCTATAATTTCTGCTCAAAATGTGTTCTTTTATTAAAGAATAAGGCAGAAAATCCACTGCCTAACAACCTGAACTGTGGAGAAGGTCACCTCCAGCCACGCAACTTTACTTGACAGTGAACACTTCCACACAAACTTATTACTTTACAAAAAAAGACAAAAGTCCACACAAACACATCTGAATCTACAAACAATAACAACAACTTCAAATGTCTCTAACGAAGTGTTAGCCACCACATAGCACCCTCCTGTTGGCAGTGCAAGTTATATGCCCATTTCTGGCAGGTGTCTGCCTTGCCTTGGTGGTCCCTGGTGAGCTGATGCACAGAGAGATGAAGGTGAAACTCCTCAGCATACTCCACTCTAGAAATGCTCTCCTCCTCTGACCCTGGCAGACTCCTGAGAGTAAACCAGTCGACTCGGACCAGGAGCAAATGTTGGTCCCAATCGTGCCAGTGCTGATCAGTGTTGATGGCCAGCTGAGCAGTGAGTATTCCGTGAAAATGCTCCACAAGACCATCACTCTGAGGTAGGACAGATGTGACCGGTCTCTTTTAGATGTCCAGCCGGTTGCAGACCTCAGCCATGACTGCCAACTCAAAGTGACCCCTGGTCACTGTGAAGCTTCTCTGGCACACCAAGCAGAAAAACTCCTTTACCAGCCGCTCCACCGTCATGCTCTGGTCTGGGATCGCATATGCCTCGGGTCATATAGGGATATGATCCATGGACATGAGAACATTCGGTGGTGTGAAACAGATTTGGTGGTGGCCAGTGGCTTTGGTGGTGGGAAAGGGGCCCAGAACATCCATGGCTACTCTGTGGCCAATGGCTTTGGTGGTGGGAAAGGGGCCCAGAACATCCAAGGCTACTCTGTGGCCAATGGCTTTGGTGGTGGGAAAGGGGCCCAGAAGATCCGTAGCTACTCTTTCCACAGGAGCATTGGAGTGGAGGGACTACTAAGGAGTATGCGTTAGCTGTTGCGGTCCTTTATTGGCTGTGCATAGATCACAGCAGTACACATTGAGTTCCACATGAAGACGACAACCTGGCCAATAGAATCTCTGCTGCAGTCGCTTCAGAGTCTTGCCCACCCAGAAGTGCCCCATGCCAGCCGCCCCATGCACTGTACTGTTTTAAGCAGGTTGTGTGACATCAGCAAGTGCCTGAAGCAGTTTTTGAACTGCATGAGCCAGGTCAACGAGGCTCAACTGCCAGCTGTAGTACTCTTCTCTGTAAGCCAGTGTAGTGTGAGGCTGTCAGCGAACCCACGCATGAAGTGCGCATAGAACAAGGGTAAGCCAGAAAAGCTACGCAGCTCACTGACACTCTGTGGTGTGAACCACTGCTGCACCGTGTCTACTTTACCCAGGTCTGCTTCCACCCCACTGCTCACTGCATGACCCAGGAGGCTTTTGGGCTACTAAAGAAGGTTGGATTTCTTAGGGTGCAGCCAGAGGTTTGCAGACTTAATACCCTGGAATACCTGCTTTCATCAAAATCTGTTGCGAAACCGGCACGTTGTTTGAGATAGACAATGCACCAGTCTTCGGGTAAGCTGGCGAGCATTTGCTCTATCAGCCACTCAAATGTAGCCAATGCATTTTGAAGGCTGAAGGCCATTACCATGAACTCCATCACCCAGCATGAACACCATCTTTTCTCGGTTTTGCCACCTCCCAATACCCACTCCACCAGTCCAAAGCATAATCAATATGCGTGAGCAGATGAGTTACAAAGTTTAGTTACAATGTTGAGCTGCAGGTATTTCACCACCAACTTCCATCCTTTTTCTTTGCTAGGAACACTGGTGCTGCCCAATGGCTGCTCAAAGGCTTGATATCCCCACTGCTGCCATATCCTGTAATTTTATTTGTTGGCCTCTTTCTTTACCAATGGGAATCATTGAGGGCAAAGTTGCATTACTGCTATACTACATCACATTGGTCTGCGCACAGTCTCCCTCTGTTGCCATGAAGATGTCACTATAATGGCTCAAAAGCTTCCACAACTGCTTCTGTTTGCCCTTCGGCAAATCTTGACCCACTCTGCTGCCATACCGAGTGCACCAATTCTACTCTAGCTCAAATCTCCACTGTACTCAGCACTGCTGCCCTCCACACTATCCATCGTCTCTTTCATCCATTGTGTTGCCCATGACCCTCAGGGATCCATCCACTAGTGCTGGCATGACGTGTTTAGCTCCTCCCACACCAGTGGTTTTACCCACAAAAAGTCGTGGTGCGAGTGTACAGGCTTCTTGTATGGATGCAAATCAGAATTCATGCACTCGGCTCAGACCTTCCAGGATGATTGGAAAGCGATTTTTCCTTCAACTTGGCTACCAGTAACAAAGCTGAGCTGGATGGCCGCCACTAGAAAGTTCACAAACACTTGAAGTGCTTTTTCTTCCAGGATCAAGTACAGCTGGTTCACAGTGACAGGTGTCATCCAGCTGCAATGCTAAACACCTTTCGCATCTGCTTGAAATAGAGCTCCCAGGCATCTTCCCTGTGGTACCGTGGTAGTCAAAAATATGCTGGCTTTGCTCCGCCGTGCCCCAGTTGGATGCTGCCGCCCACTTTGCAGCTTTCTCTTTCATCAGTTTCACTTTCACTTTCTTCGTATTTTCTTTAACCTTCTCTGCCGCCATGCCTCACCATGCTGTCGCTGCCATTAATGTTTTTTCCATCTGCTTCTCTACTGCCGTTTTATCCATCACTGCCGTCTTTGCTGCTCACCTTAAAGTTTTTTGATGCGCCACTGTGGCGCCATCCCACATCTAACACCAAATATAGTGTCTTGGCGAAGAAGGATCAGAAGAGGCCATCATTTCTCCACATAATATGTCCTTTCATTAAAGAATAAGGCAGAAAAGCCACTGCCAAACAGCTAGAACAGAGGAGAAGGACACCTCCAGCCACACAACACTTGTTCAACACGTTAACTTTCCATGCACACTTTTCACTCTACGAAAAAACAAAATACAATGCAATCTACACATAAACACATCTGAAACTACAAACAACAACACTAACAACAAGAACAACAACAACAATGCTGGGCAGAGGGGTTTGTAAATCACCACTGCCAGAGATTAACCAACATGTCAGTCCACTTTCCCACTATGTACCTCCATCAGCTGAACACACAGGCTGCTCCATGACAATGTTCAAAAACCTGTGTGAGAATGAGAAAACAGGAAAAATGCTGGTTGGCATGAACTGCCTGAGACGGGGAAAAAAATCTGCACTATATATTGTCTTCTTTGGGTCACAGGCAACAACACACAAAAACAAACAAAACATGAAAGAGCACTGAACTAGTGTCACCATTTGTGCTGCCATCTTGGACTATAGTGGACTTACAGTAACAGTAGAAAATTGCTGGAAAATTTGAGCCAAGAAGGAGATATTTTGTGGAAGTGACGTTTCAAACATGAAAGATGTAGATTAATTATTAATTGAATTTAATGGTGATAGTTTGGTCTGAATTGTTCCTGAACAGCATATATATTTTACTGGGTGCATCATTTGTCTGAATACATAACTAACGTTATTGTACTCTTTTGTAGGAGACATATTGGGCCGTGCACTAAAGAATATTGATGGATTGCTGAAGATGCCATATGGCTGTGGAGAACAAAACATTGCTCTCCTCGCCCCCAACATCTACATTCTTCAGTACCTGGAGAACACTGGACAGCTCACTGCAGCCATCCGTGAGAGAGCTACAGGTTTCCTTAAGAGCGGTGAGAGAACTTTTCTTCATGAAGAATCTTAGGCTTGAAACATACTTTATGCAAAGACGCGAACACAGATGTTTCGAGCTATGCAGACGAGGTTTCACACATAGTAACGCAAGCGCGAGCTGCACACTGAGCATTACAGTGGGGGATCGCTATAATGACAGCCAAACCTAGCTGTGACAGTAGATCCCTCTCTGATTTGTCCTCTATCGCCCCCTTCAGTAGTGAATCTTTGAACCGCCACAGCAATGTAGGAACTCAATGTTTTTTTTTTTTGTAAAAAGGACCGCATTTGCAGTGTGTTTGCAGAGTGCTGTCGTTTGCGTTCGCATACTTGCATTGAGTATGTTTCTGGCCTTAGCCATCGTGAGTAGACTGTGAACTGCTGAACTGATCAGGCTAAAAATCATTTGCCTTGTCAGGATATCAGAGGCAACTGAACTACAAGCATTTCAGTGGTGCATACAGCACATTTGGCAGAGGAGAGGGGAATACATGGTGAGAAAGTCAAGACATATTCAGCTGATAGATGTGACGAAGAATGATAATTTTCAGTTTACATTATGTGCACAAAGATATTATGAATATCAATACAGATCTATCTTTACCACCAGGTTAACTGCTTTTGTCCTGAGAACTTTTGGCAAAGCACAGCGTTACATCTTTATTGATCCACAAAACATTGAGACTACAAAGACATGGCTGATAAGTAATCAGAGACCAGACGGCTGTTTTATAAGACGGGGACAACTATTCAACAACAGAATGAAGGTGAGTTTTTGGAGGTGAGGTTTTTTAAGGTACTCAGTAAATAAAATGAACTGGTATCTGTTTTGAGTAATGTTCTAATGTATTACAGGGTGGTGTAAATGATGATGTGACCATGACTGCTTACATCACTGCATCGTTGCTTGAATTAGGCCATACAGTGAAGGTGAGGACACTGAGCAGCCTGTGTGAATTATGACCTTACATGCACAGGATTCATTTCTGTATGGAGGACAGACTAAAAGCATCATAATTATTAGCCAGTGTGTTCAATGTGATGCTTACTCTACAATCATATGACCTTTACCCTTGTCCTCAAAGCGAGCAATGGAAGTGAGTGACAACAATAAAACCAAAACACTCCCAATATAATCAATAAAGCTGTTTACCCCAGCTGCAAGTGGGAGAGTATGATGTGGTGGCATCTTTGACAGCCTCCCCATTTCTATTTTTAACACGTCTCTGCCATGGAGGAGGAGAAACTCTTCCATGAAGTGGAGAATAGGAGGGATCTCTATGACCCTTCCAGTAAATAAATTGCAGAGAAACTGCCAGAGTGCTTGACATTTTGATGCCACTGATTGATGAAGATACTTAGCTGGTTAGCTACAACTGAGCTGCCCAACACCAGAGTGCACATGAGTCCATAAATCAGAACATTCTTTAAGGGTCCGTATGAATTACAAAGTTGGGAGGTGATTTTTCCTCTATTATTGTGGTATGTGTCTTAAAATCTGAGCCAAGGAATGACTTTCAAACCACTGTTTTTTCTTCTACACTCTAATTTACATTTTGATTGTAGGATCCTGTTGTGAGTAAAGGGTTATCATGTCTAAAGTCCTCTATTGGCAACCTGACAAACACCTACGCCACTGCACTGCTGGCCTACACTTTCAGTCTGGCTGGAGAGCATGATGTTCGAGAGCAGCTGCTGAAGAAGTTGGATAGTGTTGCCATTTCAGGAGGTATGAAATGATGAGAAGAATTAGTCATTGAGTAACTGAGTGTGTTTCACATGCACTTAATCCGATAACTGCAGAAAGTCAGATTTTGTCAGTAATTCGTTTAACGTGTTTACATGCACTTGGGAAAACTCTGGTTCTGTGTGAATCAGGCAATAATCACATTTCTGTTTTGCAACCCAGCAATAAACTGTAGCTGTAGCTCTTCCCTCAGTTTGCACACATGCGCAGACTGAGAACATTGAAATGAAGTAAAACCTGATTGCTGAGATAAAATCCAAGTTTCTTTATTGGATTTCTTGAAATCTTGATCTAAGAAATCAGAGTATGCTGTTTACTCGACAAGTTGAATTTGTGTGCATGTAAACACACTCACTGTTACCATATTAGTCTGATTTAGGGCTCACAGGGTTATAGTTCATCTATTGTTATCTCTAGATTAAGCTTATTTGAGTTATACCTCGTGTTCTTTTATATAGATGGTCGCCTTCACTGGTCTCAGTCAGCATCAGATGACTCTGACTCCTTAACAGTGGAGATCAGCTCCTATGTTCTGCTAGCTGTTCTCACTACAGCTGAAGTCACTGCTGCTGATTTGGGCTATGCTAACAGGATTGTCAGCTGGCTGGTGAGGCAGCAGAATCCCTATGGTGGCTTCTCCTCCACGCAGGTACTCAAATAAATTTCATCCCTTTTTCTAACTCTTTCTTTACTAAGTCTTTCTTTTTCTTAATGTTTTGTGATCATATAATATGTAGACATAGAAATCGGAGCTGTAAATGTATAACTCCTTTTTGTTATTGTTTGGATCAGGACACAGTGGTGGCCCTCCAGGCTCTGGCTCTGTACTCCACCAAAGTGTTCAGCTCTGATGGCTCCAGCACAGTAACTGTGAAGTCAGATAAAGAGAGTCACCACTTTGATGTGACCCAGGACAACAAGTTACTGTACCAGGAGAGGCCACTGCAGGATGTCCCCAGCAAATACAGCATTTCAGTGAAAGGCTCCACCTGCGTGTCTCTGCAGGTCAGTGTGTCTGGTATGCAGTGGTGAAGATGGGGGATCAGGGTGGGACTGGCTACCCCTGAAATCTAATTGGCCACTTGGGTTTCATGTAACTGGTTGATTAGAATAATTACACTTTTTGATTTCATAGCTGTGCATGTTGTGTGTGTGTCTGTAGCCATTAGTAGCCTCTCTCAGCTCACGCAATTAAGCAAGACTGCAGACCACACTGAGGGCCCAGATTCATGAAACTCTGAAGTAACAGCGCTATGCAAAATGTGAAGCATGAGCCAATCAAAATCCACATGTAAATTAGGTCATACATATTAAAGACTCAAGCCAAGCAAAACTCTGGTTGGCAGGCAAAATTGATACAATGAATAAAATGAAAAAGAAACACAAAAACTCAATTATCAGAAACAGAGCTACAAATTTAGAGAAAAGATGTGCTGAAATGCTAATGACTGTATGGGCCATTGTTGCTTTTGTTAATCTCAGGAATTCAATTTAACCATATGAAAATTAAATGTCACCTAGTAAATATTTGACTATTATCAGAAATTCAGTTTGCACATGAGAAAATATTTCACTAATAATAAAAAAAACTAAATCTAATTAAATTAGTAAAACATTAGTAAAAATTAGATTTTGAGTGTTTAGTTTGAAAGTGTAATTAGAATGTCAACATGTCAAGTTACTCTTCATGAAAGTCTACACTTTTAGCTCATATACATTATTTAACTTTAACTCCAATATTTATGGACCTGACTGTTTTCAGTATGAGCAGTGTGCATCGTACATCATGGCACTGCTGGAATAGATGTACCACCACTGATGGTTACTGTGAATGAAAACTTATTAAAAGTGATAGTTATGAGGTTAGCATGTTATGATTAAGTTGTCTAAACGTCTGGCACAAAACCCTCCATCCAAAATAGATGCAGACCAATTTAAATGCAATATATGCAACATCATAGCCTTTGTAGGAGGCTGCAAATGTGGCAGCCACCTACAGAGAAAATGTAACTTGAATGGAAAATGACTTCCAGTTTCTTAGAGAATAGCTTATATTCTGTCTCTGCAAATATTACAGTGACCGTTTTTAGAACAAATGCTTCTTTTGCAGGTCTCTTTGTGATTAATTACAAATATAAAACATGAGCTACATTATGCAGCTTTAAGAGACACTTTTTTATTCACTGTTTTTATGATTTGATCTCTTTTTGTTCTCAAATGCAGGTGGCGCTTTTCTACAATATCCCCACACCTACTGAAACCAATACATTGAGCATCGAGGCTAAAACTGATGGAAATTGTACCAAATCATTTGGATACATTCTGTCCATCAACTTCACAGTCACGTAAGAGTGTATTTTTATTAAAAGACAAAGATGATTTATACTTAATATGAGGAAACTGGGGATGACAACTTTAGATGATGAAAAGAAAATGTTTTTAGTCAAAGACAAAATAATTACAATTATAATAATAAATAATTACAGTTCAGTTTCAGCATGAAAACCGGTCTACAGTAAGCTCCAATCTCCAGTAATTGCCTGTAGCAGTCCGGCATCTGAGCTATATTTGATGCCAGCAGAATTATTTGATCAATAACTAAATATGGTCTTATGATGTTTATATTGTAGAAACAGTAATAATAATATCTGATTGTTATGAATGTAGTGAGTAACTAACTACCTAATGGTGTTTTATTAATTTATTTGTTTGCAGATATAATGGGGAGTTAAACAGCACTAACATGGTCATAGTGGATATAAAAATCTTATCAGGATTCACATCAGATCCCAGTGATGTAAGTAGTCCTGGAAGATTATTAAACAAATATACTGTAATTGTTCCTTTAAATCTGCTATTCAAATGTTTAATAAATCATTGTAGAGAAGTAATTATTTTGTCTTTTCTTTCAGCTAAAATACCGCCCACTTGTGGAACGGGTCGATTCCAAAGATGACCATGTTATCATGTATATGAAAGAGGTGAGAGATAAACACAGTTATATACTCCTCAGTTATTGTGGACATTCATACACAGCAGGGGTGTAACAGTAAACAGAGGTCAAGGTTTGGTTCACGTCACAGTTTGGACATCACTGTCTGGTACGAGTTCAGTACAACATGAAAAAAGCAACAACAACCCCCAGACGCATAAGAGAGAGAGCTTGTAGAGAGGAGAATTAGCACTCTGTGATGTCTTCTAGGTTTCTCAAACGCTAGAGGGCGCTCTCGAGCGAGTCCAAACTGAATGGGTTAATATGGAGCATTTGAGTAAAATCATAATTTATAAATGTTTAAACATTATTAATGTAAAAGAATACCCTCATTTCCTGAACACAGAATAGATAAAACATCTTAACACTGCTGTTATATTTTTGAACGCTTTTGAACTCGAGTTATAGGAGTTTAAAACAGCGCTTCATCTACGTAAATTAGTGAGCACAAACAGCCAATGAGCTGCTCTGCTTGCCAACCTATCAGCACTCAGTAGCAGTAATGCTAGCATTTTACTGCCCAAAACCCATTTTCTGTAGAAAAAAGGAAATATATACATAAGTTTTCTTTGCTTTTTTTAGTGAAATACATCCGTCTACTTTCTAAAATGAAAGGAACGTTCTGGGCACATGATTAGAAACTATTTTAACTTTTTGTTTTTAGCCGTTTAGCTCCATTTACCCCCATTCTTTGAGCCCTCGCTCGCCGACGGCCTCTGCTGTTTTGCAGTCATGTTTTTGATATAACGGGGGAAATAGGAAGTGGCCAGGCTCCTCATAAACCATAAAACGTCAGTTGGGATTTTGTAGTTGGGAGCAGTGACAACAGAAAAATGTGTAAGGCTTTGTGCTGAATCTCTTCACAGGTGCAAAAATATTGCAAGCTGTGGACAGAGCTAAGTCTTCTTTCATTCATTTAATTTCAGCTTGTGTTTTATTTAAAAATTCACTCTCTTTTTATTTAACTCAATAGCTGCCTTTCTCACTTCTCACTTACAGTTCAAACACCTCAAATTCAGCCTCACAGCTAGGACAGCTTCACCTGAACCACTGTTGCTAACTTGCTAATGGCTTACAGCTTAAGGCTTCTGGGCGAAACTCGTGCTTTTGAAATCTGGTTCCACATTATGTTCATCAGTCTTCGTACATACAGTGTAGGCCTATTCTCAGTAAGACTGCATGGACTGAAATGTAACATCCGTACACTGATGGTTTAGGACAAATACACATACGGTTACACCCCTAATACGTAGTTATTAATAAGAATATTCATTCAGTACTTTTTTTAAAATTTATTCATCTGGGGCTGTAATACAGAAACTAAGGTAAGATCTGATCTTATTACAGAAGCAAATTTCATCTTAATTTAAGAATTATATCTCACACAATCTTATCTCAAGTTAAGAAATCCTAAATAAACTTGAACAAGGTTGATAATTAATTATGTCTGTTACCCAGCAACCAAAGTTATGCCCATAATGTTAAAAAATGTGCATTAGTTTACTAGACAGCTACTGATGGAAAAAAGGACCGAATTTAAGACAGTAGCTATTACAGAATAACCGCCCCTAAGTTCATAATCTTATCCTAACTCCAGATAAGAAAACAGTATTACAGAAATATTCTAAATAGACTACATGTCTGAAATACTGTCCTAACGTTAGGATAAACCCCAGCAGTGTCCTAACTTTTGTTTTACCTTCAGTTTTTAACCATTTTTAAGCAGCCGTGACAGGCAGCGTAACAAGTTCACAATATCTAGCATAATGATATATATATATATATATTTATTTATATATAACCACATGGTAGTTTCAATTATGAGCTTTTTTCCCACAGTTCAAAAATCCTGGACATGTAGATGCGTTCTCCACCATTCCCTTTCATTACCTAGGTGTGTTAATGTTCATGAAAACTCATCAAATAAAGTATTACAGTGATGAGGGTGAATAATGAGGAGACAGAGCTGAACATTTGGCTGTTTTTTAGGAGGATTAACATTATGCATGGCAGCTAAAGCTGGTGGAAATGGAAACTGAAACTGCGGAGTGGCAACACCCAGTTAAACAGAACAGGGACTTTTTAAACACAATATCACAATATGTCAAAATATAATTCCTAAATTAAGACAACTTGCAACTCATAGGAAAGTACTCTAACACAGAGCCTTCTAGGCTTTAGAAATGTCATAATCATTGATAATGGCAGATTAAAAACATTCATGCATATTCATAATGACACAAAAACACAAAAAGGCCAATTTTACAACAAACTAGACCAAAAACTGTCCCAAAAACAACAAATGATGAAGTATTTTTGGTTTGTGTTCAACAGGTCCCAAGAAATTCTCCGATAAATTATCAGCTACATCTTAAACAGGTGCTTCCAGTCAAGAATCTCAAACCAGCTGTGATCAAAGTTTATGATTACTACCAAACAAGTAAGATTTCCCTGGGCTTTATGATTCTTACACTTTTACTCTGATTTTATTGCTTCTGTTTACTGAATTTTAATACCTCTTTTATTCAGGTGACCAGTCTGAGACAGAGTACTCCTCCCCCTGTGTGTGAGCTCTCAGATCTGCAGCTTCACACTATGAGACACAGAGAAGACTCGGTCCTCGTTTTATCCTGATTTTATCTTAACTTTAATCAGATGTTTGTTTCCTTTTACTCTGAAATAAATATGATTTTCAAGCAACATGTGCTGCTTTTATAGACAGTTCTAAAGGGTAATCTTTGTGCTGAAATGTGTAACATGCCCTATAAAGGTGAGTGACAGTCAACTCAAGCCTTTTTAATTCAACAGAGATGAAATTTGTGCAACTGCACAATGATTTCACAGTGTGGTAGAACAAATCAAGGGCCTGGAACCAGAGGAGAAGAAGTAGCTATTGAAGTTGTTTAACCAGAAATCCAAATAAACTCTAAAAGCTCACTGTATGCTCAGTGTTTGTTTTAATAATATGAATAGTGATAATTTTCTCAGTGTCTGAAGGAAAATTTGGAGTTCTTTCTGTTAGAACATCTGTGAAATGCACACACACTATGTAACTGTGTAGCTACACATGAATAACATATGCAACAACACTGTAACTTCTGATGATTTAGTCAATGTTACAGATGGATTACAGAAGTACAGACTATGTAATTACACATGTGTATCAACTTCAGTTTTCCCTCAAGTGTATCTTCTACACCAGAACTTTCCTGTAGTGCAGTGTTAAAGTTACTCTTTAAAATAAGTGGACAGTTCCTATGTAGTTGTTAGGTACTGAGTTATAATGGAGTGGTAATATAGATTTTTTGGGGGGAAATGCAACACATTTAATTTATGTCATAAAAGTTATATTTTAAGATATGGGGACGTCTGCTGTACTGTCACATACACAAACAGAATTATTTAGTTGAAGCTGGTTGCAATGTCACAGAACTAGCAACATAAATGCTAGCTACATACTACATGAGAGAGAATAGGCTGTTGCAACTATTAAGATACACTTGTGTAGGGTAGTGAGGCAAAACTGAAGTTGATACATGTGTGTAACTACATAAGGTGTACTTCTGTAATTGATCTGTAACAGTGACTAAATTGTTAGTAGTTACATTGTTGTTGCATATGTTGTTAACATGTGACGACACAGTTATTAGAGACAATATAAAGTGGGACCGGTAAACCATTTACAAAGTTTAATAGTAAAGCAGTTGTTAAAAAGTGGAACGCAGGATTTACACCGATCAGCCACAACATTAAAACTACCTCATTGTTTCTCACTCATTGTCCATTTTATCAGCTCTACTTACTGTATAGGTGTACAGTTACAGACTGTAGTCCATCTGTTTCTCTACATGCTTTGTTAGCCCCCTTTTACCCAGTTTTTCAGTGGCTGGATATTTTTGGTTGGTGGACTATTCTCAGTCCAGCAGTGACACTGAGGTGTTAAAAACTCCAGCAGCACTGCTGTGTCTGATCCACTCAGACCAGCACAACACACACTAACACACTACCACCATGTCAGTGTCACTGCAGTGTTGAGAATGATCCACCAGCCAAATAATACCTGCTGTGAGGTGGTCTTGTGAGCATCCTGACTATTGAAGAACAGGGTTAAAGGGGGCTAACAAAGTATGCAGAGAACAGATGAACTACAGTCTGTAATTGTAGAACTACAAAGTGCACCTATATAGTAAGTGAGGCTGATAAAATGGAGAGTGGGTGTAGAAATAAGAAGGTAGTTTTAATGTTATGGGTGATTCAAGTTAACCTAAGTAAATCAAGAGTAAACAGAACTCAAAAAAGTAGAGCACTGTCAGCTTAATTGATTATTATTATTAACTATTCAAAATGATTGAGCTGTTTGAGTTAAATTTGCTAGCTGCATCACTGAAAAATAGAAAGTACCTATAACTCAAACATATTTATTTAAGCCTGAAACTGAAAATTTTTGAAGCAATAAGTCTGCATTTTTTACAGTCATCTAGTTTGCAAAGACACACATTAAATCTGTGCTAAACGTAAAGTAACTTATAACAAACAAAACTATTTTTAAATATCATATAATTTGATTCAAATCATTAAACATCAGCAGTCTATTCCACAGTAAACACCTCATATCCTGCCGAAAACCTGACTGGCCCCAGACTACACTTCAATAGTGAATAAAAACAATTTTTTTTATGTAATAGACAACATACAATCCCATTTCCAAAAAAGTTGAGATGCTGTGCAAAATGTAAATAAAAACAAAATGCAATGATATCAAAATCATTTAAACCCTATATTTCATTGATAATAGTACAAAGACAACATATCAAATGTTGAAACTGAGAAATTTTTTTGCTTTTTGAAACATTTATGCCCATTTTTAATTTGATGACACATTCCAAAAAGGTGGGACGGGGTAACAACAGGCTGGAAAAGTTGTGTAATCTTTAAAAAATTTGGGGGGGGTGATGACAACAAAAGGACGAAAGCGGGAAGCGAGTCCTGAACTCCGCTGCGAGAGCTCACAGTCACCGCCCCCGCGCAGCAGCTCGTCCGCCTGGATCGAACATGAGGTGGAGTGGAGCGGCCTCGCTGCGGAACAGTGGGCGGGGCCAGAGTGCTGGAGTTTGGGACTCGCTTCCCTCTCTCGTGCCTCTCGTTGCTGTCATCGTCGTCATCCCCTCTCTTGCGGCTGACGTCCTCCTCCCACCATCACTTGCGTTATTGAATGCTTAAACTTATGTACATTGATTATGAAATTGTCAGTAACATTCATCATTTGAGTATTATTAAAAGAGGGAGAAGGTTATATTAGACACATTTAAAAGGAGGACACAGGTTACCACTTGAAAAATGAATGTGAAAGCTTGTAACATTCAACATGATGTCTATTTATAGGTAAAGTCCTGCCCTCCAATCAAAAGAGCCAAACATCTGGCTGGTAAAGTTGCAAGGGGGAAAAGCTCTCCTTTGTTGTGGAGATATGTGCATTCGCAGTAGCCAGAACAAACTGAGAAAATGCTTTTGTGTGTTATTTCAGCCAAACTCTACACACTATTTATGCTGTTTTTGTCAGCTTTCACCAGTGGTTTCAAATGTTTTTTGAAACATTAATTGGGCTTTTAGTTTGTGGTTTAAAGGATTTTCCTACTCAAAGAGATACGAGTCTGCTCTTGTATGACTGGAAATTCCTGCCTGGCAGAGTTGCTTAAATGGCCGTTGAGTGGACAGACTTTCCTATAAGGACTTTGGTCATACTTTGTTTTCACTTCAGAAGTCCACTTTGTATCAAAGAGGTAAACAATGCCTGAAAAAAATAGTAGATTTTGACCAGTGGCAGAGCTACACTTATACACGGGGGGGGGGGCTTAAGTGAGATCTTTCTTGTTTTCGTTTCTCTGCAGAGCTGCTGAGTTATGATCATCCATTTCATGTAAGTTTCCTCATTATGCAGTCACTCCCCCCACCTCCCATGCTGGCCTCTGATAAAAGCCTCTGATTTGGACAGTTTTGCTCACGCTATGTTTTCAGTGTAGCCAAAATGTGTTGCTCAAAAGGATTAATCATTGATGAGATGATGAGTCCAAATGTTTGAGGTGAACCTCCTGTGGGCTGAACGACCTTTTAAAAAGGCAGTGAAGCTTCTGAACCTGGTGTTGGTGACTAGACTTTATCATGGTGGCCCGTGGGTTTCTCGTACAGGAAGGGCTACTGTTAGCCTGCTTCCTCTTTCTCTCTGTGCATGGACAAACCTCAGGACCGTGAGTAATCCAAAAGTTATCTGCTGGTGAAAAATGTAGTAGCCTCTTCTTATAAATATGTATTGTACGTAGCATGTTGTGATTATATAGTTGTGCTTTATGTGGTAGCGGTGTCATAGCATCTCAGTATGCGTTTGTATACAAGCCCTGTGTTTTGGGGGGGCTTTAAATCTGGTTCTTGTGTTATCAGTGTATAATTGACCAATTCCAAGCCCTGGCCTCAGTTCTCCAACTGTTATCCCCCCAATACCCTGCTGAACCCTCAGTCTTTTAGCAGCATACCATCAATTTCTGTGAGGATGTTTTAAATTTAAAGCACCAAATGATGTGCCTGGGGAGACTTTTAAAGGAACCTGATACCCCAGTAGATTTCTACTCATTTCCAAAGTTAAAATAAAAAAAAAATTATAACGTCAGCTTTGCATTTATCTGTGCCGTAACCTCCTGACGGGTCATATTCGAATACTTTCTTTCATTTCAGTGAAGCAGGCACAATCTTGATATGAGGTTTATATTGTTTATATTTATGTCAGTTTTGTAAAGTGATCTCATTGTATGGAGGAGATGATAAATGGACCTGACCTGTGAATGCATCATTTAATTAGACATTTGATTAACTGAAGTGGACACTTGCATAAACTAGCTTTAAACTGACCATACAGCCCCTAATTAAATGTAACTACTTTTAATGTTATTGGGCCATTATGCTAATACTGTATTAAACATAGATGTTAAAGTCAGTTTCAGGAACATTCTCTGCACTGGTGAGCACAGGGAGGTCATGTAGGGTGTAAGAGTTCATCACTATATTTAGCTAATACTAAAAACTGAAATGTCCACTGGTACAAAGACACCTGTTTGTGCATGTTGTTTATACGTCCTTTAAGTTTTCTACTTCATGTGCAAATCTCCAAAATCTCTTAGGACAGTCTGTAAAATGCAAATAAAAACAGAAAGCTGTAATATGTAAATCCTCTGTCATGTATTTCAACAAAACAGTGCAAAGAAAAGATATTTCATATTTTATTTTATCAACATCATTGTTTTTCATAAATGTGTATAGTCCTTTTTAAATGCCTCCGATATCAGTTTCAGAACAATGTTATTCTATGAGCAATTCACCCTCTACGTTGTATACTATCATCAAAAGATTCGGAGCATCCAAAGAAACCTCTGCATAAAGGAAAAGGCCGAAAACCACAACTGATCTTCAATCAATCAGACGGCACTGAACTAAAAACCAGCACCCTTCTGTGATGAATATCACTACATGGGCTCAGAACAACTTTAACAAACCGTTGTCAATAAACATCATTTGTTGCTGCGTCCACAAATGCAAGTTAAGACTGTGCTCTGCACAGCGGAAGACGTATGTCAACAGCATTCAGTAATGCCACCAACGTGTCTGGGTGTGAGCTCATCTGAAATGGGCTGACACATAGTGGAAATGTGTTCTGTGATCTGATGAGTCTATCTAGACTATTGTTTGTGGAAATAATGGATCTTGTGTTCTTCAGGCCAAAGAAGAAAAAGACCACCCAGACTGTTACCAGCATAAAGTTAAAAAGTCAAGGTCTGTCATGTTATAGGGGTGTATTAGTGACCATGCCATGGGTAGCTTATACATCTGTGAAGGTTCCATTAACTGTGAAAGTTCTGCGCATGGCTACTCTGCATGGCCACGCCTCCCACAGCTGTGCAAGCCAGTATTGTATCCCTACAGTACATTTACAAGCTGTTGTCCCTGATCAATAGCATAAAGACACTTAGATAATCTGTTCAAAGCCTTCTAGCTGTTCCAGTAATAATATTCATCATAACTTCATTATAATAAGCGCTAACCAAAGACAAATGAAATAGTTATAGTAATTAAATAATTTTATGAGCATATAATGAGAGCAGGAATTGAGCAGCACCGCTGTGTCTGATCCACTCATATCAGCGCAACACACACTCACTGCAGTGCTGAGAATGATCAACTGCCCAAATCATATCTGCTCTTTGGTGGTCCACCAGCCAAATAATACCTGCTGTGAGGTGGTCTTGTGAGCGTCCTGACTATTGAAGAAAATGGTAAAAGGGGTTAACAAAGTGTGTAGAGAAACTACAGTCTGTAAATGTAAAACTATAAAGTGCAGCTATGTGGTAAGTGGAGCTTCAACTGTTCCACTTACTGTTTCTACTAGAAGTGTAGAAATAAGGAGGTGGTTGTGATGTGGCTGATTAGTGTATATCAGCTGGATGAACACTAAGTAAAAACATAAGATAATGAATGAATGTATTTAGTTGAGCACTCAGTTTTGCCCTGATTTGTGTACAGTGATTTCTTTTATATAACTCACTGTTTCAGTAATGCTTCATTTTAAATCACTGAATTGTCAGTTACTGCTTTTTACCTTTAGGTATTTCATGGCGACGTTTCCTGCAGTGATAGAGTCTGGATCTGAGGCTACACTGTGTACGAGTCTTCTGAAGCCTAATGAGACTCTGCAAATGACCATTTATCTGGTTCACGGCAGCCAGAACAGAATAATTCTACAGGAGAGAGTGGAGGAAGAATTCCACCGCTGCTCTCAGTTTAAGGTCAGAAACAATCAGGTTTTTTTCATGTATTATTACCATTTGATGTCTGGAAATGGAAAATATCTCAACATATAATGTGATCTCTACAGGCTCCACAGGTTGAGGGTCAATCAGTGCAGGAGATCAGAGTAGCAGTCAAAGGTGAAAGTTTTAAGATGACAGAGAAAAGAAAAGTTATGTTTAAATCCTACAACCCACTGACATTCATTCAGACTGATAAACCAATCTACAACCCCGGCCAAACAGGTAATTCATCATTACTACAATATGTTTCACCTTTTCCAGTACACTATTAATTGAATATTCCAGCATCTTTCAGCCTAATCTCTGTCTGCTGCAGCTGTAGGTAACAAATAATATGCTCATCATTGTGAGTTTTGTGAAAGTTTGAATGTCCCTGGTCAAATTACATATTCAGTTGATTTTCTAAGTAATACTAAACACATATTGTCTACAGTGAACACCTCTCTGCACATTTTAATGCACAGTTACTGTTTATTTGCTGAATTTAACTTAAAAATCTAAATATTGCCTGTGCGAAAGTGATGACACATTTTATGTTTGTATGTTTTACATTTTTCTCAGTATAATAAAGTCAACAAATAAACAGAAATTGTGCACTAACATTTACAGAAGTACCATATTTAAGTTGGTTCCCTGCAGAAGATGTGTTAAACTATTTTTACTTAGAAAATCAATAAAGCATGTAAAGAGCAGGGCTGTTTAAAATTTGCATATTACTGTAATAATAATGTTAGCTGCTGAATTTTGTAAATAAATATCTGAAATATGTAACTGTACAATGTGAGTTCAAATTACAACTGTTAAACTCTAACAGTGGAATGAAGCTGTTCTTATGAATATTTGTTCAAATTTTGAACTTTGGATCAACACAATAAAGAGCAGCTGAGGTTATTTTCTCCTTCCTTAATGTTTTTGGTATTGATGCTAAATCATGCAGGAGCCTGTAAAACGCCTCCCACATCACTACACTAACACCATACTGCCATGAATTCTTCTTTCTGAAAAAATAGTCCCATTAACTGTACAGATTTACAGCTTAATTTAAAAATACTTTTGACTGAAGAATTCAGAAAACTGTAAACATTTGCTGATAAAACTCAGCAACTGCCCAAAAGCTTTTGTTATAAGTGTGTAACACATCATGCACTACCCCGGGCTCAAGGAGGGCGCTGGAGGCAGCAGCCATATTCTTTAATTTCAAGTTCAAACACACATAATCAAAACAAAACCACAATCAGAACTAAAGATATGCTGGCCACTTTTCAGTGGCTTAAGCTAGACTTTTCAGTCCTTTTCTCAGTTTAGCTTTTTAGCTCTTCACTCAGTCTTTTGCTGCTGCTGCTTGTCCCTCTCTCTCTGCTCCCTCTCTGCTCTTTTTAACAGCACCTCAGTCAAGAGGGAACGAGAGCTTGTTTCTCCGCCTCCTCGTTACCGCCCCATTTCGCAGCTCAGCCACCCAGATTGAATGTGAGGCAAATTAATGTGGCCTCACTGACTCGGGACTCGCACGCCATCCCCCACCCACTCACTGTTCTCTCCCTGTTGTCCTCACTGGGCTTTGTCCCTGCTCAGAGTTCAGGCCCCGCCTTCCTGCCGGCTCTCACGGCCGCCATCGGGGCCCGCCACAATGCGTATTTAATATCAGCAGGCTCTCTACAGGCAGACACAATGACATTATTTTCAGTGGTCACTGACTGCAGGTAACAGATTCAACAGATGCAGAGAACTGAGGGCTGAAACTGAACTGAGTTCTCCACCCCTGAGATACAGACTATGTTGAAAAAGGCTGGAGTATTCTTTTAATAGCAAAGTTTTGTTAGTCAGTGTGCAGTCTAAAATCTGATATTTATTTACCATTTACAGTGAATTTCAGAGTGGTCACTGTGGATGCTAATTTTGCACCACTTAAACAAGAGGTAAGAAGGTACAACCTCAATTCCAAAAAGTTGGGACGCTGTGTGAAATGTAAATAAATGTAAATAAAAACAGAATGCAATGAATTACAAATCTCATAGGCCCATATTTTATTGACAATAGAACATAGAACACATATCAGATGTTGAAAGTGAGACATTTTACCATTTCATGAAAAACATGAACTCATTTAGAATTTGATGGCAGCAACGCATCTCAAAAAAGTTGGGAGAGGGGCAACAAAAGGCTGGAAAAGTAAGTACTACTAATAAAAAAGAGCTGGAGGAGCAATTTGCAACTAACTCACATGACTGGGTATAAAAAGAGCATTTTAGAGAGGCAGAGCAGAAGCAAAGATGGGCAGAGGTTCACCAATCTGCAAAAACTGCATCTAAAATGTTCCTCAACATAAAATTGCAAAGACTTTGAATATCCCACCATCTACAGTACATAATATCATCAAAAGATTCAGAGAATCTGGAGAAAGCCCTGTACGCAATGGACAAGACTGACAGTCAATATTGGATGCTCATGATCTTCAGGCTCTCAGGTGGCACTGCATTAATAACAGGCGTGATTCTGAACTGGAAATCACTGCATGGACTCAGGAACACTTCCAGAAATGATTGTCTGTGAACACAGTTTGCTGTGCAAACCACAAATGCACGTTAAAGCTATATCGTGCAAAGAAGAAGCCATATGTGAACACGATCCAGAAACGCGGCCGTCTTCTCTGGGCCAAGGCTCATTTAAAATGGACTGAGGCAAAATTGAAAACTGTTTTGTGGTCAGATGAATCAAAATTTGAAATTCTTTTTGGAAACCATGGATGCTGTGTCTTGTAGAGTGAAGAGGAGAAAGACCATCCAGCTCATTATCAGTGCACAGTTCAAAAGTCTGCATCTCTGATGGTCTGGGGTTGCATTAATGCCTATGGCGTGGGCAGCTTACACATCTGAAAAGGCACAATCAATGCTGAACAGTATACAGAGATTTTAGAACAACATGTGCTCCCATCCAGACAATGTCTCTTTCAGGAAAGGCCTCGCATATTTCAGCAAGACAATGCTAAACCACATACTGCATCCATCACAACAGCATGACTTTGCAGAAGAAGAGTCCGGGTGCTGAACTGGCCTCCCTGCAGTTCAGACCTTTCACCAATAGAAAACTACTGGTGCATCATGAAACGAAAATTTGGCTAAGAAGACCCAGGTCTGTCGAGCAGCTAGAATCCTACATCAGACAAGAATGGGATAACATTCCTCTTCCAAAACTCAAGCAATTAGTTTCTTCACATCCCAGACATTTACAGACTGTTGTTAAAAGAAGATGAGATGCTACACAATGGTACACATGGTCCCATCCCTATTTTTTGAGATGCGTTGCTGCCATCAGGTTCTAAATGATTGAATGTTTTTCAAGAAATGGTAAAATGTCTCACTTTCAACATCTGATATGTGTTCTGTGTTCTACTGTGAATCAAATGTGGGTCTATGAGATTTGCAAATAATTGCATTCTGTCTTAATTTACATTTATTTATATATTACACAGCATCACAACTTTCATGGAATTTGGCTTGTATGTTTGTGACTTTTAGTTATGATCAATTCAGTAAGAGTGATTTTGTGTTTTTAGTTGGATAAATCCTTATGTATTTCTGTTTAATTTCTCATAAGCGTTTTACGGTGTCATTTTCATAAGCACTTAGTAAAGTTACCCCCTTTAATTTGTATTAAAGATATTGTGCTAGTTTTACTAAGTTTAATGATTTTACTCTCCTTTACAGTACAGCGTACTGACACTTGAGGTAAGACAGATCCACACATTATATTGCCCGAATCCTACTGGTTTTTAACATCTGAAGCAATGATCAGTACTTCCTTCATACTGTCATTGCAATTAAATTAAGTGTCTTTTATGGAACCAAACAGGATAATAAAGGTAACAGGATTGGTCAGTGGACGAAAGTGTCCTCAACAGGCCTGATAGTGCAGCTTTCACACAAGCTGAATCCTGAGGCTCCTGAGGGCCAGTATAAAGTGAAGGCTAACATTGGGGATAGGTCAATCACACATAACTTTAAAGTGAAGAAGTATGGTAAGTGACAGCATTACATTAGTTTCTCTACTGATAATGAGGTAAGCTGTGCAGTTTAATGCAATAACAAGGCATTTTGGACTTTTAGTTTTACCCAGATTTGAGATCACAGTGAAAACACCAAAACAACAGAGTGTTGGAGAGGAGGAACTGAAGATCGAGGTTTGTGGAAAGTGAGTGATGGTTTCAAGACTGAATCATAAACATTAAACGGAAAGAAGAAACTTTGTCTTTTATTTTAGCCTCTTCAGATTAGTAATTTATCTTTGTGTCAGTGAAGCCTTTTGCTTTAAAACAGCAGTTCCCAAACTTTATACAGTCCAGTTCCCCCTCTGACATTAACCCTCCAGCTGCATTATAAAATCACTCTCCCTTAATATGTCATACATGTTTATGATGTGATGACAACATACCAGATGAATAAATAAATAATGTTTGGGATGCTGATAAGGTTTTATAGTGGTTCACTTGGAGGAGCTGGTCAGACCACAGGAATATAGAGGAGGAAATAACTTTCTTTATTTGTTGTCCCAAAGGCGGCAGCACTGACAGTGGTCAGTATGATTTATTTGACTTAAAATTTGACTTCCAGTGGAAACAAAGTACATTTATTTGGAACTCCATTCCTGGCAGGTAGAGTAGAAAATTATAGGATATTTTCCCACTCATTATTTCTAGCAGCAGCAGTATGTCTTTAAACAAAAGTTTTAATTTCTCAAAACAATGACTTCCTAAATAGCATGGTGACACTGATTCACCTGTCTGTAGAGCACTTTGAGCTGCCAAGTAGTAGTAGTAGCAGTAGTAGCATCAGTAGTAGTATTAGTAGTAATTGTAGTAGTAGTAATCATAGTAGTAGTACAACCCCATTTCCAAAACATTTGGGATGCTGTGAAAAATGTAAATTAAAACAAAATGCAATGTGCAAATCATTTAAACCCTATATTTCATTCAAAATACTTCAAATACAACTGTGAAAGACTGCACAGGCAAATAGTGCAACAATTCAAGAATAACGTTTCTCAACGTAAAATAGCAATGAACTTTTACTTTTTATCATCTACAGTACATATGACAGTACAAAAGCCAGTATTTGCTGGCTGTGATCTTTGGGCCCTCAGATAGCACTGCATTAAAGCAGACATGATTCTGTAGAGGAAATTACTGCATAGGCTCAGAAAAAACTTGTGAAAACCACAGTCTTTGAAAACAGTTTATCACTGCATCCCCAAATGCTAATTAAAACTGTGTCCTCCGGGCTAAAGACCACTCAGCTTGTTATCAGTGCACAGTTCAAAGGCCAGTATCTGTGATGGTATGGGGTGCAATAGTGCACATGGCATGGATGACTGGCACATCTGTGAAGGCACCATTAATGCTGAACAATATATGCATGTTTTGGCAACATATGCTGCCATCCAGACAATGTCTTTTTCAGGGAAGGAGTTACTTATTTCTGCAAGATAATGCCAAATCACATTCTGCATGTATTACAACAGCACGGCTCTGTAGTAAAAGAGTCCAGGTGCTAAACTGGCCTCCCTGCAGTCCAGACCTGTCACCACTGAAAACATTTGGCACATTATAAAATGGAAATACGACAAAGGAGACCCCGAACTGTTGAGCAGCTGAAATCCCATGTTAAGCAAGAATGGGAAAACATTTCACTTTCAAAACTACAGCAATTGGTCTCCTCAGTTCCCAAACGCTTACAGAGAGTTGTTAAAAGAAGAGGTGATCAAACACAGTGATAAACATGCCCCCATCCAAACTTTTTTCAAACATGTTGCTGGCATCCAATTTAAAATGGGCGTATATCCAGTTTCAACATTTAATATGTTGTCTTTGTACTATTCTCAATGAAATACTGGGTTTAAATCATTTGCACATCAATGAATTTTGTTTTTATTTACATTTTGCACAGGATGCCAACTTTTTGGACATGGGGTTGTAGTAGTAGCAGCTGTAGTAGTAGTGGAAATGGTAGTATTAATATTAGTAGTAGAAGTAATAGTAGCATTAGTAGTAGTTGGAGTAGTAATAGTAGTAGTTGCAGTATTTTAGTAGTATTTTCAGAATCATAATTTTGTTTTTGACTTGCTGCAGAATGACACTGAATACATACAATGATATAAGGCAAGATCATGCACATTCTATCTTGTATCGTGTAAAGTGTTGCCAGATTAATTGCTGTTATCTCAAAATTATGAGTGATTATAACTATATTATGTTGCAATACTGTCTGAAACAGGACAATTCTACAGTGTCAAAAAAAATAAATGTAGGGCTTGTCGTCATCATTACATCCCTCAATCTTTTCTATTGTTACAAGAAGGGCCCTTTTTGCTGCTACATAGAACCAAATACAACACATACTCCACCAATCTGAAAAACAATTTCGCAATGCAAAGAACCCTTTAAGCATGCAAATGGTTCTTTCAGTGTTCATAGTTCTACATAGAACTATTGTGTTTACTAAAAAGCTCTTGAAGAACCATCTTCTTTACAAGCGTAACTGACTAATGTTGGATAATTAACACATTTTAGCATCAGATAACACCCTCAGTTGAACCCCAACCCCCCATACATGCCTTGTTAGGCATCCGTATATACCTTAAAGAGTAATTACAGTTTGTTTTTTCTAAATTTGTGTATATTTCAATCATTGAGATGTAAACAAGGACAGTCAGTGTAGTTTGATGTGAAATGGTACATTGTAGAAAAACTTACTGCGTGTGCTGGTGACAGGAATCAGGAGTCACACTGTCTATAACACAAATATTGCCATTCTATTTACACCAGTGAGATTTTTGTAATGTTGATAAAAAAAGTGGCAAATCTAAAAAAATGCCTCAGGCTAAAAAAAATTTGCCTTAAAACACCCTAATGTAACTCCACCATGAATAGAATTTCAAACAGTATATTTTATAAGCAAAATTCATAAAGCAAGACTAGAGCATTTCACATCAAACCACTCTAAATGACTTTTACATCTTAGCCATTTAATTATGCAGCAATTTTGAAATATCTGTGGAATTTTCCTTTAATGACAGTTAGTAAAAGATACTGACTTTTTCACGCATGCAACAGTGAGCGATATGTCTACTTCTCAAACACAGCCTATTATACATTAATAATAAATATAGAGCAAAATACCTAAATATGGGTGCTGTAAGTTAAAAATATCACACTCACTCATCACTCATGTGTAAAGCTTTAGTCACAAATATACATACAGCCATCACTGTATCATTAGATGTACTGTTGCAAAGGGCATTAGTGTTTTAACAGTGCAATTTGCCAGGATAAACTATGGCCCAATTTAAGCCTCTTGGTCGAGGCAGTCAGGTTTTGATTTAATATTTGCTGGTACTTGATGGAGTCTGTGAGGCCATGTATCTGAATAAATTGTCCAGAGTCTTTGTAAGAAAAAGACCCCCACAGTATCACAGACTCACCACCATACTTCCCAGTGGGGATGAGGTACTTTTCTGTATGGCTGTATTTCTGTATTTGTCTTTGCCAAACTTACTTCTGGTGTTTGTTGCCGAAAACCTCTATTTTGGTCTCATCTGACCACAGAACACAGTCCCACTGAAAGGTCAGTAGTGTTTGGCCACCCCCCTCCCCCAACAACTTGTATTTATATACCTAACTGATTTCTGAACTTCGCCATGTGTGATCTTTGGAGAATTTTTGTCTGCTGGAACCACCCTCCTCACTTCCGCTTCCAGGCAGATTCTTCACATCTCCAGTTGTTTGAAACTTCTTAATTATTGCCCTGAGAGTGGAAATGGGTATTTTCAACTGTTTAGATATTTTCTTGTAGCCATTTCCTGATTTGTGCAGCTCAACAACATTTTGTCACACATCATTGCTGTTTTCCCTGGTCTTTCTCATAGTAATCAATGAATGAGGGCATTTGGCCTGTTTGATCTCAGATATATCCCCAAGTGAAATCATCAGTGAAGTCATGGCTGACCATTTAAGTGTTCCTCATTGCTCAGGTGAACTTTAAAACATGAACAGAACTTTAGTTACATTTCACTCTTAAGCATTTTTAGGGGTGCCAACAATGTTCTGAATGAAAGATCAAAAGGATCAGTAACTGATTTTTTTACATTTTTTTTGCTCATGTTTAGTGGGAGTCCCAGTATTAGTGAAGAGCACTGTATGTAACTGCTTAGCTGGATAACAGATGAAAGTACACTATATTGCCAAATGTATTCACTCACCCATCCAAATCATTGAATTCAGGTGTTCCAATCACTTCCATGGCCACAGGTGTATAAAACCAAGCACCAAGTATACAGACTAGGTATACAGACTACAAACATTTGTGAAAGAATGGGTCACTTTCAGGGGCTCAGTGAATTCCAGTGTGGTACTGTGATAGGATGGCACCTGTGCAACAAGTCCAGTCGTGAAATTTCCTCGCTACTAAATATTCCACAGTCAACTGTCAGTGGTATTATAACAAAGCGGAAGCGATTGGGAATGACAGCAACTCAGCCACGAAGTGGCCACGTAAAATGACAGAGCAGGGTCCGCGGATGCTGAGGCCCATTGTGCGCAGAGGTCGCCAACTTTCTGCAGAGTCAATCGCTACAGACCTCCAAACTTCATGTGGCCTTCAGATTAGTTCAAGAACAGCATAGAGAGCTTCATCGAATGGGTTTCCATGGCCGAGCAGCTGCATCCAAGCCTTATGTCACCAAGCGCAATGCAAAGTGTCGAATGCGGTGGTGTAAAGCGCCGCCACTGGACTCTACAGCAGTGGAGACGTGTTCTCTGGAGTGACAAATCACGCTTCTCCATCTGGCAATACAATGGACGAGGCTGGGTTTGGGTCAGGAGAACGGTACTTGTCTGACTGCATTGTGGCAAGTGTAAAGTTTGGTGGAGGGGGGATTATGGCGTGGGGTTGTTTTTCAGGAGTTGGGCTCGGCTGCTTAGTTCCAGTGAAAGGAACTCTTAATGCTTAAGCATAGCAAGAGATTTTGGACAATTTTATGCTCCCAACTTTGTGGGAACAGTTTGGCCCCTTCCTGTTCCAACATGACTGCGCACCAGTGCACAAAGCAAGGTCCATAAAGACATGGATGAGCAAGTTTGGTGTGGAAGAATTTGACTGGCCTGACCTCAACCCGATAGAACACCTTTGGGATGAATTAGAACGGAGACTGCGAGCCAGGCCTTCTCATCCAACATGGTCAAAAATTCCCATAAACACACTCCTAAACCTTGTGGAAAGCCTTCCCAGAAGAGTTGAAGCTGTTATAGCTGCAATGGGTGGTCCGACATCATATTTAAACCCTATGGATTAAGAATGGGATGTCACTCAAGTTCATATGCATGTAAAGGCAGACGAGCGAATAGTTTTGGCAATATAATGTAAATCAGGATTAATATCAGAACCTGTCCATGTGGCACAGTTTGGGAACCATTGCTTTAAAATAATGCTGAACAAACAACAAAGTATATAATTTAACTGAATATATACACTGTGTATATGAATGTCTATGTGTGATATGAAAAATACTGTACTGTGTATATTCTCTCTGCATAGTTTAAAACAGTATATTTTTGAAGGTACACTTACGGACAGCCAGTACCTGGTAAAGCTCTGGTGCAAGTGTGCCGGAAATTTAAACACCGTTTTCATCAGGGTGTTGCCATGATTTCACCGTGCCTGGTTGAAACTGTAGAGGTGTGTATGTATCTAATACTATATTAGATGACAATAGTTTTTCTTACTAATGAGACAGTTCTCACAAGGTTTTTTTTTCTCCTGTAGATGAAAGAGAACGGATGTGCCTCTCTTGTATTCAACATGTCACATTTCATCAGTTCTGAATTTGAACGATATTTGAAAGATTCTCTTGACGCTACTGTTACAGTGACAGAGGAAGGAACAGGTGAGTCTTCACACATACTGTAGGGAAAGTATACTTGAGGGAGAAACACACTAATAGCAGATCACTATAAAGAAACAATGTGCATTTCATTATTATGTATATAGTAACGTGCTTATTTTTGTTCTAGACATTTCCATGGAAAAATCTCAATCTATAAAGATCACTTATGAAATTGGTAAAGTTGAGTTTCTCGATTTACCCAAAAACTTTGAACCGGACACACTTTTAAAGGGAAAGGTGAGTGTTTTACATGCAGTCTTTCTTTAGTACTTTCATTTGTTGTGTTTGTGTGGTTCTCACTTTTGAAATCGACAATTTTACAACAAATGTTCTTTCACTGATCAACAGATCAAAGTGTCAACCTTCAATGGAAAACCAGTTCCTAACAAGAACGTCTATCTTTTGGAAGGTCATAGGTGGTCTCCAACACTACTTCAAAATCTTACTACAGATATTTATGGATTGGCCAGCTTCTCATTTAATACATCTGATCACTCTAAAACACAGATTTCGCTACTGGTATGGTAAGATGACCAAATATTTTCTGGGAGTTTCTGTTACACTGTTTTTCACTAAACGAAATTCCTGTTTTATTCTCATCTAGGCAAGTGTCTATCCAGACAACCAATACCGTGGACGCAAAAAACCCTTCTTTACAGTCAGTGATGCAAATATACCACTCCTCCAACCTGCTACACCTCACAGTCCAGTCTACAGTGAATTATCAATAGAGAGCTTAGAGGAACCGATTCCATGTGGTTCTGAAATTTCCATAAACATTAAGTACTACATTGTTGGAGAAACTACTGAGAATTACAGCACTGATATTATATACACAGTAAGGACACACAGTAATTTTGTAAAGTGAATATTTACATTTCCTCTATTTAGACAGTTGTAAATGAAACACAGTTGGCTGTTGTGTGTCACTAAGTTTGGTTCTTTGGTGCAGGTCTTGTCTAAAGGAGCCATAGTCCATCATGGTTATGAGAAAGTTGAAGTGAAAGAATCCAAAAAGCTCATAGAGGGAAAAGTCTCATTCAGACTGTCTGTTGATGCTGAACTGGCTCCTGTAGTGCAGGTTCTGGTGTACTGTGTGCTGCCCAGTGAGAACGTCATCGCTGCTAGCAAGGATTTTAATGTTGAAAAATGCTTCAGACACAAGGTAATGCTGACATGTTTGGATCTTTATTTCTCTGTTTTTATATTTTAGGATAATTGGTGGCTTGCATTCTGTCATCATTACTGTGGAAAAAGTAATAACATTTTTTTACCGTCATGATCTTCAGGTCTCACTGCAGTTCTCTCCCACTGAGGCAGTTCCTGGTGAGGAAAACACTCTCCAGCTCTCAGCTCTGCCTGGTTCACTGTGTGGACTCAGTGCTGTGGATCAGAGTGTGTTCATCATGGAGCCAGGAAAACGCCTCAATGTTAGCGAGGTGAAGTATAGATTTAGTCGTACAACACTAGATGTTCAACACATGTCAAAATCTAATCCAACCCTGGTTCTGGAGCCTCCCATGCTGCATTTTACCATTTTGGCTGCTCCATACACACTTGATCCAAATAATGTGCTCATTAACAACCCCTCACTCAGCTGACATGGGTGTATTAAAGCATGGAAAGCACTAAAATGTCCAGGGCAGTGGGCCCCTGGAAGCAGGGCTGTCAAACACTGTTTGTCAACAAAATTATTGAATAATTAAGAAAAAAATGTGTAACATGAATATTTTTCAGTTCATCTGAAAGGCTCATTGGTGTGCAGAGATGCCAACTGCATGCCCCTAGCTTTTAGACCAGTGCATGGAAGTGCAAATAGATACAAGATTCTGAAGTGTGTGTTTTTTGGCACACAGTATACATCAGACCTTTTCATCCAAAGACATAAAAAAAGTGCATTAATTTTAATAAATGACATAGTGAGCAGTTTCATAGAGCAGCACTGCAGATCCAAAATGGAGGAAGCACCAAATGTAGCAGTGTCTAAACATGATTCTTTATAGCTGCAGTAGGTAGGATTCAGAAGAGAGAGGTCTTTGCTCGAATATTTGAAGTAGTACGACTTCGTGGTTGCTCCCCCTCCCTCTCTGCTGCACTCAGGCCCTGTCCTTAAAGCCCCTCCGTTTCAGGCCCTGTCTCTAAAGCCCCTCTATTTCAGGCCCTGTCTCTAAAGCCCCTCCTCGCAGAGGAGGTGGCTGTGCACGTGCAGGCTAGCAACTATGGCAACTAGCACATACTTATTTCAGTGCTCAGATGTTTGTTTGATAACAGAAATGAATAGTGCTAAATAAGCAGCAAACCACTTATGAGAACAATTAGCTGTGAGAGCACAGGCACACATAAATATCAGGACAAACATCAAACCAGTACGACTGCCTGGGCACTTCACAAAGATACTTTCAGAAACATTCAAATAAAACAACACTAACCAGTAGCCTTAGCACTGAAAACAAGCTAACGTTAGCCTGGCTGTAACATCATAGTGACATGACATATGTGTTACGGAGTGTTACTGCTTCCCTCATAGCCTTGTGATTAATTTTACTTTCAAAAATCAAATCATAAATCAAGCAGAAATGTGGATCATCATTGGATTTGAATCTCCCTCCACATCTGTAAAGCTGCTCCAGTGTTTTTTCTCAGACTTTGTCTAATTCTTTCTTTTTAGCTATGTATTTATTTATTCACCACAGGGAATAAATAAATACATACAAGTGAGACTGTAAGATTATGCAGTCAGTTAGGATACCTGTGCTTTTGTGCTTTTAGTGATTTGGCTAAGTTAGCTTTATTGGTTTGTGAGTTAGCTACTAGGCTAAGTGCTGCTGCACAAACCAGTCATGACAATTCCACTAACAACACCAGGTATCTACTTTAGTGTTATAACTCAGTGTGCAGTGGTATGTGAGTAATTATGTGGTATGATTGTGTTTACTATTGTGTGTCTACTGTTTATGGTTGGAGAGTTAGGTGGCTTGCTAAATTCACCTAAATGGAAGATTTTCCTTCTCAAGCTTATTTTATAAGGTGATGTGAACTATAAATTTAACTCTCTAGGCAGACCGTCTGAGACTAATCTGGAATTCAACAAAAACTCTGCAATGCATATTCACTTCAGATTTATTTCACAGCATCTGCTGCTGTTGCCAAGTATCAAGCCTCCAACAGAATATTCCTTATTGACATCCAAAAGAACTGTATGCAGTGAAAATAAAAACAGAAAGCAGTGAATTATAATCCTCATTATACCTGTATTTAAACAAAAGTAGTCATGACACTTTCCACCAGCAATGCCAGTTATCTACTTTTTGTTCCATAACTCAAAGAAAAGATATTCGACTTTTTGTGCTTATCAACTATATTTTGTATGCACATTCTGAAATGAATACCTGCAACACATTTCATGTTGGTCAGATGTTGGTCCTTCATCACAGGACACTGCCCACAGAATGCTGTGGGCTGGATATTTTTGTTTGGGAGACTATTCTCAGTCCAGCAGTGACACTGAGATGTTTAAAACACACTAAAACACCCTCACCAAATCAGCGATTTTTTTTAAATTGACAGTTATGTGATGAAATTCGAATCGACATCAACTAATTTCTGATGTCATAAATAAAACTACAGGAAGAGGCAATGCTTTGCAACAAGTGACTTTAAACATCCAACTTTGAAAATCCAGGATGAAGCCAAGCTCCACAGGTCAGTAGAATGTGATGTGCATTGCTAGCCTTCAGAGGACCGGAGATATAAACTCTGGAATCTCACAAATTTGTACCGACTTTTAACACCTTTATAGGCTGTTATGCCCCCTCTACAAAATCACAAGATTTGTTTATTGTAATCTTCGGGAAACCAGAGATAACGGGATTCAATATGTGATCTTAAAAGCACTGTAGATCTGCAGAGAAGTGTTAGAATGAAGCAAAACTCTGCTGGTCGAGCTTGACAAGCCCTTTCCAACATGCCCTGGAAATCACCAAGACCTCTTGTCTTCTCTGATGTATCCATGTTGTTAGTGTCATAGAATCATAATGTCATTATGTGATCAGTGACTAATCAACATCAACTTTACAGCGTCGGTAGTGAGCACTAAAGTCAACAAGTTGACTAGTTGACTAATCTGTGCAACTCCTAAACAAAGTGTGCAGAGAAACAGATGAACTAATGTAATTGTAGAACTGCATAGTGCTCATATATGGCAAGATGAGCTGATAAAATTGACAAAGAGTGCAGATACAAGGGGGTGTTAGGGGTGCGGAAAAAAATCGATTCTTAGATGCATTGCGATGCGGACGTGAACAATTCTGAATCGATTCACAAATGTATAAAATCGTTTTTAGAAATATTTAATTTATAACGTAATGTTGACGGAACGCAAAAGGCGGAACTTGGAAGTGGGTAAGTGCAGCACCCGGACAGTCTGTGACGTGAACATAACAAAAATACAACTGGATGAGGGAGAAATCCGACCGGCACCGTCTGCATTAAGAGCTAGGTTAGGTCAGGAGTCGACAACCCAAATGTTAAGAAGAGCCATTTTGTCCTTTCAACAAAAATCAAACCACCTTGGGAGCCACAACAGTAATGTCCAGTATGTGTCGTGTGTGCTGATGTCCTAGTATAGGCTAAAAAATATAAACGAGGGCGCAGATTTACTTCGCTCTGCTTTAAGCTTTAGCTTTAGCTGCTTTCCTCCCATTTCTGCCAGTAAACTTTTCCTCAAAACTAGAGCAGTCTCTTGTAAAATGTCTCTGAACATTTGGCTGTCTTATGAGGCTGAAGTCGCTTCTCATTCTCCAGCTTTTTTTCCCCGAATTTTCCCGTTCCACCTTAAATTCTGACTGAGGCGCCGAATGTAAATGCGGCACCATTTAAGGTGGAACGAGAAAATTCGGAAGAGAAGCGACTTCATCTTGGCGACTTTTTACTGTTTGACAGTCTCTCGTTGGAGATTTAACTTGCCAGGAAACCAACTGCGCTGCTTATAAATGTGAATAACACATCGTTGCTAGGTGACCTGCAGTCTGCACGGCAATTCTCAGTCATTGCGAAACATGGCTTTCGCGCAATGTTGCAAACGTCACATCTCGAACATATTTTACTGACACAGTGACCCCACCCCTTTCTCTACAACGAGACCAAAACCAAAGTTATAAAGTCACTAAAAATGGGTAGAACAGCTGTAACGTGTGCTGCGTGGACATCCATCACCACCGGATCTTATTTCACCGTAACTGCGCATTTTATCGCAGATGAGTGGCTTCAGCGTCTCATGTGCTCCAAAGACAGTGAATGAGAGCCTTCCAGTTCACTTGCCTCATCACTTCCATTTGATTTATTAATAAAAGATATTTGTAAGTAAATTCATTATGGATCATTACAAATACTTTGCTTTAAAACTACCAAGTCCTCACACAGTGAGAAAAAAGAAATGATGTATAGAAAAAAAAATGCATTGATAATCGTTTTATAATTGCATCGCAGCCCTCTGAATCGTAATTGAATCGAATTGTGAGGTGTCTAGAGATTCCCACCCCTAGGGGGAGTACTTAATGAAATCAGTGGTCAGGATGAGTGTGCGCATATGTGTGTGTGTATGTATGTGTGTGTGTGTGTGTATGCATGTATGATGTGTTTCATTCCAAGATGTTGTGTATCTGTTTGTTGTAGTTCTCTAAAAAAAAGGTGCTATTAATCATAATATAGCACTGATATCTTTTATGTGTATAGCTCACTCCTAACAGCATAAAATAACATCATGAAGAATGAAAAGTCTTAAAAGGCCACAATGGTCTGTAATGCGTTTTACAATGAAACCCTTCATACAATGTAAATGTGATTTTTGAGGTTAAGCTGTTCCTTAAAGTATGACTTTATTCACATTGCTATTCAACCTGCATACATTTGGAGCAACAGAGAAAGTGGCTGATAGATAAAATACCTTTTTACATCAAGTTAATATACACAAATAGGATTTTTATGTGTTTGAGACTTTTTGCAAAAGACATTTGATAATAATCAGTAAATTATTAATATGTCTGTCTTAGGTCTTTAACTTGTTGCCAGTGAAATCAGTGTCAGGTTATAACTATGAAGTTGAAGATGAGCAGGAGTGTTTGCATGTTAGACCCAGACGGGATGCACAGATAGACCACGCTTACAACACTATAAAGGTAACTGACCGTTTGTCATATGTAGTGTAAATGTGTGTGTAAATAACTGTACAAATGTTAATACACTAGATAATCACAATCAAATCTAAAGTCAATGAAAACATTCATTTATTACTTGAAGAGGTAAATGTTAAAGTGAGTTAATGTTATTTGGAACTAAAGATGGTGGTTTATGACCTTCATTATCTGGCAGGGTGTGGGGCTCAAGATGGTGACCAATTTGGCTGTTAGAAATCCAGAATGCTTGTTCTACAGACGTCTTCAGTATCATCGCCAGTATCATCACTTTGGTGTTCATCGTCAAGGTCTGTTGGAGGTCATGCTTGTACATTCATTTCTTTTTAAGGCTATATCCAGCAACTTTTAGCAGTTTCTGAATAAGGTATACTGATTGTTCATGTTTTTGTGAATTTTAAGGTCGGCTCGGATTCAGCCCTCCTGTAGTTTTTGCACGGCGTGTGATGGACTCAACCCCTGAATCCGAACCTATTGAGACAGTTCGCAAATTCTTCCCAGAAACTTGGATATGGCAACTTGCTGAAGTGGGGTTAGTGAATCAGCAAATTAATTCATGATCTTATGTTTTGTGTTTTATTGCGTTTGTTATTTAAACAATTAAACTGTGATAAAATAACGAAGGTTAATGTACCTGTTTCTTGACCCCTTAATCTTCAAGAGAGACTGTTAGTTCTGTAGAAGATACCAAATATTTATAGCAGTTGCTGAATAGTAAGCATAATACTAACTGAATAATAAGCTGAGAGTTTATTGGGTTACGTTGGTATTAGGGCTGAATGATTTGAACAAAATATCAGTAGGGACTGTGTCGAGGGTCTTGGGGGAGCACATAGATGGGCAGATGGTTTCAGTTTTTATAGATTCAGTTTCCAAAGTCCAGTATAAACCTGACCAAAATTATTTACAGTAAAAAACAATATTCTTTATGTATTTACAAGAAGAACTGAAACAACCAACTTAGGGCAACATAAAGGAATAAGTCTAAAGTCAAGTAGAGCTAAATAAATGCTCACAAAGCTGTGTCAACAGAGTGAAGCTCTGAAAATGAGAGCTGGACCCTCTTATACAGGTACTCCTTCCCACCCCACCCATCATAAATGGAACATACCACAGCTTAATAATAATATGCTGGAAATAAATGCAAGACCAGAAGAAAAACAGGAAAAATAAAGCAATACACTGCAGGAGAAAAATATAATGAATTTGATGTTTATTTAGTAATTTATTAAGTTAAATTTATTTTCTTCAAGCACTTTTACTAGCTTGTACAAGTCTGTAAGCACTTTTACAGTGGTGTGCTTTTTGTGATTTAAAAAAGGTAAATGTTATTAACTGACCAATGTATGATGTGTCAGTGCTACTTTTCCACAGAGACTCTGGATCAGTACAGCTCCCTGTCACCGTTCCTGACACTGTCACCACTTGGGAGACGGAGGCTTTCTGTCTGTCCTCTAGAGGTCTGGGAGTGGCTCCTCCTGCTCAGCTTCGTGTCTTCCAGCCCTTCTTCCTGGAGCTCTCGCTGCCCTACTCCATCATCCGGGGAGAGGAGTTTGAGCTGAAGGCCACTGTCTTCAACTATCTCTCCAAGTGCATTATGGTACTGTAAGATCAGCATTTTCTGTCTTCACCAGTCTCTCATCACTTCACATCCACAGTAAGCTGATCTCCTGTGCTTCACGGACAGGTTAAAGTGACTCCAGCTCCTTCCTCACACTACACTCTGAAAGCCTCCTCTGATGGAGAGTATTCATCCTGTCTGTGTGCAAATGGTAGAAAGACCTTCAAATGGACTCTTGTTCCCTCTGTGCTTGGTGAGTTCTAAACCTCTCAAGTTCAGACATAATCTCACATTTCTGTTGAATTGTTTTTAGTGCTAATAAACTCCTGTTTGCATCTTTTGGTGTGTTTTAGGGGTCCTAAATGTGACAGTCAGTGCTGAGGCAGAACAGTCACAGACTGTGTGTGACAATGAGATTGTGAGTGTGCCTGAGAGAGGCCGCATTGACACAGTCACACGGAGCCTGATTGTACAGGTAGAAAATATACTGTCAAGTTTATGGATTCTGCTTCTTCCTCTTCTTCCTCTTCTTCTTCTTCCTCTTCTTCTTCTTCTTCTTCTTCTTATTATTATTATTATCTAAACATTTAATTTTCCCATGTAGGCTGAAGGATCTGAAAAGACCAAGAGCCAGAGCTGGTTGCTGTGTCCACAGGGTTTGTCCTACACATTTTAACATTTTCATTTATACCTGGTTTACATGCTTACTTTTCACACTAATGGTGAACAAAACACTGTACTGCTCAGGAAAGATGGAGCTGCCTGTTTCATTCACAGGTAACAGTGTTTCAGAGGAGATGGAGCTGGTTCTTCCTGAAGATGTGATCAAGGGATCAGCACGAGCTTCTGTTTCAGTACTTGGTAAAAAACGAAACATTACAGATGAAGAATTTCATAACAAAAAAAGTGGATTTCTATGATGAATCTGTAGAATCAAAGATTTCTACATAGAAACTGTAGAAAAGCACTCTTGCTTATATCAGATTCATATGTTTAAAAATATATATATATATATATACAACTAGCTAAACTATGATGATGGCGCTTTTCTTTCGTCTGTCTGAACAATGTCAAAAAAACTCTGTTCAACTGTTCAAGTTGGAGAAACTTACTGAAAGAAACAAATGATGAACACAAGCTGACCTGGCAACCATAACTGATTTAGCAAGAACACCCTTTTGTCCATCCAGCCACAGCATCATTCCCTGGATGCCCATTCAGCAGAAAAGTGAATAACCTTCTTTAAGACGTAGCCATACAAAAGCTGGATGTGAGCCATGGCCACAATAGGGCCTACAGCGGACACGATAAGTAGAGGTATTGGGTGAGCTGCAACGTCTCCAGATTTCAAGATTGTTTTAATGCAACTGCTACAAACAATGAAGGAAAAAAACTGAACTTTATTAAATATTGTAGCATCTTGGTGAAGAAAGACAAGAGGCTATCATTTCTGCTCAAAATGTGTTCTTTATTAAAGAACAAAGCAGAAAATCCACTGCCTAACAACCTGAACTGTGGAGAAGGTCACCTCCAGCCATGCAACTTTACTTGACGGTGAACACTTCGACACACACTTATTACTTTACAAAAAAGACAAAACACAGTCCACACAAACACATCTGAATCTACAAACAATAACAGCTTCAAATGTCTCTAACGAGGAGGGGGAGGCAAAGCACGCAGTGCGGTTTTGCAGATCACAGCCCTAAAGCTTCCACTGCAAACGGAGCCACCACATAGCACCCTCTTGTTGGCAGTGCAATTTCTACACACATTTCTGGCAGGTGCTTGCCTTGCCTTGGTGGTCCCTGGCAAGCTGATGCACAAAGAGATGAAGGTGAAACTCCTCAGCATATTCAACTCTAGAAATGCTCTCCTCCTCTGACCCAGGCAGACTCCTGAGAGTAAACTGGTTGACTCGGACCAGGAGCAAATGTTGGTCCCAATCATGCCAATGCTGATCAATCTTGATGGCCAGCTGAGCAGTGAGTTTTCCAGGAAAATGCTCCACAAGACTATCACTCTGAGGAGGAAGAGGTGTGATTGGTGTCTTTTAGATGTCCAGCTGGTTGCAGACCTCAGCCGTGACTGCCAACTCAAATTATGTCATGACTCCGTTCTGGTCTGGGATCGCATAATCCTCGGGTCATATAGGGATATGATCCATGGTCAGACGAACATTCGGTGGTGTAAAACAGATTTGGTGGTGGCCAATGGCTTTGGTGGTGGGAAAGGGGCCCAGAAGATCCGTGGCTACTCTTTCCACAGGAGCATCGGAGTGGAGGGACTACTAAGGAGTATGCGTTAGCTGTTGCGGTCCTTTATTGGCTGTGCATAGATCACAGCAGTACACATTGAGTTCCACATGAAGATGACAACCTGGCCAATAGAATCTCTGCTGCAGTCGCTTCAGAGTCTTGCCCACCCAGAAGTGCCCAATGCCAGCCGCCCCATGCACTGTACTGTTTTAAGCAGGTTGCGTGACATCAGCAAGTGCCTGAAGCACTTTTTGAACTGTATGAGCCAGGTCAACGAGGCTCAACTGCCAGCTGTAGTACTCTTCTCTGTAAGCCAGTGTAGTGTGAGGCTGTCAGCGAACCCACGCATGAAGTGCGCGTAGAACAAGGGTAAGCCAGAAAAGCTACGCAGCTCACTGACACTCTGTGGTTTGAACCACTGCTGCACCGTGTCTATTTTACCCAGGTCTGTTCCACCCCACTGCTCACTGCATGACCCAGGAGGCTTTTGGGCTACTAAAGAAGGTTGGATTTCTTAGGGTGCAGCCAGAGGTTTGCAGACTTAATACTCTGGAATACCTGCTTTCATCAAAATCTGTTGCGTAACCCAGCACGTTGTTTGAGATAGACAATGCACCAGTCTTTGGGTAAGCTGGCGAGCATTTGCTCCATCAGCCACTCAAATGTAGCCAATGCATTTTGAAGGCTGAAGGCCATTACCATGAACTCCATCACCCAGCATGAACACCATCTTTTCTCGGTTTTGCCACCTCCCAATACCCACTCCACCAGTCCAAAGCATCATTAATGTGTGAGAGCAGATGAGTTACAAGGTTTAGGTATAATGTTGAGTCACCGGTATCACCACCGGTATCACCACCAACTTCAAGGACCAATCGTCCTTTTTCTTTGCTAGGAACACTGGTGCTGCCCAATGGCTGCTCAAAGGCTTGATATCCGCACTGCTGCCATATCCTGTAATTTTATTCATTGGCCTCTTTCTTTACCAATGGGAATCATTGAGGGCAAAGTCGCATTACTGCTATACTGCATCACATTGGTCTATGTACAGTCTCACTCTGTTGCCATGAAGATGTAACTACAATGGCTCAAAAGCTTCCACAGCTGCTTTTTTTTGCCCTTCAGCAAACCATGACCCACTCTGCTGCCATACCGACTGCACCAATTCTACTCTAGCTCACATCTCCACTGTACTCAGCACTGCTGCCCTCCACACTATCCGTTGCCTCTTTCATCCAGTGTGTTGCCCATGACCCTCAGTGATTCACCCACTAGTGCTGGCACAGCATATTTAGCTCCTCCCACACCAGTGGTTTCACCCACAGAAAGTCGTGGTTCGAGTATACAGTCTTCTTGAATTGGTGCAAACTAGAATTCATGCATTCAGCTCAGACCTTCCAGGATGATTAGAAATCACTTTCTCACTTCAACCTGGCTACCAGTAACAAAGCTGAGCTGGATGGCCGCCACTAGAAAGTTCACAAACACTTGAAGTGCTTTTTCTTCCAGGATCAGGTACAGCTGGTTCACAGTGACAGGTGTCATCCAGCTGCAATGCTAAACACCTTTCGCATCTGCTCTAAATAGAGCTCCCAGACATCTTCCCTGTGGTACCGTGGTAGTCAGAAATATGCTGGCTTTGCTCCACCGTGCCCCAGTTGGATGTTGCCGCCCACTTTGCAGCTTTCTCTTTCATCAGTTTCACTTTCACTTTCTTCGTATTTTCTTTAACCTTCTCTGCCGCCATGCCTCACCATGCTGTCGCTGCCATTAAGCCTCGCCACAATGTTTTTTCCTTCTACTGCCATCTTATCCATCACTGCCGTCTTCGCTGCTCGCCTTAAAGTTTTTTGATGCGCCACTGTGGCGCCATCCCACATCTAACACCAAATATACCGTCTGGGCAAAGAAGGATCAGAAGAGGCCATCATTTCTCCACATAATATGTCCTTTCATTAAAGAATGAGGCAGAAAAGCCACTGCCAAACAGCTGGAACAGAGGAGAAGGACACCTCCAGCCACACAACACTTGTTCAACACGTTAACTTTCCATGCACACTTTTCACTCTACGAAAAAACAAAATAAAATGCAATCTACACATAAACACATCTGAAACTACAAACAACAACACTAACAACAAGAACAACAACAACAATGCTGGGCAGAGGGGTTTGTAAATCACCACTGCCAGAGATTAACCAACATGTCAGTCCACTTTCCCACTATGTCCCTCCATCAGCTGAACACACAGGCTGCTCCATGACAATGTTCAAAAACCTGTGTGAGAATGAGAAAACAGGAAAAATGCTGGTTGGCATGAACTGCCTGAGACGGGGAAAAAAATCTGCACTATATATTGTCTTCTTTGGGTCACAGGCAACAACACACAAAAACAAACAAAACATGAAAGAGCACTGAACTAGTGTCACCATTTGTGCTGCCATCTTGGACTATAGTGGACTTACAGTAACAGTAGAAAATTGCTGGAAAATTTGACTTTGAGCCAAGAAGGAGATATTTTGTGGAAGTGATGTTTCAAACATGAAAGATGTAGATTAATTATTAATTGAATTTAATGGTGATAGTTTGGTCTGAATTGTTCCTGAACGGCATATATATTTTACTGGGTGCATCATTTGTCTGAATACATAACTAACGTTATTATACTCTTTTGTAGGAGACGTATTGGGCCGTGCACTAAAGAATATTGATGGATTGCTGAAGATGCCATATGGCTGTGGAGAACAAAACATTGCTCTCCTCGCCCCCAACATCTACATTCTTCAGTACCTGGAGAACACTAGACAGCTCACTGCAGCCATCCGTGAGAGAGCTACAGGTTTCCTTAAGAGCGGTGAGAGATCTTTTCTTCATGAAGAATCTTAGGCTTGAAACATACTTTACGCAAAGACACAAACACAGATGCTTCGAGCTATGCAGACGGGGTTTCACACATAGTATCGCAACGCAAGCGCGAGCTGCATTCTGAGCATTACAGCGGGAGGCACTATAATGACAGCCAAGCCTAGCTGTTGAGGCTGTCGGAATGACAGTAGATCCCTCACAGGTTTGTCTTCTATTGCCCCCTTCAGTACTGAGAGTTTTAACCGCCACAGCAATGTAAAAACTCACGGTGAGTTTGTATAGAAGGACCGAGCGTTTGCAGTGTGTTTGCAGAGTGCTGTCAATTGCGTTTACGTACTTGCATTCAGTATGTTTCTGGCCTTAGCCATCGTGAGTAGACTGTGAACTGCGCTGAAAACTGTGAACTGACCAGGCTAAAAATCATTTGCCTTGTCAGGATATCAGAGGCAACTGAACTACAAGCATTTCAGTGGTGCATACAGCACTTTCGGCATGGGAGAGGGGAATACATGGTGAGAAAGTCAAGACATATTCAGCTGGTAGATGTGACGAAGAATGATAATTTTCAGTTTACATTATATACACAAAGATATGTTAAATATCAATACAGATCTATCTTTACCACTAGGTTAACTGCTTTTGTCCTGAGAACTTTTGGCAAAGCACAGCGTTACATCTTTATTGATCCACAAAACATTGACAGTGCAAAGAAATGGCTGATAAGTAATCAGAGACCAGACGGCTGTTTTATAAGACAAGGACGACTGTTCAACAACAGAATGAAGGTGAGTTTTTGGAGGTGAGGTTTTTTAAGGTACTCAGTAAATAAAATGAACTGGTATCTGTTTTGAGTAATGTTCTAATGTATTACAGGGTGGTGTAAATGATGATGTAACAATGACTGCTTACATCACTGCATCGTTGCTTGAATTAGGCCATACAGTGAAGGTGAGGACACTGAGCAGCCTGTGTGAATTATGACCTTACATGCACAGGATTCATTTCTGTATGGAGGACAGACTAAAAGCATCATAATTATTTGCCAGTGTGTTCAATGTGATGCTTACTCTACAATCATATGACCTTTACCCTTGTCCTCAAAGTGAGCAATGGAAGTGAGTGACAACAATAAAACCAAAACACTCCCAATATAATCAATAAAGCTGTTTACCCCAGCTGCAAGTGGGAGAGTATGATGTGGTGGCATCTTTGACAGCCTCCCCATTTCTATTTTTAACACGTCTCTGCCATGGAGGAGGAGAAACTCTTCCATGAAGTGGACAAAAGGAGGGATCTCTATGACCCTTCCAGTAAATAAATTGCAGAGAAACCGCCAGAGTGCTTGACATTTTGATGCCACTGATTGATGAAGATATTAGCTAGTGCCCAACACCAGAGCGCACATGGGTCCATAAATCAGAACATCTTTTTAGGGTCCATGTGAATTACAAAGTTGGGAGGTGTTTTTATTCTATTTTTATTCTTATTGTGTCTTAACATCTGAGCCAAGGAATGACTTTAAAACCATTGTGTTTTTTTTTTACACTCTAATTTACATTTTGATTGTAGGATCCTGTTGTGAATAAAGGATTATCATGTCTAAAGTCCTCTATTGGCAACCTGACAAACACCTACGCCACTGCACTGCTGGCCTACACTTTCAGTCTGGCTGGAGAGCATGATGTTCGAGAGCAGCTGCTGAAGAAGTTGGATAGTGTTGCCATTTCAGGAGGTATGAAATGATGAGAAGAATTAGTCATTGAGTAACTGAGTGTGTTTACATGCACTTAATCCGATAACTGCAGAAAGTCAGATTTTGTCAGTAATTTGTTCAACGTGTTTACCTACTTGGGAAAACTCAATCACATTTCTGCTTTGCAACCTGGCAATGAACTCTCACGTTGTAGCTCTTCCTTTAGTTTGCACACATGCGCAGACTAAGGACCTTGAAATGAAGTAAGGGTTTACATGCACAGAAAAACCTGATTACTGAGATAAAATCCAAGTTTCTTTATTGGATTTCTTGAAATCTAAAAAACAGCATTAATCTGATCTAAGAAATCAGAGTATGCTGTTTACACGACAAGTTGAATTTGATTTAGGGCTCACAGGGTTATGGTTCATCTATTATTATCTCTAGATTAAGCTTATTTGAGTTATACCTCGTGTTCTTTTATATAGATGGTCGCCTTCACTGGTCTCAGTCAGCATCAGATGACTCTGACTCCTTAACAGTGGAGATCAGCTCCTATGTTCTGCTAGCTGTTCTCACTACAGCTGAAGTCACTGCTGCTGATTTGGGCTATGCTAACAGGATTGTCAGCTGGCTGGTGAGGCAGCAGAATCCCTATGGTGGCTTCTCCTCCACGCAGGTACTCAAATAAATTTCATCCCTTTTTCTAACTCTTTCTTTACTAAGTCTTTCTTTTTCTTAATGTTTTGTGATCATATAATATGTAGACATAGAAATCGGAGCTGTAAATGTGTAATTCCTTTTTGTTATTGTTTGGATCAGGACACAGTGGTGGCCCTCCAGGCTCTGGCTCTGTACTCCACCAAAGTGTTCAGCTCTGATGGCTCCAGCACAGTAACTGTGAAGTCAGATAAAGAGAGTCACCACTTTGATGTGACCCAGGACAACAAGTTACTGTACCAGGAGAGGCCACTGCAGGATGTCCCCAGCAAATACAGCATTTCAGTGAAAGGCTCCACCTGCGTGTCTCTGCAGGTCAGTGTGTCTGGTATGCAGTGGTGAAGATGGGGGATCAGGCTGGCTACCCCTAAAATCTAATTGGCCACTTGGGTTTCATGTAACTGGCTGATTAGAATAATTACACTTTTTGATTTCATAGCTGTGCATGTTGTGTGTGTGTCTGTAGCCATTAGTAGCCTCTCTCAGCTCACACAATTAAGCAAGACTGCAGACCACACTGAGGCCCAGATTCATGAAACTCTGAAGTAACAGCGCTATGCAAAATGTGAAGCATGAGCCAATCAAAATCCACATGTAAATTAGGTCATACATATTAAAGACTCAAGCCAAGCAAAACTCTGGTTGGCAGGCAAAATTGATACAATGAATAAAATGAAAAAGAAACACAAAAACTCAATTATCAGAAACAGAGCTACAAATTTAGAGAAAAGATGTGCTGAAATGCTAATGACTGTATGGGCCATTGTTGCTTTTGTTAATCTCAGGAATTCAATTTAAGCATATGAAAATTAAATGTCACCTAGTAAATATTTGACTATTATCAGAAATTCAGTTTGCACATGAGAAAATATTTCACTAATAATAAAAAAAACTAAATCTAATTAAATTAGTAAAACGTTAGTAAAAATTAGATTTTGAGTGTTTAGTTTGAAAGTGTAATTAGAATGTCAACATGTCAAGTTACTCTTCATGAAAGTCTACACTTTTAGCTCATATACATTATTTAACTTTAACTCCAATATTTATGGACCTGACTGTTTTCAGTATGAGCAGTGTGCATCGTACATCATGGCACTGCTGGAATAGATGTACCACCACTGATGGTTACTGTGAATGAAAACTTATTAAAAGTGATAGTTATGAGGTTAGCATGTTATGATTAAGTTGTCTAAACGTCTGGCACAAAACCCTCCATCCAAAATAGATGCAGACCAATTTAAATGCAATATATGCAACATCATAGCCTTTGTAGGAGGCTGCAAATGTGGCAGCCACCTACAGAGAAAATGTAACTTGAATGGAAAATGACTTCCAGTTTCTTAGAGAATAGCTTATATTCTGTCTCTGCAAATATTACAGTGACCGTTTTTAGAACAAATGCTTCTTTTGCAGGTCTCTTTGTGATTAATTACAAATATAAAACATGAGCTACATTATGCAGCTTTAAGAGACACTTTTTTATTCACTGTTTTTATGATTTGATCTCTTTTTGTTCTCAAATACAGGTGACGCTTTTCTACAATATTCCCACTCCTACTGAAACCAATACATTGAGCATCGAGGCTAAAACTGATGGAAATTGTACCAAATCATTTGGATACATTCTGTCCATCAACTTCACAGTCACGTAAGAGTGTATTTTTATTAAAAGACAAAGATGATTTATACTTAATATGAGGAAACTGGGGATGACAACTTTAGATGATGAAAAGAAAATGTTTTTAGTCAAAAACAAAATAATTACAATTATAATAATAAATAATTACAGTTCAGTTTCAGCATGAAAACCGGTCTACAGTAAGCTCCAATCTCCAGTAATTGCCTGTAGCAGTCCGGCATCTGAGCTATATTTGATGCCAGCAGAATTATTTGATCAATAACTAAATATGGTCTTATGATGTTTATATTGTAGAAACAGTAATAATAATATCTGATTGTTATGAATGTAGTGAGTAACTAACTAGCTAACAGTGTTTTATTAATTTATTTGTTTGCAGATATAATGGGGAATTAAACAGCACTAACATGGTCATAGTGGATATAAAAATCTTATCAGGATTCACAGCAGATCCCAGTGATGTAAGTAGTCCTGGTAGATTATTAAACAAATATACTGTAATTGTTCCTTTAAATCTGCTATTCATATGTTTAATAAATCATTGTAGAGAAGTAATTATTTTGTCTTTTCTTTCAGCTAAAATACCGCCCACTTGTGGAACGGGTCGATTCCAAAGATGACCATGTTATCATGTATATGAAAGAGGTGAGAGATAAACACAGTTATATACTCCTCAGTTATTGTGGACATTCATACACAGCAGGGGTGTAACAGTAAACAGAGGTCAAGGTTTGGTTCACGTCACAGTTTGGACATCACTGTCTGGTACGAGTTCAGTACAACATGAAAAAAGCAACAACAACCCCCAGACGCATAAGCCTTTTCATTTATTTTGAACAGATAGTAACATTAGTGCAAGTTACAGTTTGTTCCACCTAGTGTTGTATACACACCCAGAGGTAGGTACAGTCTGTAGTGTAGGTCATTTGCATTTGACAGGGAATGTCAGAAACTAATGTGTACAGTGATATTTCCAGAGAGCTTGTAGAGAGGAGAATTAGCACTCTGTGATGTCTTCTAGGTTCTTCAAACGCTAGAGGGCGCTCTCGAGCGAGTCCAAACTGAATGGGTTAATATGGAGCATTTGAGTAAAATCATATTTTATAAATGTTTAAACATTATTAATGTAAAAGAATACCCTCATTTCCTGAACACAGAATAGATAAAACATCTTAACACTGCTGTTATATTTTTGAACGCTTTTGAACTCGAGTTATAGGAGTTTAAAACAGCGCTTCATCTACGTAAATTAGTGAGCACAAACAGCCAATGAGCTGCTCTGCTTGCCAACCTATCAGCACTCAGTAGCAGTAATGCTAGCATTTTACTGCCCAAAACCCATTTTCGGTAGAAAAAAGGAAATATATACATAAGTTTTCTTTGCTTTTTTTGGTGAAATACATCCGTCTACTTTCTAAAATTAAAGGAACGTTCTGGGCACATGATTAGAAACTATTTTAACTTTTTGTTTTTAGCTGTTTAGCTCCATTTACCCCCATTGTTTGACCCCTCGCTCGCAGACGGCCTCTGCTGTTTTGCAGTCGTGTTTTTGATATAACGGGGGAAATAGGAAGTGGCCAGGCTCCTCATAAACCATAAAACTTCAGTTGGGATTTTGTAGTTGGGAGCAGTGACAACAGAAAAATGTGTAAGGCTTTGTGCTGAATCTCTTCACAGGTGCAAAAATATTGCAAGCTGTGGACAGAGCTAAGTCTTCTTTCATTCATTTAATTTCAGCTTGTGTTTTATTTAAAAATTCACTCTCTTTTTATTTAACTCAATAGCTGCCTTTCTCACTTCTCACTTACAGTTCAAACACCTCAAATTCAGCCTCACAGCTAGGACAGCTTCACCTGAACCACTGTTGCTAACTTGCTAATGGCTTACAGCTTAAGGCTTCTGGGCGAAACTCGTACTTGTGAAATCTGGTTCCACATTATGTTCATCAGTCTTCGTACATACAGTGTAGGCCTATTCTCAGTAAGACTGCATGGACTGAACCGTAACATCCGTACACTGATGGTTTAGGACAAATACACATACGGTTACACCCCTAATACGTAGTTATTAATAAGAACATTCATTCAGTACTTATAATTTATTCGTCTGGGACTGTAATACAAAAACTTCCTGTTTTTTGTCCTAAGGTAAGATCTGACAGGTCAAGATTTTTCACAAATTCTTATCACAGAAGTAAATCTTATCTTAATTTAAGAATTATATCTCACACAATCTTATCTCAAGTTAAGAAATCCTAAATAAACTTGAACAAGGTTGATAATTAATTATGTCTGTTACCCAACAACCAAAGTTATGCCCATAATGTTAAAAAATGTGCATTAGTTTACTAGACAGCTACTGATGGAAAAAAGGACCGAATTTAAGACAGTAGCTATTACAGAATAACCGCCCCTAAGTTCATAATCTTATCCTAACTCCAGATAAGAAAACAGTATTACAGAAATATTCTAAATAGACTACATGTCTGAAATACTGTCCTAATTTTAGGATAAACCCCAGCAGTGTCCTAACTTTTGTTTTACCTTCAGTTTTTAATCATTTTTAAGCAGCCATGACAGGCAGCGTAACAAGTTCACGATATCTAGCATAATGATATATATATATTTATTTATATATAACCACATGGTAGTTTCAATTATGAGCTTTTTTTCCACAGTTCAAAAATCCTGGACATGTAGACGCGTTCTCCACCATTCCCTTTCATTACCTAGGTGTGTTAATGTTCATGAAAACTCATCAAATAAAGTATTACAGCGATGAGGGTGAATAATGAGGAGACAGAGCTGAACATGTGGCGGTTTTATAGGAGGAATAACGTTATGCATGGCAGCTAAAGCTGGTGGAAATGGAAACTGAAACTGCAGAATGGCAGCACCCAGTTAAACAGAACAGGGACTTTGTCACAATATCACAATATGTCATAATATAATTCCCAAATTAAGACAAGATTTGCTTCTGTAACAAGAAATTGTCTCATCTTGACCTATCATAGGAAAGTTCTCTAACACGGACCGTTCTAGGCTTTAAACATGTATGTCATAATTGATAATCGCTGATTAAAAACCTTGCATATTCATAATGACACAAAACACAAAAAGGCCAATTTTACAACAAACTGGACCAAAAACTGTCCCAAAAACAACAGATGATGGAGCATTTTCGGTTTGTGTTCAACAGGTCCCAAGGAATTCTCCGATGAATTATCAGCTACATATTAAACAGGTGCTTCCAGTCAAGAACCTCAAACCAGCTGTGATCAAAGTTTATGATTACTACCAAACAAGTAAGATTTTCCTAGTCTACATGATTCCTGCACTGTTACTATACTTGTTTTGCTTCGGTTTACTAAAATTTAATACCTCTTTCATTCAGGTGACCAGTCTGAGACAGAGTACTCCTCCCCCTGTGTGTGAGCTCTCAGATCTGCAGCCTCACAATATGAGACACAGAGAAGACTTGGTTCCCTGTTTTATCCTGAGTTTATCTTAACTTTAATCAGATGTTTAATTTCTTTTACACTGAAATAAATATGATTTTCAAGCAACATGTGCTGCTTTTATAGACAGTTCTAAAGGGTAATCTTTGTGCTAAAATATATAACATGCCCTATAAAGGTGAGTGACAGTCAACTCAAGCCTTTTTAATTCAACAGAGATGAAATTTGCTGCACAATGATTTCACAGTGTGGTAGAACAAATCAAGGGCCTGGAACCAGAGGAGAAGAAGTAGCTATTGAAAGTGTTTAACAAAAAAGCCAAATAAACTTTAAGCTCACTGTATGCTCAGTGTTTGTTTTAATAATATGAATAGTGATAATTTTCTCAGTGTCTGAAGAAAATTTGGAGTTCTTTCTGTTAGAACATCTGTGAAATGCACACACACTATGTAACTGTGTAGCTACACATGAATAACATATGCAACAACACTGTAACTTCTGATGATTTAGACAATGTTACAGATGGATTATAGAAGTACAGACTATGTAATTACACATGTGTATCAACTTCAGTTTTGCCTCAAGTAATTACATAAGTGTATCTTCTACACCAGAACTTTCCTGTAGTGCAGTGTTAAAGCTACACTTTAAAATAAGTGGACAGTTCCTATGTAGTTGTTATATAGGTACTGAGTTATAATGGAGTGGTAATATAGATTTTTTTTGTGGAAATGCAACACATTTAATTAATGCCATAAAAGTTAGATTTTAAGATACGGGGACGTCTGCTGTACTGTCACATACACAAACAGAACAATTTAAAGTTGGAGCTGGTAACAATGTCATAGAACTAGCAACATAAATGCCAGCTATATGCTAGGAAAGTTGGCAGATACAGTGTAAGTAATGTCTTAATGTAAGTTATTACATACTTCCTTTTTCAGCTGGAAAAAGAAAACTTGCTGTTCCAGTCTATTTACTTAATGTAATTACATTTTTGTTATTAATCTTGTGTAATTACATGAGAGAGAATAGCCTGTTACAAATATTAAGATACACATAGTTACATGAGGCAAAACTGAAGTTGATACACGTGTGTAACTACATAAGGTGTACTTTTGTAATCCATCTGTAACAGTGACTAAATCATTAATAGTTACATTGTTGTTGCATATCTTGTTCACATGTAACTACATACTTATTAGAGACCCTTAATATAAAGTGGTACCGGTAAACCATTTACAAAGTTTAATAGTAAAGCTGTTGTTAAAATGTGGAATGAAGGCTGTACACCGATCAGCCACAACATTAAAACTACCTCATTGTTTCTCACTCATTGTCCATTTTATCAGCTCTACTTACTGTATAGGTGTACAGTTACAGACTGTAGTCCATCTGTTTCTCTACATACTTTGTTAGCCCCCTTTCATCCAGTTTTTCAGTGGCTGGATATTTTTGGTTGGTGGACTATTCTCAGTCCAGCAGTGACACTGAGGTGTTTAAAAACTCCAGCAGTACTGCTGTGTCTGATCCACTCAGACCAGCGCAACACACACTAACACACCACCACCACATCAGTGTCACTGCAGTGCTGAGAATGATCTGCTGTGAGTGGTCTTGTAGGGGTCCTGACCATTTAAGAACAGGGTTAAAGGGGGCTAACAAAGTATGCAGAGAACAGATAGACTACAGTCTGTAATTGTAGAACTACAAAGTGCACCTATATAGTAAGTAGAGATGATAAAATGGAGAGAGAGTGTAGAAATAAGGATTTTTTTTATTTTAAAGTTTTGGCTGATTCAAGTTAACCTAAGTAAATCAAGAGTAAACAGAACTCGAAAAAGTAGAGCACTGTCAGCTCAATTGAAACTATTTAAAATTATTGAGCTGTTTGAGTTAAATTTGCTAGCTGCATCACTGAAAAATAGAAACTACCTTTAACTCAAATGTATTTATGTAAGTCTGAACCTGTAAGTAACTGGTGGTTAATTGGCAACAAGTCAGTAACATGATTGAGTACAAAAAGAGCATCTCAGAGAGTCTTTCAGAAGTAATTAAAAAATGCAACAATTCAAGAATAACGTTTCTCAATGTAAAATAGCAAAGAACTTGGGGATTTCGTCATCTACAGTACATAATGTCATTAAAAGATTCAGTGAATCTGGAGAAATCTCTGTATGCAAGGGACAAAAAACAGTATTTGCTTACCATGATCTTTGGGCCCTCAAGCTGCACTGCATTAAAAACAGACATGATTCTGCAGTGGAAATCACTGCATGGCCTCAGGAACACTTCTGCAAACCACTGCCTGTGAACACAGTTCGTCACTGCATCCACAAATGCAAGTTAAAACTCTAAAATGCAGAGATGAATCCACATATAAACAGGATCCAGAAACCCTGCTGCCGTCTCTGGGCCCAAGCTCATTTTAAATGGACTGAGGTGAAGCGATAAAGTGTCCGACAAATTAAAATTTGAAATGGTTTTTGGAAATCATCTGGGCTAAAGACCACTCAGCTTGTTATCAGTGCACAGTTCAAAAGCCAGTATTCATGATGGTATAGGTGCATTAGTGCACATGGCATGGGTGATCTATGAAGTCACCATCAATACTGAACAATAGATACATGTTTTGGCAATTTATGCTGCCATCCAGATGACGTCTTTTTTAGGAAAGGTCTTGCTTATTTCATCAAGACAATGTCAAACCACATTCTGCATGTATTACAGCAGCATGGCTCCATATTAAAAGCGTTCGGGCACTAAACTGGCCTGCCTGCAGTCCAGACCTGTCACCCACTGAGAACATTTTGCGCATTATGAAATGAAAATACGGCCAAGGAGACCCCGAACTGTTGAGCAGCTGAAATCCTGTTTCATACAAGAACAAGAAAACATTTCACTTTCAAAACTACAGCAACTGGACTCCTCAGTTCCCAAATGCTCAGAGTGTTGTTAAAAGAATATGTGATGCAACACAGTGGTAAACATCCCCCATCCAATTATTTTTGGAATGTGTTGTTGGCATCAAATTTAAAATGGGCATATATATAAAAACAATAACATTTTCAACATATCATATGTTGTCTTTGTAGTACTGTCCTTTAAAATATGGTTTACTTGATGTGCATATCACTGCATTCAATTTGTATTTACATTCTGCACAGCATCCCTACTTTTTGGGAAATGGGGTTGTACGTTAATCTGTTTAGCCAATTTTACCTGGCCACTTCCTGCCCTCCAAACAGCTAAGCTTGATGACATGGGTGAAAGAGAGTTTTGATTGGTTTTCTGAAATTCATTAGCTTCACTGACTGCACTGTGGACATAACCAGTTAAAAAATTACCAGATAAAACACTAACTTAGCATGTGGTTTTCAAGCAGGAAGCTTTCATTCAAAAATACAAACAAACAAACAAACAAACAAAAAAAAACAACACAAAACAACAACAAAAAAAAATACAGACTATGTGTATATAACTCATTTTTGGCAAAACTGCCACATGGAACCTTCTAATATTAAGGTCTAATCTAATGATTTGGTGTTGTAACCGTTAGTCAGAAACCAGACGCTTGCGGATTAAAAGAGCAAAAGGTGTTTTAATAGGGCTAGGCAGATGCGTGGTCAAAAGGCAGGTGTGGGTCAATCCCAAAAGACAAATCCAAAATAAAGCGGTGATCATATCACCGAGCAGACAAAGTCAAAAGGGAAAGGCAAAAACGAAGTCAGAAAACAGGCAAAGGTCCAAAAACACAGATCAGCAAAAACAGGCAACGGTACAAAAGGGCAAAGGCTAAAGGCAAAGTCAAATAATGGAACAAAGGTCAAAAACATACAGCAAATAACTCTCGGACAAAACGCTCAGTATGCTCTGGAAGAAACAATACCTCGCAAAGAGCTAAACTACAGCCCGGGCTTAAAAGCTATTCTAGCTAGATCATATGACTGAAAACACAGGTGCAAATATTTAGTATTCAGGTGAGTGCGACCTCTGATAGAAGCGTGTGATCTCCTCAGAGGTCATGTGATTCCCCACCGCATTGTGGGTAATGCAGTCCATCGAGTTTTCCGAATTGGAGGGAAGTTGCATTGTCACGTGATCCTCGTGAGGATTCTGGGAACTGAAGTCCAGGTTCTCTAGTGACACGGATTGATGTGTGACAGTACCCTCCCCCCCCAAAGAGTCCAGGTGGGCCTCGGAACGAGGACGACCCGGACGACCACCACGCACACCACCAGATCTAGGAACAGAGGCAGACCCAGAGCTGCCGAGGCGCTGAACTCGCGGTGCCTTATCCTGGGAGTCCCGCAAATGGGGAGGCAGAGAACTGGAGAGCCGTCCTCTTGGACGACCCCTGGGACAAGGAGCTGGCTTGTCAGGATGCCGACTATGGAAGTCGGCCACAAGAGCGGGGTCCAACACGTCCTTGGCAGGGAACCCAGCATTGCTCCTCCGGGCCATAACCCTCCCAGTCTACCAGATACTGCAGCACTCCACCCCGTCGTCGAGAGTCCAGCAGCCTACGGACAGCGTAGACCAGGGCCCCATCTATCAGCTCTGGTGGAGGAGGCGTGCCGTCCGGAGTCGCCTCATCTAATGGCCCTGCAACAATGGGTTTCAGGAGAGAAACATGAAAAGAGCGTGAGAGACGAAATCGAGGGGGCAAATCTAATTTATATGTCACATCATTAATTCTTTTCACTATTTTAAATGGTCCCATATACTTGGGTTGTTGTTTTTTGCAACTTACCCTCTGGGCTGCGGAAGTCCCTTGTGGCCAGCCAGACTCGGTCCCCGGGTTGGAATATCGGGGTAGGCCCTCTATGTCGATCCGCTTGTTCTTTGTGATGCTGGAGAACATTTTATGCGTTGGTGTGTTTCTTCCCACACTTGTTCGCTTCTTCTCATCCAATGGTCCACGGCAGGCACGTCCGTGTGGGATCCCGTCCATGGCTCTAAGGGTGGCTGGTAGCCTAGGACACACTGGAAAGGAGTCAAACCAGTAGTAGAACTTAACAGTGAGTTCTGTGCGATTTCTGCCCATACCAGATATTTTGCCAATCAGATGGATTGTCGTGACAATATATCCTTAGAAATTTTCCCAGTTCCTGGTTTACACGTTCACATTGTCCATTTGTCTGGGGATGGTAACCAGATGACAGACTGATAGAAACTCTGAGGTGCTCGAAGAAAGCCGCCCACACTTGGGACGTGAACTGCGGGCCTCTATCCGAGAGGATATCTTCAGGAATACCAAAAATACGAAACACATGTTGGAACAAAGCTTGAGCAGTCTGAAAGGCACTAGGGAGAGTTGCAAAAGGTATAAACCTCACCGCC